AAGAATTTTGTTGATAGGCCTTACGGTTCAAAAGTTATTAGCATAATAAAAGTGAAACTTTGGACAGTTGGTGGCGCTAGAGGGAATGAGTTAGAGACACCAAAATTGGTGTATTTAAAGTTGGGACTGTCCTCTATCAGAATGTCAAACCAAAACAACTTTCCCGCAAACCGGTCTATGGGCTGCCATAGACGCCCAGTCGGAAGAAGAATAATAATAATAAATATAGCTGCAAGCAGCCATTACCGGGGCCAAGCGCAAGAAGCGGCAACATATGCCAAAATGGCAAGGAGTGGCAGACCAACTGCAGCAAGGAGCAATTAAGGGCATTTTGAGAGAACTTTGGGCAAATGGCTAAGAAAATCACATAAACATTAACTTATAAGATGATTTAATGGGTTATCACTTTCGAACAATAGGTGGCGCAGTTACGAAATAGATGTGATGTGGTCAGAGTGAGGTGACAATGACACATGCAAAGTTTGGTGTCAAAATGTGAAGGCATTGCAGAGATAAAGCCTAAATAGTAATTTTGGCAGCATGCCTAAACTTTGATGCTGTGGTATACGAAAACGGTTTTGTCTATCATCGTGCAATTCATAACTTTTAGTCGGCACGGTCTGGAGATGATACGATTCAATTTTCGTGAAAATCGGACAAACGGTCTAGGAGGAGTTCGAAAAAGAAGGTTTTTCAAAGAAATAAAGATGGCGGACAGGAAGTTTTCCTGATTATGCAAAACCTGATATCTATGTTTTCGGCATAACCCAAGGAATATATTAAGATCAGTTTCATTGCAATAGGCAAATTTATTCAAAAGTTATTAGCGTTCTCAGAAATTAATTATAACTTTTGACCAACAGGTGGCGCTGTCTCAAAATCTTTTGAGTACCTTCAGGGCATGCTGCTTATGGCACACACTGAGTTTTGTAATATTACACCAATGCATTTGTTTAGTATAGCATTTTATTTCACAAAACTCTATTGAAGTCAATGGGAATTTCACGTTTTGTTCTATTATAGCGCCACCAAGAGGCTCAGTCCCACAATTTTTTTTATGTGTCCTCAGAGTGACCCCATACATATGTGTGTCAATTTTGGTGCAAATATCTCAATTCACTTCCGAGTTATAAACATTTATATGAAAAAACACGTAAAAAATGACTGACACATGACTTTGTTTGAATTTTACTACCCCTTACTATCAATATTTTCGCATTTGGGCATTAGCGTATAGTTAACAAGCTATGATTCCGTGTTTCTGGCGGTGGTTTCGTCTCGATCGGAACAGCGGTTTTGAAGATATCGCCAAGTGTTTTTTTCGCGCTAAATCGCTACGCTACAAACCGTAACACGAAACCCAGCATGTTTAGTATCGTTGGACTCGGCAATGATTCAGGAACTCAAAAAGATGACTCCCGTGAAAATAAGTGTACCACACCCAAAGTTATAAGCGCTTGAAAAAACAATTCACCACTAGGTGGCGCTGTTTCGAAACTTCTCAGGCTTCTTCAGGGCATCGTACTGATGACCCATACCGAGTTTCGTAACAATTCGTTCATGCGTTCAAAAAATACAGCATTTTAGCACATAATTCAAAATGGCCGACAGCCAAAATGGCCGATCTGGGAAAATTGGATATCAGTTGACTCGGCATGATGCCCTGAATCTAACGAGATGAAGTTTATGATTTTTGGACAAACCGTTCAGAAGTTACGAGCAAAAATAGCCATTTTTCATATCTCCGGACCACTAGGTGGCGCTGCGCCGAAACGCAGCACGTAGCCTCAGGTCATGCTTGTGATGACACGTACAAAGTTTGGTCTGAAAACGAGTAAGCGTTGCGGAGATACAGCCTCACGTCTGTTTTCGCAAGCGCTACGTAAAATTAGTTTGCACGCTTATCGAAAACGGTTATTCGAATCATCATGAATTCCATAACTTTTTGTCAGCACTGCCTGGAGATGATCCGGTGCGATTTTGGTGAAAATCGGACAAACCGTCTAGGACGAGTTCGCAAAAGTAGGTTTTTTAGAAAATTCAAAATGGCGGCCGTTTTTTTATGACGGAAAATGACGTCATAGGGTGCGATCGAATCGGCATGAGCTCAGGAACAAGAGGAAAAAAGAATTTTGTTGATAGGCCTTACGGTTCAAAAGTTATTAGCATAATAAAAGTGAAACTTTGGACAGTTGGTGGCGCTAGAGGGAATGCGTTAGAGACACCAAAATTGGTGTATTTAAAGATGGGACTGTCCTCTATCAGAATGTCAAACCAAAACAACTTTCCCGCAAACCGGTCTATGGCTGCCATAGACGCCAAGTCGGAAACGAAGAAGAATAATAATAAATATAGCTGCAAGCAGCCATTACCGGGCCAAGCGCAAGAAGCGGCAACATATGCCAAAATGGCTAGGAGTGGCAGACCAACTGCAGCAAGGAGCAATTAAGGGCATTTTGAGAGAACTTTGGGCAAATGGCTAAAAAAATCACATAAACATTAACTTATAAGATGATTTAATGGGTTATCACTTTCGAACAATAGGTGGCGCAGTTCCGAAATAGATGTGATGTGGTCAGAGGGAGGTGACAATGACACAGGCAAAGTTTGGTGTCAAAATGTGAAGGCATTGCAGAGATAAAGCCTAAATAGTAATTTTGGCAGCATGCCTAAACTTTGATGCTGTGGTATACGAAAACGGTTTTGTCTATCATCGTGCAATTCATAACTTTTAGTCGGCACAGTCTGGAGATGATGCGATTAAATTTTCGTGAAAATCGGACAAACGGTCTAGGAGGAGTTCGAAAAAGAAGGCTTTTCAAAGAAATAAAGATGGCGGACAGGAAGTTTGGCTGATTATGCAAAACCTGATATCTATGTTTTCGGCATAACCCAAGGAATCTATTAAGATCAGTTTCATTGCAATAGGCAAATTTATTCAAAAGTTATTAGCGTTCTCAGAAATTAATTATAACTTTTGACCAACAGGTGGCGCTGTCTCAAAATCTTTTGAGTACCTTCAGGGCATGCTGCTTATGGCACACACTGAGTTTCGTAATGTTAGACCAAAGCATTTGTTTAGTATAGCATTGTATTTCACAAAACTGTATTGAAGTCAATGGGAATTTCACGTTTTGTTCTATTATAGCGCCACCAAGAGGCTCAGTCCCACAATTTTTTTTATGTGTCCTCAGAGTGACCCCGTACATATGTGTGTCAATTTTGGTGCAAATATCTCAATTTACTTCCGAGTTATAAACATTTATATGAAAAAACACGTAAAAAATGACTGACACATGACTTTGTTTGAATTTTACTACCCCTTACTATCAATATTTACGCATTTGGGCATTAGCGTATAGTTAACAAGCTATGATTCCGTGTTTCTGGCGATGGTTTCGTCTCGATCGGAACAGCGGTTTTGAAGATATCGCCAAGTGTTTTTTTCGCGCTAAATCGCTACGCTACGCCATCCGTGAGACGAAACCCGACATATTTGGTATCGTTGGACTCGGCAACGATTCAGGACCTCAAAAATATGACTCCGTGAAAATAAGTGTACCACACCCAAAGTTATAAGCGTTTGAATAAAACAATTCACCACTAGGTGGCGCTGTTTCGAAACTTCTCAGGCTCCTTCAGGGCATCGTACTGATGACCCATAACGAGTTTCGTAACAATTCGTTCATGCGTTCAAAAAATACAGCATTTTAGCACATAATTCAAAATGGCCGACAGCCAAAATGGCCGATCTGGGAAAATTGGATATCGGTCGACTCGGCATGACGCCCTGAATCTAACGAGACCAAGTTTTTGATTTTTGGAGAAACCGTTCAGAAGTTACGAGCAAAAATAGCCATTTTTCATATCTCCGGACCACTAGGTGGCGCTGCGCCGAAACGCAGCACGTAGCCTCAGGTCATGCTTGTGATAACACGTACCAAGTTTGGTGTGAAAACGAGTAAGCGTTGCGGAGATACAACCTCACGTCTGTTTTCGCAAGCGCTACGTAAATTTTGTTTACGCGTTTATCGAAAACGGTTATTCAAATCATCTTGAATTCCATAACTTTTTGTCAGCACTGCCTGGAGATGATCCGGTGCGATTTTGGTGAAAATCGGACAAACCGTCTAGGACGAGTTCGCAAAAGTAGTTTTTTTGGAAAATTCAAAATGGCGGCCGTTTTTTTATGACGGAAAATGACGTCATAGGGTGCGATCGAATCGGCATGAGCTCAGGAACAAGATGAAAAAAGAATTTTGTTGATAGGCCTTACGGTTCAAAAGTTATTAGCATAATAAAAGTGAAACTTTGGACAGTTGGTGGCGCTAGAGGGAATGAGTTAGAGACACCAAAATTGGTGTATTTAAAGTTGGGACTGTCCTCTATCAGAATGTCAAACCAAAACAACTTTCCCGCAAACCGGTCTATGGGCTGCCATAGACGCCCAGTCGGAAGAAGAATAATAATAATAATAATAATAAGAACCGGCACAGATACAATAGGTGCCTCCGCACCTTCGGTGCTTGGCCCCTAATAATAGGAAACGGAACAGATACAATAGGTGCCTCCGCACCTTCGGTGCTTGGCCCCTAATAATAAGAACCGGCACAGATACAATAGGTGCCTCCGCACCTTCGGTGCTTGGCCCCTAATTACTAAAACAAACAATGAACAATTTAAATAACACTGCACCACAACAAAGTTACAAAGTAGTTTAAGTAATATTCAAAAATAAAAAAAAACTATTAAAAAAATACATTAATAATACTAAAATAACACTGCAGCTTTCACAAGAAAATGTCATCAGTAAGGATGGCCATCAGAACTTCGAATCGGAAACGACCTCTTATATAATGAGTCCCATATATAAGTTCAATGGGTTTTGTGAAGCACACGGCCTTGCTTATAATAGTACGTGCGCAAACAGCGACTCAAAAACTCCTTCGAGGACGAACCCCATCTAAACAGTGTTATCACATCTAACAGCTCCAGCTTACATCGAGCAGATTGCCTTGCACAGAGTATCTGAAGAGCAGCTTCTGTGCCTCCACACTCCCGGAGGAGTAGATGAACACCTTCAGTCCCCGATGCCTCCACCTCCTGACGGCTGGAACCACGTCCGGATACACCCTGCGACAAGACCACCACATCACTCATCTATACCACAGCAGAAACCGTCACTGAGAGCTAAAGACACGTCTCTTCTGCTCACAGAGGCTGCACTTATTTCACCAAAAACACAGTAAAATCAACAATATTGCATTATTACAATGTAAAATACTTTAGTAAAGTGTAATGTATTCCTGTGATCAAATCATTACTCCAGTCTTCAGTGTCACATGATCCTTCAGAAATCAGTATAATATGAAGTATTTCTGATTATTATCAGTGTTGAAAACAGTTTCTGCTGACACACATTTATTTAGGATTCTTAGATGAATGGAAAGCTCAGTAGAAATGTATTTGAAAGACAAATCTATCAATTTAATGAGATATTGACGAATAAAAGGATTAATCTAAGAAAACTCTTTCAGACAGCACACTTTTGAACAGTGGTGTATTTTGTTGTTATAGTCTTCACTTTACATGTTGTTTGGAGGATATCATGGAGCATGATGTGGAATAACATGCTTTTCTAATTAAATACAGAACATTATCAGTTAATCGAATAAATAATCAACAGATTAATCTACTATCCAAATAAACATTAGTTACAGCTCTTACGGCTTCAGAGGAAAAAATATTTATTGCAATGAATATTTACATATACAATATATATATATATATATATATATATATATATAAATATTAAGGCTGTCAAATGATTAATCGCATCCAAAATAAAAGTTACATACTGTAATATATGTGGGTGCACTGTGTATAATTATTTTACACACACACACACACACACATGTATATTTAATGAAAATATTATTTATATATAAAATATTGATATTTATATATAATATAAATAAATCTACATACAGTATACAAATGAAAATATTTCTTAAATATATACAAGAATGTGTATTCATGTGTATTTATATATCTAAAATAATTATACACAGCGCACCCACATATATTATGTAAACACAAACTTTTATTTTGGATGCGATTAATCACGATTATTCATTTGACAGCCCTATTATATATATATATATATATATATATATATATATATATATATACACTGTATATATATTCGTGTTGGGCCAATTTTTTTTTTCAATGAAATGATTGTACTATATTTTAGTTTGATAATGTATTTAATTTAATATTTTTAGAGGATTTTATATAATAGTAAATTATATGTATGCAGTATTTATAATCCATTTCTTCACGTTTTGAGCATGGAGCTGAAAATGAAATTTCCAACTTCAACTGTCGTAAATCTTGAATGCTTTGGATACATAAGTTTGGTCTTTTTTTAAGACAAAACTTGGTATTTAAAACACATTTCACTCCAAAATTGTGAGAAAATAAAAGCCATAACCAAATGTGAAGTTGATATCTAAAAAAAAAGAGCTTTTCAGCTTGTGTGTGCAGTGCCAAACGTTCTTTGTTGATTTCTTTAGCAAGTGTCAAAACTTTCAACCAAGTGTTGCATCATCCTGATGAAGTAAAAAAAATCCAAAAAAACAAAACATGTGCGTGTGTGCAAAAGTGATAATGTGTAAAATGCTGTTATTGTGTGTACATGTATATCGGAGTAGGAAAAAGCCTGTAGCCACAACCTAGTTTAATAGCCTATATTTAAAGCATACATTTGTAGTATGATTCAGTGTGCACATGTCCTCATCAGGTGTGTGTGTGTGTGTGTGCAGGGAAAGATGATGTTTACTTACTCGCCTTTGATTTTGCCGGTCAGGTAGGCGGCTCTCCACATGTGTCCCTGCAGCTGCTTGAGCGCCGTGCTCTTGCGGTCCGCATCCATCTGCCACAGCACGTTATCCACCACCTCACGGATGGCCTTCTCCTCGTCTGTGTGGACCGTCTGGTCCACTGCGTGCACTGGACCCGCTTTATTCTGCCGCAAGTCCTCTTCAGCCTGACAACAGACACGGTTCAGGCACAACCACTGCATTACAGCCATTATACGGCTTTCAGACATCCACACGCGAGTGTTGATGCGCAGGGACAACATGCAAACATTTAAAAGGCAGCTATAAATTAATTCTTTATAAAGACCAGGTTATCGATGGAAGCTTTTTATCCCCAGCATGGAAAAATACAAATGTTAAAGATAATTGCGACTTTTTTGTCACGTAATTCTGACTTTTTTTTCCTCAGAAAAAAATCACAATTGTGAGAAATGAAATAAAAAGTCGCAATTATATTTTAATAAACTTTCTCGGTTGACTAAAACTATAACAGAGAATCTATGTTAACAAATTAATGAGAATTTGAAATGTTGCCTCAGTGGGAAATAAACTTAAAGAAGTTGAAGCACTTATATTATCAACTGGAAATAAATAAAAACTAAACCAAAAATAAATGAAACTTAAATAAACCAAATAAAAAAAAAAATGTGCAAAATGTTTATAAAAAAAATAAAAAGCTAATTCCAAAAATCAATAATAAAACAAAAAAGTAAAATAACATTAAGACCAAATGTATACCTTGAAAAAAAAAATAGTACTGTACTTTGTAATATTTACTTGTTTATTTAATTTTTTTTTTTTTATAATTTTTTTATTTTTTTATTTAACCTTTATAACTAATTCAAAGTGCTCCTATTGTAGTTTTTCAAATATTCCTTTTCATAATGTGTGTAATATAGCTATTTATGAATGTAAACGTTCTGCAAAGTTGCAAAGTTGAAAGTGTACGATAAATAAAAAGTTATTGTCTCCCAAAAGAAAGAATACACTCTGAACCTCCTACATGAGTCATTGGTATTTCCAATCCCACTGTGTGACAATTACACGTCACTAGAAAAGACATTTACATAATGCCCGGCTATGTTGTACGCTGTCCGCCCGAGAACAACTTGACACGGCCAGTCGGCCACACAAACACGTCATTTTACTGACGGCTGCTTCTCAGATCTCAGATTCTCAGGACGAAGCTGAAGTTTAGTTACAGTAATGGACATTTAACTTCAGTTGTGCGCTGTAAACAGTAGACCCATCACAACAGACTGGGCCATCTGACCAATCAGAGCAGACAGAGTAGACCAATCACAACAGACTGGTCCATCTGACCAATCAGAGCAGACCAGACCAATCACAGCAAACTGGGCCGTCTGACCAATCAGAGCAGAGAAGACCAATCACAGACTGGGCCATCTGACCAATCAGAGCAGACTGAGTAGACCAATCACAACAGACTGGCCCGTCTGACCAATCAGAGCAGAGTAGACCAATCACAACAGACTGGGCCATCTGACCAATCAGAGCAGAGTAGACCAATCACAACAGACTGGGCCATCTGACCAATCAGAGCTGAGTAGATCAATCACAGCAAACTGGCCCGTCTGACCATTTTCATTGCATTAGAGCTATAGTTCACACTACATGAACAGTCATTTTCAAAAATCCATGATAGGTGTGAAAAAGGCAGTGAAAAAAAAAACTGGCTTTACCTTCACATTGTAGAGCACAGCATCTTCTGGACATGATGCTGTCCACTTAAGTGGTGTCTGCGCGCCAATATATGGGCGGGTATTCGGGTAATATGCTAATGTTCATCTGACATCACAACAAAACGGCTTATGACTCGTTTGAATAACGATTCATTTCATTGAGTCAGAGTCCACTCTTACTTATGAAAGACAATAACTTAATATACGGTGCACTTTCAGATTTAAAACTTTGCAGGGTGCAGTTTTCATTCCTTTAGAGCTATGTTACACACTACATGAAAGGTCATTTTCAAAACAAAACAAAACATAATAATAGGCGCCCTATAACCTATGTTTGATCATTTTAATAAAATTATTTATTTATTTACAAAACACTATTGCACACATTTCGGTTAGTGCGAGGGCACGTTGTCATGCAAAAAAAAAAAACCGTGGACACAACCACCCATTCTATTTTCATATGAAAATAAGCTGAGAAACCTGTTTCTTGAGCAGATGCACATCTTGTTTGCACTCGTCCTCTTCCCAGTGTGCAGACAGATATTCCTCCAGATTCTCTCTGATGAAGGGGAATAAGATGTCCTGCAGACAGGAGACAGCAGAATAAAGCCTCTGGACAGGGTGTAGCTCAGGATCTCGGGCTGTGGGCTCTTACCTTGACAAACGTGATGGGCGTCGTTGTTCCTTCAATGTCCAGAAGAAAGACTCTAGTGTTTTCCGCTACTGCAATCGCTGCCATTTTTATCAATGGCAAACGATATATGTGTCTGTGAAAGCCCTGTGTTTTATTTGATTTTATTAGAAAAGAGGCTCGGGTCTTGACAAATCAATCAATAGTAGCATACAGGCTAGCGGTGAGTAGCTAACAACACATGGAGCGGTTACAGGGTTGCCAAGTCCTTGCAAACTCAGAGAGGCACGCCCTCTAGTATCGTCATAATTATTTTAATATTCATATTTAATCATATTTATTTTATTCATGCTACTTTGGCAAAGTTCATTTGGTATACCTTTGCGTTTAAAAATGCTCGTACGTTTTGTACGATGTATCATGCATGCAGCTCCACATTTATAATAGCTTGGAAAAAAAGCCTTGTCAATTGAAGGCAATGATGATCGTAATTATAATATTCTTATCAATAATTATAGATTCAGAACCACATATTAGTTGCAGTTCTACTTATGTGTCGGGGTGGTGGGTTAATCAAGGAAATGCATAAATGTACTTATTTTGTAATTACCTTTTAAGCGGTTGATGATTTTTGCCTAATCTGGCAACAGGCTGGGAAGGGCTGTTGAGTGAGGAAGTAAATGCAAGACTAAAGTCTATAAATAAAATAATTTTTCCATTTTTTTTTTAAATATCCTTAATTTATGTTCTTGTTTTATATTCAAACCCCGCTTTTGGATAATTGTGTGTAAACTGTTTACCAAACACTGTCGTTACAGTTTTTTTTTTACATGCACCTGTCCTGGTTATATCAATAGATACAGAAAATAAAACGTATTCATATAAAAAATTTGATAATCTCTTTAGACTAAACAAAAAAATTTTTTTTTATCTTTGCAATTGTTATATTTAATCTTTGTTCTTCTTCTTCTTTTTCTTTTTCTAAGGTCTGAGGAATCAAACAATGTAGGCTACAGTCAGCCAGTATAATGATGTAGATTTGCTAAAAAAAAAATTTAAAAAAAGAAAAACAGCAAAGAAAATATAGGAGAAGATAAAAAAGACCATGAGGGTAACATATTATTTGTTTACATCAGTCAGAGTCAAAGTAAAGTCATTGCATTGAGGTTGTTTTAATTGCTTTCTTATTTTCTGAGGAAGAAATAGTGTTAAGTTTCATTTTAAATTCTTAAAAAAAACAAGAAAAACTGGTTTGTTGTTGGTAAATTTACATTTATGTATATGGAATTTGCCAAGAATTTTTATTTATTTATTTATGACAAAGCAAGCTTTGTTTTTTGTGGGGTTAAAATCAAAGTTTCCAAAAAATAATGTCTTTATCTTGCTGCACATTCTCTTTAATATTTTTTTCCCATAAAAATATTTTGCAGAAGAATCGAAAAGCCTCGCGCAAAGCAGCTCTCCAATGGGAACGCCTCCCCTTTTTCATCTGCAGGTGACCCGCAACAGATCCACTGAAACAGACTTCGGTGAACAAAGGTGGCTTTCATTTAAAATATTTAATAGAATGCAAATATTAATAAAGGTAAGCTCTCTGGGCCATCTTAAATAGAACACTGTGGCTAGATGTGTCTCGTATTTATTTATTCATGTTTAAGCATAAATATAATTATACTGTAATGAAAGAAAACATATTTAAAAGTGTTTAATTAACATATTTAATTATATATTATAACACCTGCTATTATATATTTGATATCTATTGTGTATGTGTTATGTTAAGCCCCGCCCCTCTCCCGATTCCTCGCGCAGAGAGACCAGAGACGGATTTCGTCACTGATCTCCGTCCGCCATTTTAATCAACGCGGCACTTTATTTGTGTTGGAGTCTATGACCTTTTAAAACCGCTGTAATATATTCTACTTTATAGCTAGCGTCGGATCAAACCACACATACTCCAAAATGCAGGCCGAAGAACAAGGCGACTTCAGCACTGACGAGTTTCCAGAAGGCTCCAAAATAAACGCGAGTAAAAACCAGGAGGATGACGGGTGAGTGTCGGAGCGCGCGGCCTTCCCCGCACTGCCTCGCTGACTTTAATCACTAAATCACATCAAAATCACATGTTTGCATCCTTTATGCACATCAAAGTTGTTTCAAACGCGTATATTATTAATGTGCTCAATACTTACAGCTTAATATGCTCAAAACCTAGTCATTGTTATCAACCCGTCTGCATCAAATATGCATCCTGGCGTCTAATGGCTTGGATTTTACTTTGGGCATTGGTAAAATGATACCGTGCTTAGCTGCTAATGTTTTTCTGTTTCATTTGACTATGTTGCATTCTTAACATGCTTCACCAGCAAATGTAAATATAATATTAGAACTTGCACGATAAAGCATTGTTTATTCGGTGCCAAATAAATTTTTATTTTATTTATTTTTTTACATTTGAGCAGGAAAATGTTCATCGGTGGACTAAGTTGGGACACCAGCAAGAAAGACCTTACTGACTACCTGTCCAAATTTGGAGAGGTCCTGGACTGCACCATCAAAACAGACCCCATGACCGGGCGCTCCAGGGGCTTCGGGTTCGTGCTCTTCAGAGATGCTGACAGTGTAGATAAGGTAAATGCTTTCTGACACTCATTACATTTGTTGAGAAGATTCCTTTGACATCATGTTCATAACTGGTTCTTCTTGTGTTCAGGTGTTAGAGCTGAAGGAGCACAAGCTGGATGGCAAATTGATTGATCCCAAGAGAGCCAAAGCCATTAAGGGCAAGGAACCCCCCAAGAAGGTTTTTGTCGGAGGTCTAAGTCCAGACACAACTGAGGAACTGATCCGGGAATACTTCGGGGCTTATGGGGACGTAAGTAACTCGAACTGAATCTAATTATGAATGTATTTGAGACTTTTGATAACCACACTTGCTTATAATCTAATCCGTTATTATTCTGTCTAAAGATTGAAAGCATTGAGCTTCCCATGGACACCAAAACAAATGAGAGGAGGGGATTCTGCTTTGTGACGTACGTTTTAGAGGATCCGGTTCAGAAACTGCTGGAGAACAGATACCATCAAATTGGATCAGGGAAGGTATGTTGATATTATCAAAATATCTCGCAGATCATTTGACACACACCAGTACCTCATTAAGTATAAATAAAACGGGTCATAGTAGGAATGCGATCCACTTAAGTATTGTCTTTTACACATTTATTTTATATCTTTACACTATCAATCAAGTGTTTGGGATCAATATTTTTTAATATATATTTTTATTTAAGTTTTATTCATCAAGGATGCATCAAACTTCACAGTAGACACAGTAGAAGACATTTATTATGTTATAAATTATTAAATAATCATTAAATACAAATGTATCATGGTTTACACAAAAATAAGAAGCAGCACAACTGTTTTCAATATTGATAATCAGAAATGTTTCTTGATCATCATATTAGAGTGATTTCTGAAGGATCATGTGACACTGAAGACTGGAGTAATGATGCTGAAAATTCAGCTTTGATCACAGGAATAAATTACATCAGTTTTGACAACATGATTTTAAACTGCTGTGTATTTTCTTTGAAAACATTATGAAGGGTCTTATCAGAGGAATATCTGTTATTTCAACTAAACCTCTGTTGCTGTGAGGTAAAATATTTCAATAGTTATAATAATAGTTAAAATGCAGTTTCGATGACTTTTTTTCATCAATTGAACACAAAAAACAATATGTAATCATTTTTATGCTTCAACAGTACATAGTAATAGCTGTATTCATCTTCATATTGATAAACATTTTAACATTCCTTAGTGAACATGTTATCATAGTCTGACTTGAGATTATGGGAATAATTTGATTTGACCAACTTTAATGTTTTGTTGTCAGGGATGTTATTAAAATTTAATAAAAAGCACATTTAAAATGCTGATTTGGTCCACTTCTGTTGCCGTAAAGAACTCAGTACATGATAGTAATGCTGTTTCCATTTGTTGCCAGTGTGAAGTGAAGGTTGCCCAGCCTAAAGAAGTGTACAGACAGCAGCAGAACCGAGCGGACCGGGGCTTTGGTGGAGGACGGGGAGGAGGAGGAGGACGCGGAGGTGGCCGAGGAAGAGGTATGCCAATCTAGAGATGGCTCTCTCTTTGGCCAGCTGCTACTTCTAGCTCTTCTTGACCTAAAGGGTTCTCTAACTCTTTCTGAACAGGACAGGGCCAAGGCTATAATCAAGGATACAACAGCTACTATGGCCAGAACTATGGAGGCTACGGCAATGGATACAACCAGGGCTATAATGGCTATTCTGGCTATGACTATTCAGGATACAACTATCCAAATTATGGCTATGGACAAGGCTATGATGAGTACAATGGTAATTTTGCACACATTTAACCCTCAGAGAGCCACGCATTTATATTTATGATGTATTTTATTTTTCACCCTTTAACGTGTCTTTAGGAAGCTGTTAGTTATTAAAACAATTTAGTTTAGGTAAATGTTACATCAAAGGTGTAGGTTGGGAAAACTCGCAACACAATTTCACAGGTTTTGAAAAATTAGGATATAGTCATGAAGTTAGATATTTCACAAGATGGTGGCCATTTAAATACAGTAATAAAGCATGTTTTAGATATTATTAAAACAGGACGGTGAAGGCAAGACACCTCAGATTAATAGGGTAAGCAAATTAACTAATAGATTTCACCATACTTCCCCAGTTGATTGAACATTTTTTTTGTTTTACAAGTTTTCTGAAATGTTATATGGTAATTTCCAGAACAGAAATCTGAAAATTGGATTAAGCCAGGTTTAAAGTTTGTTTCATTTTAGATTTAAAGGTTTTTACAGAGGGGCCTTTTTATTTCTCCATAAATCTGAAAATACTGTCAACATCCAGAAATAAAATATTTTTCACAATATGAAATGTTTAAAATCAGGCTAATTGAATAGGATCAAACCCCTCAGTAAAAATCTTCAGTATATATATATATATATTCCTAATATATATAGGAATAAAACGGGAAAGTTTGGTGTTTGTAAGAGCTGCTGAAGTGGAGATTTATGAGTCAGTGCAGGAGAAAAAACGGCCTTTAAAGATATGTATTGTAATTCCAATCTGCAGACTCAAATAGGTGCAATAAAAGCAACACTTAAAAGTGAATTTGGGATGTTTTCTTTCCACTAGTTTGAAAGCACACTTTATGAAAAGCCAAATAGTTCAAAATTGACCGATGCATGAAAAAAAAACTGTTTTTGCCTGTAGTGTCCCGCCTCAATTTAAAAAAGTATATCTACTTTTTATGTCAATAAAAATTATGAAACAGCTAATTGGAATAGTTTTTGTACCATTCATTGAATAGGCTCCATTGTGTAAGATAAATTGAAAATAGCTTGATCTCTAATTTATGTACAGAATTGCAGGACTTTTCCCACCACTAGACAAACGGAACTAAAATGAAAAACAAAATTAGGGATGTTTCAGACTGCCAACAAAAACCAGAGTTTTTTACATATCCGGATGGGTTTTTGAAAGTCTGGAAAGCAAAAAAAAAAAAAAAAAGAATCAAATTTGGAGGTGGTTAAAAATATGCGATTCCATTCATATTTTACAGACGCTTCCCAGTCTGGAAGCTCAAATCGGGTTTCAAACTATCTTAATGCGCGCAACACACAACGAAAACGCCAAAACTGGTGACTGACAAATGCCGAATTAATCTTTCTGGGTTCAAAGATGGAGGAGTTATTTGTAGAACGAGATGATGCACTTCCATTTGTTTTAAAAGCCTCATCACATACACGGGAACGTCCACGTCATTACCAAAGCAACCCGTGGTGTGTTGGTTATGTCTGGACGCATCATATTTGATCACTTGCAGAGAAAAGATTTGAGCATGGCTTTAGATGTAATAGGTTGAGTGCCTTTTTGTCCCGACAAAACGTTGTTGTTGTGATTTATTTTTGTGTTTAGTTTATAGTGACTCTTGAATCGAATTGCTTTCTACAATTGTGCTACAGCATCTGTATTGGATTTCTGTAGGTCAAACGAGCAGTTACGGCAAGGCCTCGCGGGAGGGCGGAAACCATCAGAACAGCTACCAGCCGTATTGATGAAGTGGCTAAACGCATTCATATCAATGGTAAGGTCACACATCTTCGCCACGCTCTGGACCCGACCTGTATGTTAAAGATCAATAGACAATAACTAACAGCCTAAAGGCGGCCTATGCATACCAATGCAGCTGAGTTAAATACATGTCTATAGATCTTTAATCGCTAATGTTTGTGTAGCCATTTTGCCTTTTTAGCGTGCCAGAAAAACGTAAGAGTTTTTCTGTAGGTTTTCCTTTTCCTCCTCCTGCTTTAACAGGTGTTCATAAAGGAATAACATAGAGACTTGATAGCAATGCTAACAGGTAAAGTACAGCTAAAGGGGTACAGAGTAAAGGCGCCTCTCCTGATTTTTCCTTTCTTTCCCTAATTCTGATTATTGTACCTTGTTTGTACCTGCCAGCGGGGACTTCATTGCAGGCCGTGTGTCACCTGACCACGACATTCTCTGGGCGTCGCACATAGCGGGCAGAGAGCACGGCATGCACAAGAAAGCGCTGTCCTGTGGTATGGTCTCTTCAAACTTCCTGTACCAGCGTAAAACAAACAAAAAGACAAAGGAGATTCCCCCATTTTCCTTAAGTTGTTGGTTTTCGTTAACAGTTCAAAGTGTGTTTTTTCCAGGACTTTATTAACGTAACCTAAAAGTGATTCATAATAACTGCTTTGATGTATTCTCTTTTTCAATTGTAGTGCTCTTGTATTTCAGTTGTGGAGCTTCAGTGATTTTTATTTTCTTTGGTTTCTTCCTTAAAACGGTCACCTCCCTTGTAAATAATTGCATAAACTCTCTCATAATGCTTGCTTTTTCTTTAGAGGCCATAGAGAACTTCAAATGGGTTCACCAAGGCTTTTTCTTAAACGTAGCCTTTAAAGATCATATGTAATATGGGTTTACGAAGCCATTAAAAGCTGATAAATCTGTGTTAGACAGACTCACACATTGGCTGAATGCAAATGACATTGCGATTTTCAGGTTAAGACGTTTGGGCTCGCTCCTCGAATGGTCGACCGGCCTCTTGGAGCTGAAGCTTTTGCTGGCTTATGAGCTGTTTTGTCGTTATAAGACGTCGAACATATGATCTTTAATCTTTAATGATGATTTTCCTAGTTTAAAATCGACAGCTCAAGAAGTTAAACACTGAAACATGGACGTGCTGTTTTTTTTGACGCGTCCAAATCCGAGTGGTTCATCTTGTGTATCTTCTCTTGTAGGTCGGCAGGCTGACTTCGATATTGCTCCTCGGAGGCAGCTTGTGGAATCCTGTCCGTAAACAACTATTAAATATGTTATCCGGTCCTCTGGGGACAAATTCAGTGTCTGACCTTGTAAATAGCGAGACGTTTTGTTTCCAAGTTTGTCTTATTCTGTGCTTTGTTCAGATCGAACCTGTAGGTTTTGTGCTGATGTGTTCTTAAGTCTTGATTAGGAAAAGTGTCCTTTATTTTGTATTTTAGTTCTTTTCCTGACGTTTTTTTGGATAAAGGGATTAAAAAATGGGAAACAGTTTTTTTTGTCCTGTGTTTTCATTTTCTCTTATACACTAACTGTAATACATACCTGTGTTATAACAAAAAAAATAAATATTACCTTTTCACATCGTTGGGGGTGTACAGACTAAATATGTATAGCAGGGGTTTACAGTAAGTGGGATCCTAAAAAAAAAATGCAACAAATATGCGTAAGAATTGCGTCTTGATTCTCAGTGACGTCATGACGTTGAACTTCCGTTTCGCCGCCATTTTGTGAATGGACGCCGTTGCTATCGACATCCCGAAAACAGACTAAAATAAACGCGATTCTGAGTCCAATTAATACGATTTTCAGTCACTTCAGTTAAGTTACAACCTTAGACGCATTCTTCAAAAGAACACGACGTGATTGCACGCGGTTTCGCCGAGAATTGATCAAGGATGTCGGAGGAGCAGAATCTGGGCGAAGACTCGATGATGATGGTGATGAAGATGGAGGATGATGATGGAGAGGGATTGGGCGAAGAGCAGATGCCGGGCGCTGATGAAGAGGGCGGGCAGGGAGAGGCGGAGGGCTCCAAGATAGATGCCAGCAAGAATGAGGAGGATGAGGGGTGAGTAAACGCCATGGAGAGAGACCGCAGTAAATAAACCTAAATTTAGACATTTCCTTATACTAATAGAGTCGTTTAACGTTAGTCATTTTTGTAAATCGTTAAGAGTCTATTCGACTTTAAGGTAACGCGTTTCGTTCAAACAAGTACACATTTCAGCTAATTTTCTGTGAATCAATATATCATTTTTATCTTGATGGGCCAAACTGTCAAGAAACCGTAGCGCGATCACAGAATGCCGATTAAAGTCATATGAAATACAATTATAATACAATTCTAAGTTATGAGTAGCTACTGTATGTGTAGACTACTTTTTTATTTTTTAAACGGTGTGAAAAGTAAAAATTATCATCTTTGACTTGTCAATGTATTTACACCTTTCCTCATAGTAACTGAAACTTTCAGTTATTCTTTTCAGCTGGCTGACCGTACAAATATTCATGGTAGTAAGCATTTTTAAAGGGAAATTATACATTACAACAGGAAAATGTACCTTTTGTAAAAAAAAAAAAGTGAGTCTGCACATGCGCATAACTGGTAAGTAGCAAATCTCGATGGGTAGCATGAATCGTCAGAACACCTGTAATTGTGAATATTCATTAGTCGTGTGGGCATATTCATGAGTTTACATCTGCTCGTTAGCTTTCCGAACTCATTTGCCTTTCAAATAACGTTAGCTACACGTTTGTCAAATAAGAAGCGTTTTTTCAAAAGAGAAACTCATTAAACTTATGTATGTGTAGGTGTTCACTCTGTGCTGGATTATCACGTCATATTGGATATTATTAATTCATAAATTCATGACTTCTTTTCAAAGTAAGTTTTGAAACATAAACAAGTAGTAAATTGACCTTGATTTTAGCCGATTTCTGTAACTCACCTTAATATATTCTTGAGCCACTGTATGTTCTCACATCAGTATTTTGTTTCAGGAAAATGTTTGTTGGGGGCTTAAGTTGGGACACAACCAAGAAAGACCTGAAGGATTACTTCAGCAAATATGGAGAGGTGGTCGACTGCACCCTGAAACTGGATCCTTTGACAGGCCGGTCCCGAGGATTTGGCTTTGTTCTGTTTAAAGAAGCTGACAGTGTGGAAAAGGTATCTTTGCATATAGTTGTGTGTGTGTGCATTCATGTGCTTATTGTCATTACGCTATTAGTTGTGCAGCATAAGCTTCGTTTCAGTTATGCTGCTGAGGCAACCTTGATCAAATCAAAGTCTGATATCTGATCCATGTCAAAGGTGATCACGCAAAAGGAGCATAAACTGAATGGAAAAGTGATTGATCCTAAGAAAGCAAAGGCCATGAAGTCCAAAGAGCCTGTGAAGAAGATATTTGTGGGAGGTCTTTCCCCAGATACTCCAGAAGAGAAGATCCGAGAGTACTTTGATGGTTATGGAGAGGTATGGAGAACTATTTAAGTGTGTGTGTGTGTGTGTGTGTGTGTATATATATATATATATATATATATATATATAAGCTTAGGTTATATATACTATATTTACTTTTAAATATACATATATTTACATACATTACATACACATATTTACATATATATTTGCATTTCTTTTTTATATTTTCCCTAGGTGGATTCCATTGAGCTGCCAATGGAGAATAAAACAAATAAAAGACGAGGTTTTTGTTTCATTACATTTAAAGAGGAGGAACCAGTAAAGAAAATAATGGAGAAGAAGTACCACAACATTGGTTTAAGTAAGGTAAAGTCTTAAATGTCCTAATGTGCATGATTCGGTCATTTGACATTACATTACAGTGTCTTTAAACAGAATTATTACATAGCTTCATTATTCTAAAACATAATATACTTGAAATGTGTTTCTCCATAGTTTTTGTTTCATAGATAAAACTTAATGAAAACAAAGCGAAGAAATTAACTGTTTTGTACAAATTTATTAAAATCTACAGTGGCCCACACATGAAATGCGGGAAAAACGGATACTGTGGCCACAAATTAAGAGTTTGTTCCCACATCAAAATAATTTAATCATTTATTATTTATCAGTTTGTTCACTTGTTGTGTTATTTAAAGGAGTCATATGATCCTATTTTAAAAAAGTGCATTATTTTGTTTATTGGGTGTAATAGAATAGACTTAAATGCTTTAATGTTCATAAAACATGTTTTTCACGTACTGTACATCATCACAGCACCGGTCTGTCTGAAATGCGCTGATTTCTACTAAGCTCCTCCTCCTGAAAAGCCCGAAGTGCTCTGATTGGCCACCTGACCCAGTGCGTTGTGATTGGCCGAACACCTCAGGCGTGTGCCGGAAATGTAACGGCCCTTACCATAATCACAAGCTTTGGCTTCCAAGACTTCTGAAGCAGTTATAAACACATTTATGATAAACACAATGATAATTAGCAGCACTAATTAGCAGATAATAATCAATTCATATTCTGACTTGGTTCAGGAAGCTGTCCTACTGTACGTTTGTTTCTTTTTGTGGTGAAAAGCTCTTGATGGCCTTTGTGAGACTGATCATGAGTGTAATGGCTCCTTCTGTTAGTGAGGTGTAATGTGACTGTGTGTGTGCAGTGTGAGATCAAGGTGGCCATGTCTAAGGAGCAGTACCAGCAGCAGCAGCAGTGGGGCGGGAGAGGAGGATACCCCTCCAGGTCCAGAGGGAGAGGAGGTGCGTTCGTCTATGATGACGGAAACTGACAAACAACACGATCCCTTGATAATGCTCAGACTGTAGAACGGTCGTAATTCAGAGTGTGGGAATTGGTCAAAATGGCGTCAGAAATTGAATTGGATGGATGTTAAAACGTTATGATGGAAAAATGAATTTACTACATTTTAAAGAAATTCGACATGCTTTGAGAAACAAGGCAACAAAACTTAATTATATAATTAATTAATGATATGTTGGATAAAAGTTTTTATTAGATGCACGAAGCTAAGTACAATAGAGTGCAACGGTCTGGTTCTGGAAGTATTAAAAAGCGTATGAAGCTTCAAATACAGCTCTACTGTGAGCTACGAGGTTGTGAATCAATGCTATTTGCTTCTGTTGAAGCCGTCTGTTCACATTATTTCAACTTATTTTTAAAATAATCATTTAACAGTGAAATTCTTGGTGAAAAACTACATTACCCATGATGCTGTAGAGAAAACCACCAATCAGAGTCCAAATATATTGTTAGCTCCGCCCACTCACATGAAACACTGCAAATGATTTATATATATATAAAAAGTAGTTTTTGCTTCTCCATTGTTTTTAATTGGATTGTAGTTCCCCCCTCAGTAAAGCCGTTTTGTTCAGTCTGGTACCTTTTTACCGATTCTGAAGTACTTTTTTTTTGCTTTAAATTAATGTTTGTTTTGATTCCCCTCGTAGCTGATTGGCTTATAAAGAAAACTTTTTTTAAATCCTTATGGGAGAGATGAATGAAAAAAAAAAAGTGATCCACAAATAATTCATTAAATACCACGAAGAGCAGATGTGGCAACATTTATCAATATTACTGAAAATCAATCTTGACCAAATTTCACTCCATTTTAATTTTATGTTCTTCTAATTCAAAATGTGATTTTCATATTCTGGATTGTGTTTGAACCCCCAAATCCACATTCAATGCTCTTTATTTATCGTGCCTTGCGTTTGGTTTCTGCTACAGGTCCCAATCAGAACTGGAACCAGGGATACGGAAACTACTGGAATCAAGGTTATGGAAATTACGGGAACTATGGCTACAACAATCAAGGCTATGGTGGATACGGGGGCTATGATTACTCGGGTTACAACAACTACTACGGATATGGTGACTACAGCAGTATGTAATACTGTTTGTGAACGCACAGATGACAAAACTAAGGATATATTGTATCGTGGATTGTCGGTACTCGACCCGGACTATGACAATTGTGCACTAAATTATCTGAGCAGAATGCACATGCTTGTATGATACATGCCTTACGCTTTTGAGAGAAAACTCTAGAACGTTTGCTGCAGTTGCTTTTTGTCTTACAGGGAAGGAAGGCTCGCTTGCACAAAGCTACATTGTACATATGTATTATAATAACTATGGTGCTAAATATAGAAAGGGATGTCTTTAGCTTCAAAACACATTTGTCAAAGTGCCTTTGAATCCATTGGATAGTCACTGAACGTGTAAATCTGTAGGCCATGCCAAAAAAAAAAAAAAACGACCGCTGGACAGTGGCTTGTTTTTTTTTTTAGAAGAAAATAAACAGTTTTCAAACATTCACCCATTTACTCCACAAATTTTTGTCTCTCACCACATTTTCAGAATACAGTATTTTCAGTAGGATTAACGTAAGTATGTCGCAAGCATCACAGAATTTGGCTCTGAAACCCGAATTATGTTTTCTAAGAAGCGTCTTTCTCAGAGGTCTTCTCGAGCGAGCGTACGCCACCAACACATTTGCGTTGTTTCTGTTTTGTGCTCCCAACTCTAGATCAGCAGAGCGGCTACGGCAAATCCCCGAGGCGAGGCGGCCACCAAAACACTTACAAGCCGTATTAACCTTTATGCGCCAGCCGAAACGTGCAGGTATGTGCTTGCGTCGCTCACGCCGACGCATCTTTAGCTCTCTAAATCATCACCATTTGATCTTTTTTTTTTTTTTTGTAATGTACATTGCTTAATTTTTGTTTTTCTCTAAAGTTTCACAGCACCCTGAAGTGCTTTACAGTAGTGGTAACATTTTTGGCAGTAATGTAACAGCTGGCTTTTGGCTGGCCATTTTTTAACTGTAAAAAGTAACAGGTACAGTACTGCTAAATGGGAAAATAGCAGAAAATATGGAATTACAAGGAAAGAAAACCGAAGAATGTTGTCTTCTCCTAACTCTGACATATACCTTGTTTGTACCTGCCAGCGGGGACTTCCTTGCAGGCCATGAGCTGACTTCCCGATTGTCTCAGGGTACGAGAGGCGTACGCTCTCGAATGCTCCCATTTGGTATGGTCTTCCAACATCCTGTATACCAGTTGTAAAAAAAAAAGCAAAAACAACAGCAGCTACAGCAACAAAACAAAAACATAAAAAGGACATCTTCTTTTGTTTTCCTCTTAAAACGTCTTGGGATTGGTTTTGTTTTATCTAACGGTATCTTATAATGTAATGCCATTTTTTCCAGGCACCATCAAGTAATGGTAAAATATGACGAGAGTCGGAGTAAAATTAACGTGACTTTTTGAAGGATCCGGCTTTCTCTGGACTTTCCAGGGTTAATTATGCACTGTAATGCTTGCTCTCCTTTATCTGTAGCTCGTGTAGCTGTAATTCCCTGTAGTCCATGAGCTACACGCCGGAGGCCGCCACTGCGCCGGAGAAGTGCTTTTTTAATATTTGTATTGTGTCATTTTTCTACTGACAGCGGTGGAAAAAGCTTCACCTTGTAAACCGTGTTAATTTCATCTAACAAATTCTCTTTTTTTTAACCTTTCGAGATCTTGGAAAAGTCGTATTGCTTATATGAGAACTTATGCTTGTAATGCTTTCCTTTTGTGTTTTAATTTCCATCAATTCAAGGTTTTGCATTAAAATGTTAATTTCACAACTATTCTATTTCAAAGTCACGGCTTGTCTCCTTATTGACATTAATTGGGATTCCTTAGCATTTTAAGAGTTTGTGTTTTTCGTAAGCTTAATTAATATTCCCTTCTTTGTTTTTCAGACGGAAGGGCGATTGAAAGTCCCCCCCGAGAGGAGAGAACGAGAGGCTTAAATGCGGAGTCGATCAACACGTTACTACACTTTGGTCGCCAGTTCAAATCTGAAATTACTTTCAAGCACACGCGCTAAAGTTTCAAGTGTTAATTCAATTGATATTCGTCACGAATTTTGTTTTTTATTTTTGCGTCTTCGTTCTAATCTAGAGCTTGTGAAAGTTTATGATAATGTTGTGTAGCTCTTATACATTTCTGTGTTGAGTACAATGAACCCTACAGAGCCCAAATCATTTAGAAACTATTTGTTTACAAGTCTATTAATTTATTGCTTACAAGTGTGTACAAAGTGTAGACCATTTAACATTCATATTGCAGTATTTTGCTACAGAGTCATGTAAACCATTTAGAAATGCAATGAAATAAAAGTGTATGAACGTGAAGCCTGGTATTTCTTTAGAGATTAAAGTAATAGTTCACCCAAGAATGAAGATTGTCATCATTTATTTGCCTTTGCCATGTGTTTTTTCCTTGCTGCTGTTTTCAGCGTCATAAAAGTGAAAGGTGCTGGAGTCCAGCTCTAAAATCACAAAGCAGCATCATAAAAGTGTCTGTATGACTTGTGTGCTATTCCAAGCCCTCTCAAGCACAAGTAATGTAGACCATACATTTATGGTGCTCAATTTAACAGTAAATTGAAAATATAAATCTCTATTATTATATTGTTACTAGGATCAGTATTTCCTATATAGAGCACATTAGTTTTATCCCAAATAATGCACTGTGTACTGTGACATTTATAAGGTTATTTTGTCATCTGTCAATCATAGTCTGATAGCCCCTCCCCCTCTACATCAGTTGAGAACATAAAGTGTCCAACATTCCACACTTGATTTTGAACACATTCTATTTGGAATTTGCAGTGTGAACACACTAACCAGGCTATTTATACTGCAACAGGACATGGAATAGTGCGCAAGTACGCAAATTGGGACGCACCTGATATCTATATAGGTTATACGTCCTCTTGACAAAGACACTGACTGATACATCGTAAGGGTTTGAGTTTAAACTTAAAGATATTGAAAAAACCTAAACAAAACTCAGTCCAGAACATTGTCTAGGTATAAAATCAGGGTCGTGAGTACATGGTGATTTCACAGTAGTTAAAGCATGCAGAAGTCATATAACAAGCTTAAGTTTACAGCATTTAAGCCATACTGAAGATTTGAAATGGTCATTGATGTCTGGATGAACATGTCAAGCACAGTGGTGAGTCACAAAGTAAATCTAATAATAAATCCTAAAACATTTTCCAGTAGGGCTGTCAAACGATTAATCGCATCCAAAATAAAAGTTTGTGTTTACATAATATGTGGGTGCACTATTATTGTATAATTATACTATATATATTAGTGTATAATTATTTTGTGTGTATATATATATATATATATATATATATATATATATATACATGCACATGTATGTATATTAAAGAAAAAAATATTTATAATACAATATAATATTTTCATGTATATAAACAGTATATACATGAAAATATTTCTTAATACAAGCATGTGTGTGTATTTATATATATATATACACACACATGCTTGTATATATTTAAGAAATATTTTCATGTATATACTGTATATATATTTATATATAATTTATATAATATATAAATATTTTATTATACATATTTTTTTATATATATATATATATATAAATAAAAAATAATTATGCACAGTGCACCCACATATACTATGTAAACACAAACTTTTATTTTGGATGCGATTAATCGTTTGACAGCCCTATTTTCCAGTTTCTATTTCGTCCTATAACATTATTACAACAATACCCTAAAAAACAATGCGTGTGTATTGAAGCCCAGACACATTTGTCCCAGATTTAAATAGAAAATATTGGGAAATGTCATTATCACAAAAATAGCAATTCATCTATACATAAATCCATGTAGTTACATAGTTACTTATCCAGTTTATAGGAACATTTTGAATTAATGTGTGCCTAAAAAATACAAATAATTGAAATGCATCATTTTTTGCAATGAAACGGCTTGTGTTTATGTGGGAATCACACCTGTGGCTAACAAAATGATTAACACGATGATGGCAAGCACCACCACACCGATTATAATCATCATCTTGGTGTTTCTCCACCACATCTTCCTGGCAACACGCGTGGACGTCTTTTGAAATGAGTCGGCCTAGGCAAGACAACATCATTACAGAAATAATCATCAACAGCAAAATGTTTTATGACTGATCCACTAACATCACAATCAATTCACTTATGTTCTTTTGAGGTCTTATAAAACATCACCAAAGACCATTTCACAAGATGTAAACAACACTGGTCCAGAAGCACTTCCTGTTTCAGTTTTTTAACACTACATAAAAGCTGGGATAAAATACAACCAAAAGAACATTTAAAACTGAATCAAAAAGTTAAACAAACATCTTTAAGATGTTTTCTTTACATGTGAAATAAAGAAAACAGTTACAAACTGAAACAGGAAGTGCTTCTGGACCAGTGTTGTTTACATCTTGTGAAATGGTCTATACTGGTGTAGAGCCAGACCGATATATCGGCAGACTATCGGTATCGGCAGTTATAATGGCCGATAAATGAACATTTCAAAAATAAAATAAAAAAGGAAGAAACACGCTTGAACCATGTCATGAGTGTTGGAGTTGTATAGTTTGTCCACCAGAGGGCACTCTACACCGTTCCTGTTGGCAACACTCGTTGAGTTGGTCACGATACATACATTGCTTGAATAACAATTAAAAGAACATCCCCATCAGTTCTCTTAACTCAAATAAGCATGACAAAATTTGTGACTATCATGTCCAGTTTAAAAAAATAAATAAAATATCGGCCGATATGTCGGAATATCGGATTTTAAAACCAAAAATATTTGTATCGGTATCGGCCTTCAAAATCCTTTATCGGTCGGGCTCTATACTGGTGTGATTTCAAGGATTTACCGTAGCTTGTAGATCGTCTGTTTTTCCGATCAGGTCGTCTAATCGCTCTCCTCTCTCCAGAACCTTGTTGATGTTGTCTTTGAGAATCACTTTAACATCGTTGACTTGCTCCTGAACTTGATTCAATTTGCTAGGCGCTTGTGGTTGGGTGTTGTAGTCGGCCTATATTATAAAGAGAAAAACCCAGAGTAAACCGCTGGGCCAAACATGACTATACTCTTGAGTGCACAACAGGGTCAGGCACGAACCCGGGGCAGGGCCGGAACTGGCCCGGATGTTGAGAGAGGGATCCATATGCAGAACCTTTCAGGAGTATGCATGTTTATGACAACTGTCATTAAGTGTCTTTCGCTCAATAATAACATTTTGAATGCAAACATGACATTGTTTAAGATGTCTTTGTTATGACACCTTGACAAAAACCATAACATCATAACCTGTCAGTGTCTTTGTCATGACAACTTGACATCAAATTAAGTTAAACTGACTGTCATGTGGTTGGTTTTGACATTGGCTGTCATGAGGCCATTATAACTGTCATGAATATTTTTCGTGACCTCAACTACAGTGGTACACATTGAATTTGTCATTAAAAAGTAATAATGACTTCATGACAGGCAATGTCAAAACCAACCACCCGATGGTTTAATGTAATGTTAACCAATAAAGTTAGGTGCTTTCTTAAATTTGATCATTAATCTGCTATGTCATGTTTATGACAGGTTGTGTTGTCTTAGTAATGTCAAGTTGTCATGACAAAGACACTGACAGGTTATAATGTATTGGTTTATGTCAAGGTGTCATAACAAAGACATCTCAAACAATGTCATATTTGCATTCAAAATGTCATAACTGAGCGAATGACACTTAATGACAGTTGTCACAAACATGCATAAAACTTCCTTCATATTCATAACATATGTCATGTCATGATTATGAAGGTGTCATGTTAGTCTTATCCGATATCGTCCGATATCGGCTGATATTAGGCATTTTCCAAACTATCGGTATCGGCAGTTATAATGGCCGATATGTCATGAGGCCATTATAACTGTCATGAATATTTTTCGTGACCTCAACTACAGTGGTACACATTGAATTTGTCATTAAAAAGTAATATCCACACCCCTTCAAGTAAAGTGTTACCATTTTAAATAACCTGTTGAATATGAAAGAAGAAGACATTTCTCCTTATATAAAATAGTTTTGGTATTAAAGAGTAACTAAACCCTAACCAACTTTTTTTAGTTAATGATCTGTAAGAATGGATCTTTATTAATGCCTTTATTAATACCTTTATTAATGATCTGTAAGAATGGATCTTAATTAATAAGCTTTATTAATAGTCACTGATTCGAGTAACTTTTTTGACATTTGTGCATAAAGTGTTTTATTTCTACAATATATGGTGTAAAAAACGTCTTAGTGCTGCCCTCTTCAGGTTGCAAGGTTGAATTTTCCTATTGGATGTTACGGACTTCGTGACGTATACAGGTTTCAGCTCACCACGCTCTTGGTACGAGCGGCAGTATAAAAACCAGCTTGTTTCGTCAAAACCACTGTAGCGAGTCAGGAGTTGGTATTGCGGGTATTGAAAACTATCTATTTCATCCCCTCTATCTCCGCTGGGGTCTGCCCACTTTTTCAGCATTTTTCAAATATTGCCAGTGGGTGGAGTCAGGCTCTGACCAGGGCTTTTGTTACCCTTTAAGGGTTCAACAGGATGTTGTTCTTTTTTTCTAAGAGTGTTATTTTGCCTTGGAGCTGTTTCATAATATTCAGTTAAATCTAATTTCAGAACCTTGATGTGAATTTAGCAAACCTCTTTCAGATCGTTCATAGCTTTAAAGAAACCTTGCATTTGCAGAATCATCGGTTCAAATAACTCATTTATCATGAACTGTGTGAAAACTAACATCACTGTTTAAGCACTAGTAGAGGAAATACTACATACACAGAGACTCAACAATAAGCAAAGCAATAAAAACGGTCAAAACAATGTCAAATCTAAAAGCATGATCTGGAAACATTTGACCATAAAACAGTGTATGATGATGTCATGAGTTGGTTCATGGTCCATCATGGCTATTATCTAAACATAACATTGTTTGCCAGTTTCCAGTGATTCTGAGCAGTTTCATCAAATATTACAGCGTTCAAATCAATAGGAGTTTAAAAAAAAAAGTGAGTTATGAGTTTTGAAAGATGACCTGGTTTAGATATTAGAGTGTTATATGGATATATTGCATTTTTAACCATAAAAGTTAAGCGGTTGGATTTGTTGGTTTGACAGATTGTTTGAAACTTTTGAAAGAAAGAGATAGACACACATGGATAATTTGATAGATGATCAAACAGCAATTTCATCAAGTTCAAGTAGTGTAGCAAGTTTAAAACAAAATGATTATTTTGCTAAACATCAGCCAGCATAGTACTGTACTATACTGTGGTTAAAAGAAAGTAATAATATTATGAATTAGACAGAATATCATTATTGTTTCATTTAGGATTTTTTGCTTTTTTGTTTCATGTATGATTTCCTTCAACTTCCTGACTCACAACTGAATTCAGTCCAAAGATCTGGATGAAGTCAGTCGTCACATAACGACAACGTCGTCATATTCTGCCAACTATAAAACACTTCAGTATTCATCTTCATGGTTTAATTAACTATTTGTCATACTTGTTTATATGTTCCTTTGAACACACACACACATCGCCTCAACAGGTCCGTCAAACCCTTGAACAAATAACCATTTAAATAAACATTTAACTAACAAACAGCCGAGACTTTCCAATGCGCTTACCATTCTGATGCTTCTGTTAAACTTCCTCAAACGTTCAACTGTCACTGCCGAGGGTTTTCAACAGTTCAGGCTAAGTTCGCAATCATAGCTTACAGGGGGAACTTCTCAGTCTCGTGAGCTACAACTCAAGTACAAAAGAACAGGATGAAACATTGCTGAACTCATTTGCAAACAGAGCTTCCCCTCCCAGACAGATTGTACATTAACCAGCACGACACTTCCTGCTGGCCCCTCCCCTCCACACGATGGACCCGCCCACACTGCACTGGCTCCTCCCCCTATGCACACTGGCCCCACCCACCTTCTGCTCTCGAGCCTCTGGGCTGCAGCTTTCCATCAGGTCTGGTTACTAAAGTAGTGCAGAGTTTGCTATGGCTGCTTTTGGGAAGTAAGTATCATTTGTACAAATACATTTGTATGCATTCAAGTATCTTATGGTCCATCTAGCTCATCATCATCACTACGTTTCTTAACCCCCTGCTGCTCTTCGGAAAATTTAGACGGACACATTTTTAAAATATGATTTGAAAAGGTTAAATGGTCCTCATGACATGGTCAAAAAAATTTCATTTATTAAAATGAATGGGAAATAGAAAATAAAAATAAAAAAAGCACACAGCAATGAAGGGGTTAATTGAAAAACAATTGAGAAATAATTTAAAATACAAATAATAATGTATTATTATAGATATTTTAAGGAAATAAATGGATAAAATGGATCATTATTATCATAAAATTTCATTAAAATATACAAATTATATTATTGAACAGAAATACACTACATTTATTTAACTGAAAGAAACACCGAAGTTACATCTGAGGTGTTTGGCACCAGAGCGATGTATATGTTCCCTTACATTCAATCATGCCGCCGCTAGTTTTTTTCCTCTAGACATGTAAGAAAGCCTGCTTATTATAGGGCTGGACCCACTATAGTAATACACTAATACAGTAAGCGAGAAAAAAGAGGCTGCATATTCCTGATTTGTATTTGGTACAGTAACTGTGAGTACTTTGGGTTTTAATGTATCATAAGCAGCTTCAGTTGTTAGATTCATAAGCTCTGGGACTTTAACCTTAGCAGATGACTTGGCTTCATTGTTAAATATTAAACAAGAAATATTTTTTGGCCAGCTGTGTTTTCTATCAAGAAGACCGTATGGTTACAGAAAGGAAAGACACTGTACAAATAAGTTGATATGTTTGACATTGAATTATTATAGTTATTATAATAATAATATAGTAAATAATAATAATAATAATAAAGTTTAGGTTTGGAATGAATTTTAAATGTTTTTGAAAGGAATTTTAAGCTCACCAAATTCATTTGATTTAAAAAATAGTAAAAACCAATAATATTGCAAAATATTATTACAATGTAAAATAGCTGTTTTCTCTGTGAATATTTAGTAAAATGTAATGTATTCCTGAGACCAAATCTGAGTTTCCAGCATCATTACTCCAGTCTTCAGTGTCACATGATCCTTCAGAAATCATTATGATATGATAAAAGATTTCTGAATATTATCAGTGTTAAAAACAGTTGGGTTTAAATACGGAAACCGTAATTTTTCTAAATTATTATATGAACATAAAGTTCAAAAGGACAACATTTATTTGAAATATAGGCTTTATGTTTTTTTTTTCTTTGTAAAAATGTAAGTCTTATAAAACATAAATAATATGATTTAATAGAATGGCCTATATTTGCGTATTAATTAACTTTATTATACACATATAGACCATTTCACAAGATGTAAACAACACTGGTCCAGAAGCACTTCCTGTTTCAGTTTTTTAACACTACAAAAAAGCTGGGCTAAAATACAACCAACAGAACATTTAAAACTGAATCAAAAAGTTAAACAAACATCTTTAAGATGTTTTCTTTACATGTGAAATAAAGAAAACAGTTGCAGACTGAAACAGGAAGTGCTTCTGGACCAGTGTTGTTTACATCTTGTGAAATGGTCTACTGTGAAATGGTTTACTGTCCTCTGAAAATAACTCAACACACAGCCATTACATCTTAAGTAATAACAGCTGTACATCGTTTAACCGTGCAAAGCCACATGCCCTATTCATCATGTTCATGTTTTTTGTCTGCTTTACAGGACCATACAAATGTGTGTATCTTGTATAAAAGCATTTAAATTTGTGCTTTGAGTAGAATTCTCTCACACTGACCACTGGATGTTCGACATGGCTCCTCATGGCAAAGAACTCTCTGCAACAAGTCGGTTTGCATGGCCGTCGCCCCAGAAGGAAGCTCTTCTGAAGCTGGCTCACAAGAAAGCCCACACACAGTTTGCTGAAAGCACTCCAGCATCTATGTGATGTCATCGTGAAGGAGTGGAAGAGGATCTCAGATTCCCAGCAACAGCCTGTGCAACTCCGGTGAACTCGAACTCCTAGTTTCATATTAGCAAAGCATTTAGTTGCAGCAAACCGTAGTTAGGATTACATGGCATTTCTTCTTATTTTTATTTTTTTTATTTAGCATCAAATCCATAACAAATAAAGTATTTTATTCTTGCTTTTTACTTGACTTTATTTGCATATGTCACCTATGAGGAATCCAAAAGTAATCAGATTACATTTCTTTCATTTTGAGGTGCTTGGACTACATTACTGAATACTTTTTTATGAAGTTTTGTAGCAGTAATGGACTAAGTGCCTATATTTTTAAAGTAACTCTCCCAACTCTGGCATTACAATAGCATTGTTTAGTTTGACAATTAGTGGACAAAAATCAGGATTTGTTGGACAAATATTATTATTACTGTAATGTTAGATTATATGCAATATAATTATATGCAAATAATGTCAAACGGCAGGTACACAAAACATAATCGGATATGGATGAGGGGATTCATCAACTTTTTTTCAGCTGCCACGCAGAAGCTTTTTATGCATGTATGACAGTGGTTATACATTAATGTTGCTTATCTTTGCAATACTTTTCCTTATGCGCGAGTGATGTTAAACCACTCTGACTTCCTCGACGTTTCTTTTACGGTCTATGATTAGGACGCAGTGCTTATCTATCATATTTAGACATTTATTGACTAAAAGCTGAAATTAACTCTTAAATATCTGAATTAAAATTATTGGTAAATGACATACAGATAGAAATATGCTCCAGAAATCTATATAAAACGATAAAATAAATCCATATCCTGTACGTTAATCTCAAACGATTGTGATTGGTCTAATCTGATCAGCGCTGAGAAACGTAACAGTCAAAGTGTGACAAACCGCTATCACACTATGAAGAGTTCAAATATGACAGTTATTGATTAACAAACATTTATCATATAACTTGACCATCAATTAATGTCAGGCCTGCTAACACCCATCCCATTTAGTGACAGTTCACTACTAACCGCTTGAATGGTCTACGAACGAATGAGTGGACTTCAGTGGAGAGTCAACATTTTGCTTTACCTACTGGTCGCTTTAAGAACTGCATCAAGTCAGCACTAAGGCTGCAGCCAGGTGTACTTGAAAACTATCAACTACAGATCGGTTATTTATTAAAGGACGTTTTATGGTCGTATATATTTCTGAGATGGCTATTGATATTTCTGCCAAAGGTCGCTTGTGATTGGCTGAAGTAAAAGCGAACTCTAAAGCCACGCCCATTAAAGTTCTTCATACTTCAGACAGACAGACAAACACAGACAGACTCAAGTACAAGTACAACAGACTGGCCGTGGAATCAAATCAAAGCTGTAGTTTTGTTCAGTCTACATTCACCATGAATCCCTTTGGTAGTAATAAATCAGGAAAAACTTTCCTTTTCACATCTGAGTCTGTTGGAGAAGGGCATTCGGGTAAATATGAAACATGCTTCATTTATAACATGCTGACATGCGCAGATAATACCGTCAGTGAACATTACATAATATATTATACTGTTGCAGTACATTGTAATGTTGTTGTATTAATGCAATACATCGGTTTTAATGCCCAGAATCGAAATACACAAATTAACGCAACATGTCTGTACATGCCCCGTTAATCATAATAAACAGTCGTCATTTTGAGAACTGCTAATGATCAGTTAAATAATTGGCATAATGAAGCTGAACTCCTGTGTTTGTTACTGACAGATAAAATGTGTGATCAGATTAGTGATGCTGTTCTGGACGCTTTCCTGACACAGGACCCGGACTCTAAAGTGGCGTGTGGTAATGATCATTCATCACTTTTCACACCATCATCACTAACCAAAAATGTGGACTGACAAATGCTTGGTTTGAGACACTTTAATGGTGTTTAGCTGGACACACACTTAGACATTTCCATTCCCTTTTATGGCATCTCTACATGTCTTGTCTAATTTCTGTATCAGAGTGTGTGTCCAAGACAGGCATGATCCTGCTGTGTGGTGAAGTGACTTCCAAGGCTGTGGTGGATCTTCAGAAAGTGGTTAGAGACACTGTCAAGAGAATCGGATATGACGACTCATCAAAGGGTATCTGCACACACAAACACACCTATATACATACACATCACATAATAAACAGAAATATTGTTAAGTATTATTACAATTACAAAAGTCTGCAGCCATTTCTGAAAGAAGACCAAATGTAGGCGGGGCTTGATTTTATCTGTGAGGAATTGATTGGATGGTTGTGCTTTGCTATTGGTGGATCTCATGTAAGTGACAGGTTATTGCCCCGCCTTCATCAACAGAGAAGAGATGCAAGAGAGAGGGGAAGTTATTCTGATTCAAGATTATGAGGAATATCAATTTGAATAAAAAAATAATCATTTAAAATAAATAGTGCAGTATTCCAAAAATGTCAATTTTGATTTCAAAGTGACTTTAATATCACATGATCCTTCAGAAATCACTCTAATATACTGCTTCAGAAACATTTCGGATTATTATCGATGTTGGCATCAGTTGTGCTGTTTCATATTTTTGTATCGCCATATTTATTTAAAGTCCCCACGAAATCAAAATCGAAGTTTATTTGCTTTTACTATGAATATGTTAGTCTTACTCTTATCTATAAGCTAGTGTGCTCCAAAACAAAGACAAAACGTACAATCTCTCACTTCCGCAAATATGGATCAATGATTTTGATGACGTCACTTTGCACTTTAGCTTCTCAACAGATTTTATGTCCAATCAAATGCTCTCTAAAACCTGAAGCTCCGCCCCCTATATTATGAATAGATGCTGAAGCTGCGGCTGAAATCTGTCACGTGTTCACACATTTACTATTTTCTCCATGGTGAATGGCAGATAGTGCACTATATAGGGGATAGGGAGTGATTCAGACAGTGTGTGTTTTAAAGCAATATGGAGACCAGGAGGAGAAACAGTTTAAGATTAAGAGGAAACTAAATCTATACTGAGCTCAACGGCTCTGGGCAAGCTGTGATATAAACCAAACGCTATTGGCTATTTAAAAAAAGGGGAGGAGCTATTCGATATGCCTCGCCCTGTCTTCCTGTTTAGTGGAAATGACATCAACAGAAATCCTGATTTTTCCATCATCATGTCCTTTGAGGGACACCGTAGAATAAGTATTTTGACAAATAATCGGATTATCATGTGATCTCTCCAGGTTTTGACTACAAGACGTGTAACGTGCTGGTGTCCCTGCAGCCTCAGTGCGCTGAGATCAGTGACTGTGTGTTTGAAGGCAGAGACACGGAGGACATCGGCGCTGGGGATCAGGTCAGATCTGAGACATGAGAGAAGGGAAATAACATTATGCTAAATTGCATAAAGCATAAATATATTTGCATTTTTTTTGTATTTTTTGGAAAGAAGAAGAAGAATAAACACAACAATATCCGTGACAGCATTTTCAACCTAAAATCATAAATCCATAAAGAACACTAGTAGTATATAAAGTATGTAAAGTATGATTGAAACAAATCATAAAATAAAATCATTTAAAAATATATTATATCAATAATGATAATAATAACAATGTAATAATAATAATACATTTTTTTTTAAATTAATATAATATAAAAATAAGGGAATAAATAATTAGGAAATAGCATAATGGTAAATTGCATAACGCATTCATTTTTTTATGGATATATTAAGGGCTTGTAATATAAAAAATTAAATTAAAATAATATAAAAATACTAAAATTAAAATAAAATAAATGTTAGATTTTTTTTATAGATAAAACATGTCAGTTGTATCTTGAATATAAAAATGCAATAATGAATGTTGTGTGAATCCTCACCAGGGTTTAATGTTTGGCTACGCCACTGATGAAACAGAGGAGTGTATGCCGCTCACCATCCTACTTGCCCACAAACTCAACGCCAAAATGAAGGAGCTTTCAAAGACCGGAGTTTGTCCTTGGATTCGTCCAGACTCAAAGACACAGGTGAAAGGTCTTTCTGAAATGATAGGTGTTTAAGGAAGTAAACAACTAATATCCCGCGCACGGTAATCTCTGTAAACTAATAGTTTGAACACAGCCGATAATGCTGATGGGTTCAATGATTAACGAGTGCAGGTGACTGTGGAGTACCGGGACAACATGGGTGCCATGGAGCCTTTTCGGGTTCACACGCTGGTCATCTCAGTCCAGCACAGTCCCGACATCACGCTGGACGAGATTCGGCTCAATCTGATGGAGAAAGTTGTAAAGACGGTCATCCCTGCCAAATATCTGGACGACAAGACAATTTATCACCTGCTGCCCAGTGGGAAGTTCCTCTTAGGTGGTCCTCAAGTAAGCACACTAGTGATGTTAGCTAAAGCAGGGCTCAGAAATGAGGCTTAGATAGCCTATATAACAATAAAGCTTCAATAAATCATTCTAATTGTATGAGAAAAGTGAAATACACACCACAGCTATAACCAAAACGACACATCGCTGGAGTAAAAACATTGACAGACAATCATCCTGCTTGTGTACTAGAAGTGATCTTAAGTGTAATAACCGTGCACTTGTAGTGTACTTAAACTTTTTTTAAGTATATATTTTTAAAAACTCAGCTTGCAGACAATGTAAAATTAATGTAATAAAATGAAGTGCACTGAAAGAAAGCACACTTTTATGCCTGTTTCTTAGCATACTTTTAAAAAGTGCATTTTCCAGTAATGTCAAACTTTGTCACACAACTTTCCCTCGCGGATCAAAATGACCCAAAGCCATAAAATTATATCTAATTTTTTAATGTCCAGAAAGCTTATTTTATTTTATTTTGATTGTATTTTTTCTAATTTTTGAATAAATTTTTTTGGGGATTTTTCTTTTATTTACCTTTAAATTACTAGATTTGATCAATAAATAATAAATAAATAGTAATTTAGTGGCACATTCCTCACATTCTTTCAACTTAACTTCAAAATAACTCAAAATTTCTTGCATAAACCTTTTAATTCAGCTCAAAATATCTTACATTGGGTGTCTTTGTCAACCTCTTGTGGGAAAATAACAATATAGCATGATATTTCATGACACTAGCCACTAGATGGCCTCATAGCTCTATATCAAGCGTGCCGCACAAGCCTTCAAAAGTGAAGCCAAAACGTCTCAATCGCCCCCCAGTGACCGGTCCTAGTATAGGTCATAAACCCCACCTCCCCATGTTATTCAACGGGCAGTTTGTTTAGGATAGTTTCTATCATTTACTGTGGTTTCGATCACGTTGATGTAATTTCAAGTGTTTTTTTTTTTCAAAATAAGTTTGTTTTTAGTTAGTTATGTGACGCTATAAACACAGTGCTCTGACATCATGATTGACAGGTTCTCTGTGCGAGGTAGTCACTGACGCACCGGCTGACTTTTTTGTAATATTGATACTATTTTAGATGTATGTTAAAGTGTACTGTTTTTTCATGATTGCATGCTGCTGTTTTCAGGGCGATGCTGGTCTCACTGGCAGAAAAATCATTGTGGACACCTATGGAGGATGGGGAGGCCATGGCGGAGGAGCCTTCTCTGGGAAAGATTACTCTAAAGTGGACCGATCCGGTGCGTACGCGGCCCGCTGGGTGGCCAAATCACTCGTCAAGGCCAAACTGTGCCGGAGAGTTCTGGTTCAGGTAACACTTCTGTCTGGCTCCAGGTGTCATTTAGTAGGATTATGCACTGTACGTGGTTATGGTATAAGTATGATGTAAGGAATAGCTACAGTTGCTTTGAACACCCGAAAACTGCGATGATGGAGGATAAACTTGTGGTGCTCTCGGTGGTTACGACTTCACGAACCACAACTACCACAATGTTAACAGAAAGTAAATAAAGTTAATTAAAGCTGCAAGCAGCATTTATCGGGGTTCAAGCATTTTAGGCCTTTAAGCACTAAAGCATCAAAAGTTATTTAGTTTTATTTAGCAAGCATGTAACCACTGACATAATAGCTGGAAAAGACCTTTTACAGCTAATAAAGGCAATTTATGAAATATATGGTTTTAAAGCTTTTTAACAGTTATAGCGCCACCTATGGTCCGATCTCCATGAAACTTTGCATGCTTCTTCAGCCTGTTATGTCACATGTGCTTACCAATTTTAGTTTTCCTTTAGGATTTATAGGCTTTCGACAGTATTTTGCCACGCCCCTTTTCTGACTGACCCTGTTACAGCCACCTAAATGCAAAAGTTCAACTTTTTTTCGATAATTATTGATCTAGAGAGTCGTCCAGAGAATTGCTCTAGACTGGTTTGGTTCCGATTGGGCGAAAAACCAGGGACTAGTTCGCAAAAGTAGGTTTTGGACAAAATTCGACATAGCAGAACATTTTTGCTGCCTAAATCGAAATTGGAGATATGCATTTTGCCCTTCTTAAGCCAAGGATTACAGTAAATTTCGCCAAGAAGTATTGAGTCTAATTCAAACGGTCTTGGAGTTATGAGCAATTTAGTACTTTTGGTTGCTGTAGCACCACCTATGGGCCAATCGGGGTCATACTCTGAGAGGTTCTCCCCAAATTGAGGCCTACCATCAAGTCTTACAGTTTGGTCTGCACGATCAGTTTTACAAATCCTTACAATTACAATTGGGTTTCAGCACTTTGAGCTTGAACCCCTAATAAAAGGCTATTATGGCGTTTACTTGAGCGACAGGACAGCTGTTTCGGTGGTTGCCTAGCAACATAAAAAATGCAGCGCACTGCTCGTTCTGTGTGATCAGGGCTGTGCGCCTCGCATTTTCGAACCTGAAAACCGCGTTCGATGTGAAAGATGAGTCGCCACAGTAAAAGATGAGTAATGAAATGATGAATGATGAAGAAATGATATGCAAGACCATATTGTTAATATTGTGTTTTTTGTTATAGATCTCGTATGCGATTGGTATTAGTCAACCTTTGTCGGTGTCTGTCTTTCATTATGGCACATCGGCGAGAGACGAGGACGAGCTTTTAGAGATCGTTCAGAAAAACTTTGACCTGAGGCCAGGGGTCATTGTCAAGTAAGTGCACACTTATAGCGTAGCAATGCTGGGTAGAAGACACACTCATTCTAGTCACTTACTGATTCCAGATCACATGACAAAAACTCCATGTATGGCCTAAAATAATGGGCGGATGGATAAAAACGGATGGAAATTAGCATTGTGCTAAATCCGGCGTATTTACGTTCAACTATGCTTGTACGTTCATTAATATGCATTGTCCCATCTAAATAAATAAATATAAAAATATAATCTTTGCAGGAATGTAACATGAAGATTGTACAAATTAACATTTATTTTAAACACTGAAATTGAATGGCAGACAAGCCATGACAGTATTACCATGGCATATACACACACTAGTATTGGGACACACCTCTTAATTCCTGAATTGAGCTTTTTCAGTCAGACACATTGCCACAGGTGTATAAACTGAGCCCTGACCTCAACCCCATCCGGCACTTTGGATTGGAATGAACTGGAATGGGTATTTTGAGCCAGGTCTTCTCATCCAACATCAGTGCCTGACCTCACAAACGCTCTACTGGATCAATTCCCAAAAGTTCCCACAGAAACACTCCAAAATCTTATGAAAAAGCCTTCCCAGAAGAGTGGAGATGTTATAGCTGCGACTCCATATCAATGTCTTCACTTGTAATGACTGTGATGTCCTGTTGGTGTAATGGTCAGGTGTCACAATACTTAATATACTGTAGTGTATCTATCGGCCCAGTATGCATGCGTCATTGTTTTCTATTACCTCAGTTTTCACAGTCCACACAAAATTTCATTTTCAAATTCATTCAGTTTGGAGAACGTCTTCAAAAAAAAGTTTTCACTGGACTAAATGCTAAATGGCAAAAATGTCAAGAAAAATGTGTTTTCAAATGCATCCGAATTAGTGTAGTCTCAGATTTATGGGAATTTTGACAGTGTGAATTAATACACCCTTACAGGGAGCTCGATCTGAAGAAGCCCATCTACCAGAAAACTGCCTGCTATGGACACTTCGGACGAGACGGATTCTCTTGGGAAAAGCCCAAGAAACTCGTCTTCTGATGTCCAAGAATTATAAGTCTCCACATTCCTTTCAATGGTTAACTATTCTGATCATTTTGTGCTAATGAAACTTTCAAATGCTTCACTGTAAATCATTTGTTTGATAAAGACATATTTTAACATTCAAGACAGTAAAATAAAACAGAGCATCATTTATATGATTAAATAGAATTCAGTTAGTTCATGAATTATGTGGTAAAAGGTATTTTTTTATATTACTGCATCTTATAATAATGGCACCTTGATTATTAGTTACTACATAATTTTACTGTATACCCAATCAATTATCAATTAATAAACACTTCTTACATATTTACCAGCACCAGTTTCAAACCACTCGTTTCGAAGAGTATTCAAAACATATTACCACTTATTTATTATATTTTTTTGTGTGTGTATCTGTCCTGTACTCAAAAAGGAACTGCAATAATCTTGAAACAGACATTTTATTCAACAGTCAGCTTAAGCAATATTTACAAAATGGCAATTGCATTTAATTCAACAACATCACATCACCTTTGAACCGGCAAATAAGTTATTATAGTTATGTCATTATGGCTGTAATGATAACTGGATCATCCGCATTAATGCGTTTCCCTGTCCCATATATCAGAGACGTGCCTTGGTGTTTGTGGCGTATGAGAAGCACTGAATAGTGATAGTTTTCATCATGTCTTTTTCCTGGGAGAGTCAGAGTACGGCACATTTTCCAGCAAGAGACTCTCGCGGGGACGCAACACTGCAACATACAAGCAACCATCATTAGCAACCTGGGGAAATTAACAACATATGCATCTTCCAAAACTCAAGAGGTTTAATCATATTTCAACCTCAAATTAATTAAAATGTTTTTATCCCTCCAATGTAAAAAAACTCAATCTGATTTAAGATCTAATACATACATCAACTTACACAATTGAAATGATAAAGTATGTTCAGGGTTCCCACACCTTGGTTACTTTAAATTTAAGGACCTTTCAAGGACTTTCCAGGTCCAATACCCTCAAATTTAAGGACTTAAATTGTTGTCCAACAATAAATATTCAGGTACCGTCATAGTAGTTTCGTCAATGCGTGAACATCAAGGCAACATATATAACACAAAGTACCCCAACTGCGTAAATGTGCGTAACTAACGATAATCAAGCAAAGCTAGTGAAATAACATATTAGTGGACTGGAATAATATAATATGGATTTTTTTTCCCCCCAGAAAACTTCCATCACAAAATAAACTCAAGCACTTTCAAGGACCTGTATCTATGTATGTTTATTTTCAAAAACTTTCCAGGGCCTTAAATATTTTTTTCCTGATTCACAAACTTTCAAGGATTTCAAGGACCCGTGGGAACATTTGTTGTACTGTCTGAATACATGCTGATTTAAAACTACTTCTTTAATATGGTAATTACTCAATCAGAAAAACTATTTTGGGAAGATATTGTTAGATTTAATAGAAATTCCACCAAAACATGCTTGATTGTCTATTTATATGGGCTGAAATGTGACCGAAACATGTTTTTGAGATCCGCCCTAATCACTCACAGACTCTGTTTTCCGTCACATGCTCAACCTGGACCACACTCTCACGGAGGATGGTCTCAACTGACCGGGCCATTTTCAGCATCTGAGAAGAAAGAGCGCATTAAATATCAAAATGAGTTCACCTCCAGAGTCGGACAGAGTGGCGGTTTTAATATCTATCTATGAGATCAAATGTAAAAGAAACTTATTTACCAATGCAACATTTATTATTTTTGTTTAGTAGGAAGTATTAGAATAACTAAAACTAACTACAAAGACATTGGACAGATATAAAAGGAACAATAACACTTCACAATAAGGTTTAATTTGTCAACATTAGTTAACATGAACAAACAATTAAAAGTAGGCCATGATTATCTCAGCATTTACTAATACATGTTAAAAGATCAAATGATATGTCTGGTAATATTAGCCAAAGCACTGTGAATTAACTTCAACAAAGTTTAATAAAAGCTGTACAAATATGCTCATTGTTACCTAAATAACATTTGGCTCTCATGTGATTTATTTACCTCTTTAATATTTTCTTCTGATGCTTCATTCTTGTTCCTTTTGAATTCTTCATTGATTTTGAGTCTGGCAGCTTCAGATCCAGAGGGGAAACCGTGTGTCAGACATAGCAAACACACTCCAAAGCCACAGAAACACACTTATATAATGAAATACACATTCTGAATGATTTATTATTCAGAACGTAAAGATTGGAAAAACAGTCAAAGACGGAACAGGAATTACAATTAAACAAATAATAAATAATAAAATGGATTCACTGTCAGTGTAACACGCATGTAAAGCAGCATGAGTTCTTGGTGTGTGTGAGAGTGTGTGTTCAGTTATACCAGTCAGGGCTATGCCGTCATCTTTAAACACATCTCTTCTTGTTCTGTGCAGATCTCTGAACACCCGCAACACCTTTTAATAAACAGATTAAAAATTAAAAAAAAAAATGGTATCAGTGTTATAACAGCAGCGCATTTACTGAGTTTGCTAACAAACATAGCAAATACAATGTGTCACCTAAATAAAAAAATATGTAATAAAGGCACTATAAGAAAACTACTTGTATATATTAAAGAATGCAAGAAAACATTAATATTGTAAATGTTTGTTGTTTCTCACCTTCAAGCGCGTCCCCATCATGCGCGAGTCTCGCTCGCTCTTCAACGGTGTTCGTGCACGGCGCGTGCACAGCGCACCTGCTGGACCGGAGGACGCGAACACGAGTCGCGCATCAAAATTTATAAGAGACGGTTTGTTTTTTGATTAACGTATATTTGCTATAAATTAAGGTAAATTCTTATTTGAGCATTTTTTGCTCTTACAATAATGTTTCTATGAGGGTTGAAGGAGATTAATATTATATTCAGCACAATGGCTCATCAGAGTTTTTATTTTTTGGTAATATTTCTCATCGTTTGATTGTATAATTTCCCAATTGACTGAACACTTCTACAATATTGATATTATATCAACATTCAAATTATTTTCTAGTGTTTAAGCAAAGTCGTAAAGACCTGCAGAACATTAGCTTCTGCGTTGACCAACATTTCCTTATCATTTAGTTAAAGTTAGTCTTCCTGTCGTGCACAGAACACTTAACATACATTTTCATCATCATTACCGGTATTAATATTTCAAACTTCAGAAAACATTAGAAAATACTCTCAACAACGAATCAGTCCAAAAACAACACACCACAGAAATATTGTTTATGTATGATATTTATTGAATAGAACACAAAAGTACATGACAGAAAACACTAACGGACAAGAGCTCGAACACAACAGATGTGGAGAGTCTTCCCCCAAACGATCCAGGGCTGAAACGAAGAGCAGAAGAGACAAGTTAGCGCAGAAATACTCTCCTCAGACTCACAGTCATGGAGAAGACCGAGATCGACCCTCATGCAAGAGTGGATCATCTTTCCCCTGTCAGGGTCCGATGGGTAGTGTGTTTAATCATTGGGTCAGGTCAAATCTTCAATCTCTGAATATAATGAGCAATACAAAGTAAAATCAGTCGGCTGAGGAGAATATTAAACTGTTCTCTACCTTTTGCTTTCTCCTCGCGCGGGACACAAGCTCACATCTATCAGCGCACGTGGAAAGGAACGGATCTTCTTCTTCTTCTTCTTCTTCTGTGTGTAATATTTCAGCGATTTCCTCTTCAGTGAGGCGTTACTGCCTCCCGCGGTGGTGCTCGGTATTACTGACCCAAGCTTCGTGAAGATCCGAACCCTATTCGACTCCTTTATTCCGAATCAGTGATTCAGAGCTTGCCTAAAAATGTAACTATGGTATAAAAGGAACAATCAAAATTATACATTTGCACCGTGTGAGGCCACAAAAGGCGAATATAAAAATTCAATTTTCATTGCTTTAGGATGAACAGAGCCTTGGATAGTTTACATATACTTGTCTAGATCTATTTTGAATAAGGTTGCTGTTTTTCTAGCTTTCTTCGCCAAGTCACGTGATTTCAACAAACGATGCTTTCATACATTAAATCGTTTAAACCTTTTTTCGAAACATTTAGGTATGTGTGTATGTATGTATTTCATTTTATACCTAAATGTATAACTTAGGACTTTTATTTATTTATTTCTGTAGTTGTTTTTCTCTTATTCTTGTTCTTATTCTGTTTTGTTTTTGCGTTCATAATTGTATATTGTTCAACATTTGCATTTAAACGTGTATAATATTAATGTATAATAATAATAAAGAAACATTACAAAATTCTGATGCTTCGCTTTTATACATGGCGTTGATTTGGTTAACCCACGAACGAGTTAATTGAGCGTGGATCAGTTGTAAGGACAAATTTATAAGTGTAATAAGAAAGAAAAATGACACTTGGCCATGTCCTGCCTAAATAACACGCACAACAAGCAATACAAATTGAAATAAAATAACACAAATTTGTCAGAAACTTTATATTTATTGGTATTTAATTATTTGAACAATACTTTTAACAGATTGCATTTTCATGAAATCTTCATTTGTCTGTACATTTGGGCAGAGTTTGAACGCCTGTGGCGTTTCGAGCGAATTGAGTTTTGCGACTTGTTTTGTTTTGTTTGAATCAGAGTTTTTAAAAGCTTTAACTGAATTATACCTTGGGTTCAAACCAGTGGGGAAAAATGAAAGAAAGAATAAATATGTGAGTATCAGGAATGAATGGCGCCCCGCGCCATTGGATGTGTAGTTGCCGCAGCACAGCCTATGAGCGAGCCAGATGCTCAGTGTTTTAGCATGTGCAGCTGCAAATGCATTTGCTAAAGTAAATCGAGGAAAATGAGTTTCCCTGCACGTTTACTATAGGGCTGTTCGCCGGAGTCAAAAGTGACGTCACGATATGAGTGTGGGCACAAATTGGTTGGCAGAAAGAACCAAAACATACGTAGCAGTCTATGTGTTTTGTCAGCATATGATAATTCTTTGTACGAAGAAGCTAAAAGGATATATAAGGTTAAGCTTTTATATAACCACGGTTCATGTTGTCTATCTGATCTATGTCACCTGAGTGAGAATTGGAGCAAAAGCCCGAACACATGGCCAGAATTGACATTTGGCGACATCTATCTGTATCTCATCGACGCGCCGTCTATGTTTACCAGAGAGTCAATGAAAGCGTACAAAACTTTAGATGCCTATAATTCATAATTACGATTATTACTTGCGTTAACTAAGGATAACTGGTAAATGTGTTACAACTAGAGTAAAATAGAGGTGTAATTTGTCCGTGGGCTATATTTTGAATCAAAATGATCTTACCTCTGATATATAACATTGGTTAACATATACGTAAAAATATATCAAAGAAAATACAATACTTTGCCCTTAATTTATAAGTACACAGATTATACATAGTACAGCACCCAATCTTTGTGTTAACTTATGTCTTTATAATGCTGTGCAGCAAACGGCCATTATTTTTCTGCCAACCAGAGCGCATGTAACCGCGCGTCATGGGGAAATATCCTATATAAAATTCACTGGAGGAAAAAGTACACATGGCCGTCGACAGATTTGGAAGTCACTCAAAAGGCTCTTTCACGGTGGCTTCTTTAGTGAGGCGCGGTGGTTTATGGGAGGAGTAGGCATAGTTCCTTTGCTCGGAAATGAAAATATGTACACAGGCTTGTACCCTTGACTTTTTTTGGATTTTCTCTTAGTTTTTTTTCACTCGAAATGATATGTTGTATGCTTATGAGTTCAGCCGTAGCTGGTTATCTTCAGACATGCTCTAATACTCTTTAGATATGGATTTTACAAAATGTCAATGGGAGAAATGAATGGGAAATTTACTTCTGATGCTCTATAGGGCAAAGGTGATACAATCAAGAGATAAATTCAAGCTATTTTAAGGTATGAACAATTAAAAAAAAAGTGTCATTTTGGTGATCAAAGATGAGTTTTAACTAAGGGATAAAATTATTGACAACAGGGGGACGATTACTTTTAATTTAAAAAGAAGTGCACGGAAGTCCGGAAGTGTACGTCGCAGTTTCGAGTCAGCTGATGAGTGCAGTTCCGGTTCTGCGCGGTGAGGGTCAGCTGACAGATGTTCGCTGCCTCAGTGAAATAAAAACACCTGCGCGATCATCTGAGATCAGCAGCAGCGGCGCGATGAGTGTTGGCACCCCGCGATCCCTAGCCTCGTCCGGGCAGAAGAACATCCAGGACATCCGTCACCCGCTGTGTGCCGCCGAGGAGAGCGCGTCGAGCCGCGGCGGAGATGCGCTGATCCACTCCGGCAGCGGTGCTGCTCCTGCTGGAGGAGAGAAGGTGAGATCCGTCGCAAACACACACCGCTGTCTGCGGGACACATTCCCCTGTCTACGGGACAGCGACGAGCTGATCCCCGGGCTGGCGGCAGTCGTGTCTGAGACGGCGACATTATGTGTCTGGAAACGTTTATCCAGCCTCAAACTGTAAACAGTGGAATTCCATCAATTTTCACCAACCACGCGTTTTAGTCATGGTAATATCTAATAGACGTAACGTTATTGAATGTAAAAACTAATAGTTTTCGAAGTACAGTAGTAAATAAAACATGCTTTAAAAAAATGCTTTATATCATGTTTAATTCAAAGTCTTCCTCGCCATTTCTTTGTAATTGTTTTTAAAATTAGCTTGAAATTTCGGAATGAAGATTATTTTTTAAAGTAAATCCAACTCCTTTCTCCCCATCCAGTGTTGATTTTTTGAATATGCTGCCTGATATTAATATGTTTTTATATGTGTAACGTGTTACTGTAATGCTATCTTGGTTACTTCGTGCACCCATAACATGATTTGTTTTTACCATTGTCATGCTTTATTGGTCTTACCATGATGGACATGACTTCTGGTGATTATTCACTATGGTACTGTGGATCGGTAATGATATACCACAGTTGATGTATACCATGACAGTATTTGTTTGCTGGTTGAACAGAGTGCATTTTTTTCATAATTTCTGCTCATAATAAAAAGAACGTACAACAATGTTTAAACAGAAGCCTATATTTTTCTGGTATTTTGCGTAAAAAGCCGAGAGGTTTGATGAACGAGTAAGATCTCCAAACTTTCAGTTTTTTATAATGAGTGTGTTGCACACAGACAATTAGATATTTATTTTTTTCCAGAAAATGTAAATAATTAAATTTAGACCTAAAGGAAAAGGGAAGTTACAGTGAAAATTGAGGAACGAAGGATTTGTATATGATTGAATTTATCATGTGATGGATCATTGCTATATGAATTATAATAATAGTAGTGTTTTAAATTGAGTGTATGTGTGTGTGTGTGTGTGCAGTGGAGGCTGTTGATGTGTATCATGCCTGTGTTCCTGTACAATAGAGTTGTGTAGAGCGAGGCTGAGACACTCTCCGACTCCATTGTTTATTGTGTTTACAGATATTCACTCGTGTCACATTTTGCAACTGTGGCCTCCTTGTTTATTGGAAATTTTATTTTAGTGGCAAAGCGGGGAATTGTTGTTTAGTTCATATTAATAATAATATTCTATATCATTTTAGCCTTTTATTTTATCTGTAATTCATGAGTAGTAATAAAGATGTCTGGAATAAGATTGAAAGCTTAAGGCTGTATTTAGATTCAGCACTGCTATATTTGCAACTACTGCTCAAATTTGGTGTTTCTTTGCGGATTACTGTTAAAGGGATAGTTCACTTTGAAATTAATTGTTGATATGTTTTAGCTTACCTCAAGGGCATCCAAGATGTAGGTGTCTTTGTTTCCACAGTATTTTCAATTTTGACATTTTTCGGTCAAACCGTTGTTGTCTGTCAGTCATATAATGCAGGTTTTGGGGGTCCACTTCAAAGAGCATGCACAGAGAAGTCAAAATTAAACATGATTTAATGACTCGTAAATGTAAGAACACATTGATGGCCTAAGACACGAAACGAGCGGTTTGTGTGAGAAAACATGTTTAATTTGGACTTCTCTGTGCATGCTCTTTGAGGTGGACCCCATATACCTGCATTATATGACTGATAGACAACAACGGTTTGACCAAAAAATGTCAACATTGAAAATACTGTGGTAACACCTACATCTTGGATGCCCTTGAGGTAAACTAAAACATATCAAAAATTAATTTCAAAGTGAACCTTTAATAAGCAGAAACTTACGTTTGTGATTCTGATGCTGTAAACATTTTGGGAAAACTGGATTTTTCAAAAATGTATTATTATAAATTGTATTTCAGCCGCACGATTCTGGATACATTGATAATCAAGAATACGATTTTCCTACGATTCTGAAACAAAGTAAACAAAATAACTAGGGCTGTGCAAAAATTAATTGCGATTAATCGCATCCAAAATAAAAGTTTGTGTTTACATAATATATTTGCGTGTGCTGTATATAATTATTTTGTATATATAAATACACACACATGTATGTATATATTTAAGAAAATGTGTTATTCGTATATAAAATATTTATATTTATATAATATAGATTATGTATTTATATACAAATACAGAATTTAAGCACAAATAATTCTTAAATATATAAATGCATGCATAGGTATTTATATATACAAAATAATTATATACAGCACACACAAATATATTATGTAAACACAGACTTTTATTTTGGATGCGATTAATCGCAATTAATTTTTGCACAGCCCTAAAAATAACAAGTCATTTACTTGAGGTTCTGACAAATGGTTTTTTTTTTTTTGCTGCAGTCTATTTAATTAAAAAATAATAATTTAAATATATAATTAAAAATCTTGGATGTATCATTGTTGTTAAATGAATATCTTGAGTGAATAATTCAACGACTCTCTCAGACACATTTGTTTCATTGCTTCCGTAGACATCAATGTTTTTATCCTAACTATAACCTTTTATCCCAGTTCATCTGTAATAATCTGAGTTATTGTAAGACAGAAACAACAATACTGTTGTGTGGTTGAAGACTGAAGAGACTGTTTATGAAGCGGTTTCATACCAACACACATGAACAGCTCTCTCTGGCTCAGAACAAACACACTCGTACTCGTCAAAGCTGAAGGTGTTTGAATTGAGTTCTCGATCTTTTAACGATTAAGGTCCTCTCTGTCATGTTGGGTAATGCATATATTTTCCTGGTAAAAACATGTAAATAATTAACTCACTGTTTTGTGATAATTGCCTTATCTTATCCAGTTTCCTTGGAAACAGTTTTAGATATTTTCAGTTTTTTTTCTGAAATGGCAATCATTTTATGATGAAATCCAAACAAGTAGATCCAAATCAGTAGAAAAGCTCAAAAATCTGTTGTACATTTGGCTGTAGTTTAGGCTACATTTTCTGAATAGTTTTTATTCCCTGACGTGTTTTTCACAACTTCTGTTTTGCAAATGCTTCACAAAAATCCATGTCATCCATAAGACTTTCCCAGTGACTAGACTCTTTGAGTCAATCATAAGTATTTTATTTGACAATACCAATAGCAAAATTCTTTAAAACGTGCTCCGTGTAGTTTGTGATGCTTTTTTTTGTGACTGACCCTTTTATGAATGAATTTCCCGTTATAATTTATTGTTAGTTTAGAAACTCCATATGGTTGCATAAGAAAACTTTGAGTTATGGCTATTCAGGGTTGAAAGTTCGCTTTCGGGGTTTTCAGGGTTGAAATTGCTTTCTTCTGGCTTTCGGTCTGAGATCACCACAGTCTCACTGTTCATATTTAGTTTTGTAGCACATTTCCCAACTCTTCTTGAGTTTTACAACTGCTGCTTGATCCTCAATCATGCCTGCTCCTTCTGAAAGCAAACACTGTTTTTGAAAGTTAAAAAACAAATGCTGAATGAGAATAAAGATCTGAGGCATGTTGCGCTTGTGTGTCATATGGGCTGTGAATTGATGTGAATGTTAGGTTGAGAGAGGAATGTGCACGACCCCTCGTCTGTCAGCTCAGCAGAAGGAAGGCCAGAACTTGTGTTCGAGCTCAACAGTGGGCACGTGATCAGGAAAAGCTGTCACAGTTTCCTAAAGGCTGGATCTGAAAATAGGATGATCGTTCGCTTTATATAATTCTAACATTTTGCTGCAAGTTTTTATGTTGTGAATTCCTTTTTGTCAAAAGTCTGCACTTATTTGATCAAAAATACATCAAAAACAGTAATATGATATATTATTACAATTTAAACTTTTTTTTATTTATTAAAAATATTGTTAAAGCTACACTGTGTGATTTTTACTCCCATCTAGTGGTGAAAAGGTATATGACCATCCAGTGAATAATAGTTTCTGTTTCTCTCAATTCCGATTTCGTTTTAACTCCTACGGTGGCCAATGTAGTCCAAGATTAACATGGCTTCCAGTTCGACCTCGTCCATGAGTGTTAACTCAAACGTAAACGCGAAAGGCGACGCTTGAATTAACGGGTATGTCCCTCTTTGGCTAATGTACATTCAAGATGGAGGGTCAACATGGCGACCGACATTAGAACCCCTTACCTGTATGTATTTTCAATGGCATATTATACACTCACGAGAATACTTTATTACTTGAACGAAGTAAATATACATTAATGAGCACATATATTTTTGAAAGAACTAAGTGTTTTTAGCTAAGAATAAACTAAAAGAGTTGCACAGTGTAGCTTTAAGTCATTTGCATATCTCAGTTTTGTGCGCTATGGTTGTGAGTGATTTATCATATAGTGTGGACTGTGGACATTAGTAAAAAATAAACCATTAAAGGGTTAGTTCACCCAAAAATGAAAATTAAGTCATTAATAACTCATCTGTACCAACCCCGTAAGACCTTCGTTCATCTTCGGAGCACAAATGAAGATATTTTTGATTAAATTTGAGAGGTGGATCACTGCTACATAGGCTCCTAAGGGATCGAAACTTGACGGCCCAGAAAGTCATTGAAGAAAATGTTTAAATATTCCATGTGACTACAGTGGCTCAAGTATAAGTTTATCAAGCGACGAGAACACTTTTTGTGTGGAAGAAACAACAAAAATAACGCCTTTATTCGACTATTCCTTTTCTTCCTTGTAGGCCTGAGACGAGAGTTCAAGAGATTTCCACGACGCATGCGTGAGAACTGAACTAGGAGTAGAAGAAGAGCTCAGTTCTCGCGCATGCGTCGTGGAAATCTCTTGAACTCTCGTCTCAGGCCACACTATATATCATGAACACAGAATTTAGTTTTCTTCTTGCACTTGAAAATGGTTCAAATCACCATTGTTTGAAATCACCATTGTTTTCTGTTGGAGAGATTCACTCCCTCTGGCATGAAATTGGACTGGCTTTGTAGCTTTTCTGATTATTTACACGCACAAACAGCCAAATTACACAAATTAATGGAAAGGTAAAAACAGATTAAGAGGCATGAGTTGCTCATTTGCATTATTTCAGCGATAAATCAATGTGTTTTTTTCTTTTAGTAAATGTACCAAATTAGTGTGTTGAATAAATAGCCCTTAAAATATCTTACCTTTTGGTAATCCAATGAAATTATGAGTGAAATGTAAACCACTTTAAAGAGATACTCCACTTTTTTTTTGGAAATAGGCTCATTTTACAACTCCCCTAGAGTTAAACGGTTGAGTTTTACAGTTTTTGAATCCATTCCGCCGATTTTCTGATATTTAGAAGAATATCAGTAACCAGACAGTTTCTGGTCTCAATGACTTCCATAGTAGGCATTTTTCTAGCTATCTTCGCCAAGTCAAAATATCAGAAAATGGGCTGAATGGATTCGAAAACGGTAAAACTCAACTGTTTAACTCTGGGGGAGTTGTAAAATGAGCCTATTTCCAAAAAAGTGGAGTATCCCTTTAAAAATGTCGTCTAGGTATGATGTGCTATGGTAGTATTTTAGTATGCTAGGCCTTGACTGTTTGTACACACAGGGTTAGGCTTAATGCGACCTTGTTACAGCACTGAATTATGCCTTATTTCAGAGCCTTAAAAATGTCATGCTGCTTGTATTACTTATCTTAAATTATCAAATGCATGGTTTCTGCAGTGTTGCATATCACACGTAACATAAGTGACCTTTTCTATTGCGGTTGTTTTAGAATAGGAAATTGTAAATAACATTAGATGTGGTTAATGTTTTTTTAAAAGAATATGGTATTTCTATAACTGCAGATGTGGCCCTGAGGAGTTATTATGTAAGTCGTGGTTGAGTCATCTACCATTTATTAGATTTACCAACCAGATCTGTTTGTTTTTAATTCGTAGGTTTTTGTTTTTTTTCTGTGACGTACATTTCTTCTAACCTGGCCCTAGCCAGATGAATGTCGTTCCGCTTAGCTCCGCCTAGCTTCACTCACATCCATCTGGAACCTCTTCCATTGAGAGTGATTTCTCCAACCAACTTTATGGCTTAGCCAATCAGGACGCAGGGCGGGAGTTTCATAGATGTGACGTAGTGGAGAAGCGACCGTGAGACTGTTTTGATTCGGACAACAATGGCGGCTCGCATCGAGGAAGCAAGCGTTAACATTGATGCTGCTATTTCATCCGTGTTGTCCAATCTACCTAATATTGTTTCATTAAAAGAACATCAGAGAACGGCTCTGAAGGCTTTTGTTGGTGGAAACGATGTTTTCGCCCTTCTCCCGAGCGGATTTGGCAAGCGTCGCTCTCACCAGCGTCACGGGTTGGCTTTCGGTGTGAGTGGTTGAAATAGCACGTCGATAAAGATGACAGACAAGTGGCTTATCCAATCATATGCAAGGATTTTTGATAAGGCCCAGCCTTCTGAAACGCCATTTCAATGGATCGGTTCCAGATGGATGAGTGGAGCTAGGCGGAGCGCAATTCATCTGGCTAGGGCCAGGTTACATTTCTTCACCTTTACATTTCAAATATAAAATATCAGTGTTGTTCCACTAAGTCAGTAAGTGTTCGTATCCCCGCCCCCAGGACCTGAGCCTGCCCAATGGGACTCCAGTAGACACATCAAGCCCCGCCTCCTCCTCATCTCTGCTGAACCGACTGCAGCTCGACGACGATCTGGACGGAGAAACACGAGACCTGTTTGTGACTGTAGACGATCCTAAGAAACACGTGTCTACGATGGAGACATACATCACCTACAGAGTCTGCACAAAGGTCAGAGGTCAAAGCTCTTAGACAGTCCCTTTCTTGACTTTATTAGCAACCAAATGCTGTTTTTATTTGTGCAGTTATTTAAAACTTACAAATGCATGAAGGATAAGTCTCTCCAGACAGATTTCATTGGTTGATTTGAAGTCACGATAGGCTTCGTGGTTAATCTGAATTGTTCCCTAATCTATCAGTTTGGCCCAGTTTGACTGTATCTGAAAATCTCTGCATTAAAGTGTCTGCTTGAGTAGTTGTTTAACTCTTGTGGCGGCTGTTTGCAGAAGCTCGTTCTGCTTCCACTGTGACCTGAAACATGCTTACTGTGGATCTTTCTGGAACTCAGAGTCATACAGAGGTGCTAATGAAAGACCTCAGTGACCTGCATCTCTCTCAGAGTCACTCTGTCAGCCCTTTATAAACTCATTGCTGTTTTTTTTTTTTTGTGGATTGTAAAAGAAAAGGGGTTAAGAACATAGTTATACATTTTTTGTTAATCTACTATTATAGTATTTAATTATATTTAAATTAGCTTTTATTTTAATATTTAAAATTTCACTTTAAGTTAATTTAGTATTTAGTATTTCAACCTAATACGTGTTCACGCCATGATAACCTTCATTTAGAAAAAACCTTTAGAAATGAAGTCATGGAAGTGTGGGATTCCTGTATGAGACACAACATATTTGATAAATACAGTAAAAAAGTAATATTGTGAAATATTTTATAATTTAAAATAACTGTTTTCTTTGTGTGTATTTATATCAGCATAATTACTCCTTCATAAATCGTCTAATATCCTTCATAAATCAGATTTGCGGCTTAAACATTTCTGATTATTAAAGGGGTCATGAACTGGCTTTTTAATTTTTATTATATTGTTGTCTGAGGTCAACTTATGACATTCGCTTTGTTTTTACATTCAAAAACATCAAAATGTATAAGTAATAGACTATTTTCCACCCTAGTTTTGAACCTAGCTCAAAAACGCTCGGTTTTATGGGCATCTCGCATTGAAGACTTGAAGTAAACGGCCACTGCTGTGAGTGGATAACAGTTTTGCATATTAAAATGAGTTTCAACTAGGGTTGTAACGATTTTGGCTAAAATCATAATCACGATTAATCGAACAAGTCGATTATTTTAATTTTTTTTCTTTCTCATTTGTCACTGGCAAGGCTTATTCTGTAAATATGTAAATTTTTCTAATAAAAGAGTGCATAATCTTTGAGATTCTAAAGTAAGGAAACACGCATATAGCTTTTAATGCTTATTAAATATATAAAAATAGTAAAAAAATGTAGAAAATAGTTATTTTTCTAAATAAAATAAATTATTGTAAATATTGCCATCTAAAAAGTAAAATATAACTTGTATAAAACATAACTTGTATAGTTTGCTTATGAGTTGCGATTTATTTTTCCGAAAAACCACGCTTGTGCATTTGTTTTTCTCTGATTCGATAATAAACTAGCGCATTACGTACCATTTCACGCTGGCAAACGATCCCGGCTTAAACGGCATCATTAGGCTTAAACGCGACATTGATTACGGCTTTTGTTCACACAGCGGGCGCTCCGTGACTGAACCATGGACTGAACACAGCAATTGTTACTCTGTCTGTCCCCAACCTGGCGGCACCAATCCCAGGCCGTGTTTGTGTTCACACAGGTGTTTGTTCTGGCAATTTCCCGGGATCAACGCGTTGTGTGAAAGGGGCTCATGTTGTTTCAATGTCGCAGACTGGACGGGGTGGAGTTACGTGACTACTATGGTTTAAGAAGAAAGTACGTTAACACACAGTGGGCGGATATATTAATAGTATTCAAAAACCGCAATAACCGACATGGTAAAATCACGTCGGTTATAGGCTCTGAATTTCGGTTTCGATTATTTTCCGATTAATCGTCCGGCCCTAGTTTCAACTCACTCGCTTATGCAGTGACTGTGCAGCACGATAGTTTGTAAACAGCATGTTTATTGCTCGGTGGCTCGATCCGGTTTGTCATAACGAGGTAGGTATCTATGTTGTTTAGCTATGCGTGTAATGTGCAAATCGGTGGGCGGGGCTAAATTGGCTGTGTTGAAGAAGGTGTTGATCTTCTTCTACGGGGGTGGTGTTTTATCCTCTTTGACGTCATAGTTCCTCACTTTGATAAAACAAGTCGTTTGCTGAGCCTGGTGTCAATAAAAGCTTTTATTGGACTAACAAGGACGTTTTCAGTTCTAAAACTTAAAGGATATTCTTATAATATGATGACCTCTCGGATGACAAAAGCTCAAGGAAAATTTGATTTCTCGGTTCATCACCCCTTTAATATTGAAAACCGTTGTGCTTCTTGATATTTGTATGAAAACTGTTTTGTTCAGGTTTCTTTGAATGTCAAAAGAACAGCATTAATCTGAAATAGAAATCTGTTGTAACATTATAGATGACTTTACTGTCACTTTTGAACCATTTAATGTGTCATTGTCATTGACCTTTTTTTTTTTTTTTTGCTTCTGCGTGACCTGCAGACCACGAGGACAGAGTTTGACCTGCCTGAGTACTCGGTAAGGCGACGCTACCAGGACTTCGACTGGCTGAGGAACAAACTAGAGGAAAGCCAACCCACCCACCTTATTCCAGTAGGTAGAGGAAACCCCTCCACAGCTCCAATCGCAGATCAGTTCCTTTCAAGCATTTGTGCGTTGCATAACTAGTTATATAATGTTGCAGAGATTGTTCTTGACTAAAACTGGTTATTTCAAACCAATGCGATCAACTACATTTTGTTGTTGTTTCTCCTTTCTGCTATCATTTAGCCCTTGCCAGAGAAGTTTGTAATGAAGGGAGTGGTGGACCGTTTTTCAGAGGAGTTTGTGGATACCAGAAAAAAGGCGCTAGACAAGTTCCTCAAGCGCGTAGCAGACCATCCGGTGCTCTCTTTCAACGAACACTTCAATGCATTTCTCTCAGCAAAGGTGGGTGCGTTAAAGTCGGCATGTAAAGTGTTTTCTGGATCTTCCAGTAAAATGAGAGTCTGTATACTGAACTCCTCCAATCATTTAGTCTGCTTAAACTCTGCCCCTTGCAATTATTGGCTATCTTTACTTACATTCCGTTTCACTCAGATGTACAGTGGGGCTAAAAAGTATTTAGTCAGCCACTGATTGTGCAAGTTCTCCTACTTAGAATGATGAGAGAGGTCTGTAATTTTCATCATAGGTAGACTTAAACTATGAGAGACAAAATGAGAAAACAATCCAGGGAATCACATTGTAGGATTTTTAAAGAATTTATTCGTAAATTATGGTGGAAAATAAGTATTTGGTCAAAAAAAAGTTCAACTCAATACTTTGTAACATAACCTTTGTTGGCAATGACAGAGGTCAAACGTTTCCTGTAAGTCTCCACCAGGTTTGCGCACACTGTAGCTGGTATTTTGTCCCATGCAGATCTCCTCTAGAGCTGTGATGTTTCGGGGCTGTCGCTGGGCAACACGGACTTTCAACTCCTTCCACAAATTTTCTATGGGGTTGAGGTCTGGAGACTGGCTATGCCACTCCAGGACCTTGAAATGCTTTTTACGGAGCCACTCCTTCGTTGCCCGGGTGGTGTGTTTGGGATCATTGTCATGCTGGAAAATCCAGCCACGTTTCATCTTCAAGGCTCTCACTGATGGAAGGAGGTTTTGGCTTAAAATTTAATTACATGGCCTTGTTCAACACGGATCAGTTTTCCTGTCCCCTTTGCAGAAAAACAGCCCCAAAGCATGATGTTTCCTCCCCCATCCTTCACAGTAGGTATGGTGTTCTTGGGATGCAACTCTGCATTCTTCTTCCTCCAAACACGACGAGTTGAGTTTTTAACCAAAAAGTTCTATTTTGGTTTCATCTGACCACATGATATTCTCCCAATCCTCTTCTGGATCATCCATATGCTCTCTGGCAAACTTCAGACGGGCCTGGACATGTGCTGGCTTAAGCAGGGGGACACGCCTGGCACTGCAGGATTAGAGTCCCTCTCGGTGTAGTGTGTTACTTATTGTAGGCTTTGTTACTTTGGTCCCAGCTCTCTGCAGGTCATTCATCAGGTCCCTCCATGTAGTTCTGGGATTTTTGCTCAACATTCTCATGATCATTTTGACCCCACGGGATGAGATCTTGCATGGAGCCCCAGATTATCAGTGGTCTTGTATGTCTTCCATTTTCTTACAATTGCTCCCACAGTTGATTTTTTTTCACACCAAGCTGCTTGCCCTAGGTCTACAATTTTCTTCCTGGTGTCCTTTGACAGCTCTTTGGTCTTGCCATGGTTGAGTTTGGAGTGTGACTGTTTGAGGTGGTGGACAGGTGTCTTCTATACAGATAACGTGTTCAAACTGGTGCCAATAATACAGGTAATGAGTGGAGGACAGAAAAGCTTCTTAAAGAAGATGTTACAGGTCTGTGAGAGCCAGAAATCTTGCTGGTTTGTAGGTGACCAAATACTTATTTTCCACCATAATTTACAAATAAATTCTTTAAAAATCCTACAATGTGATTTCCTGGATTTTTTTTTTTCTTCTTCTCATTTTGTCCTCTCATAGTTGAAGTGTACCTATGATGAAAATTACAGACCTCTCTCAGAACTTGCACAATGCTCTTGCTGACTAAATACTTTTTGGCCCCACTGTATGTCACAATACAGAGGAAAAGACATGTCTCTGCTTCCGTTGAATCGAGACTTTAATATTCTTGTTTTGAAGGTTTTCTTAGTCCAAACTGACTATATCAATTAAAGGAATAATTTGTAAATCAAGTTTAGAAACATAACCTAAGTGTACAGGAATTTGTATAGTTTCTCACTGTGTCCTGTGCTGGCGTTGAGTTGTATTACTAATGCTTGAAACCCTAATAGCCGTCTATGACCGAATCCAGATGTGTTGTTGAGAGTGGCCCAAGAACATTGATCTCTTGAAATTTGTTTATTTGATATACAGTATATCTATATCTATATCTATATCTGGGGTGGTGATGGTGCAGTGGATAAGACACATGCCTTTGGTGTGTGAGACCCAGGTTTGAATCCACTGTGAGACACCAATGTGTCCCTGAGCAAGACACTTAACACCTATTTGCCCCAGAGGCGTGCAACCCCTGACATATATAGCAATTGTAATTTGCTTTGGATAAAAGCGTCAGCTAAATGAATAAATGTAAATATCTGTCAAAAGGCCAATATTTTTTATTCTTGACATTTCAGGACTTGAATAAGCGTCAAGGCCTGGCTCTGCTGACTAAAATGGGGGAATCGGTGAAGTATGTGACGGGTGGTTATAAACTGAGAGGACGGCCAATTGAGTTTGCCGCCATGGGCGACTATCTGGACATGTTCACACAGAAGCTGGGCACCATTGACAGGATAGCACAGAGAATCATCAAAGAGCAATCAGGTAAAGATCGTCACTTTTTTACTGCCTTTTTAAAGAGAAATTCCATCCATCATAGGCTAGCATTGCATATACAAGTCCTTTAAACCTGATCATATAAACTACTTTGATCCGTTGTTGATCCGTGACTCGTACGGACCAAGCCCCATGGTTCAGCATGCATGCGATTCACGGATCAATTGTAAATCTAACCGCAATAGATGAAAGGTTATCATTTGCACGTGTTTTGTCTTGCTAGTTTACACATTCAATAGATTTTAAAACCATTTCAGCGCTGGAAGAGGCAAAGGAGAATTCATTTCGGGGCTCACGCACTGTTATCTGTGTTGCACAGCCGCACACACCAGAGAGAGGCGTGTTCAGGCGCACTGTAGCACACAAACACTGCCATTTTTCCCGTCGTTAAACTAGCAAAAGTGGATTCGGACACGACCTAAGTGCACTTGTGCTGTGCGCTTTAGACCATGCGCCTGTTACAAACAAAACTATTCAGCAACAATCACTTTCTTGCATTTTTAGTTTCTGGCCGAGTCCACCAGTCTCTTTCTGCTTTGGCCGTCATCTGTCGGTTCTTACTCCCTCCGTGCCAATCACTGCAATAATACTGTTAGTTGTGCTGCACTTGACCCATTTACTCGTCTCCTGTCTCGCTCCCCGTTGCCGGCTCCGCTGAACCAGGCTCCCCCGTCACCGTGCCTTTTTTAATGCATGTTTTGTAGGGGTGTGCAAAAAAATCGATTCACATTTGAATCGCGATTCAATCTTTACCGATTCAGAATCGATTCATAGAATTCCAAAAATCAATTCATATATATAGGCTATATTTTTAATGGCGTCCAGGGGCGGAGTGGCAATCGGGTGAGTCGGGACTTTTACCGGTGGTCCGGTAGTGTTTCTATGGTTTCGAGGCTGCGAGGGCCGGTCTGATAAATAGTTATTGCAAGTTCTTGCCGCCCGCTGGTCAAACTGTGCAGCCACTCTGCTCAACCCGTAAATAAATGCATCGATCCGCAGATCTTATGTTTGAGTTCTGTAGATCTGTAGGTTACGGGTTCTAAACCGCACTTGTATAGTTTTTTCTCTCTCTCATCAAAACCGAATATGTTCATCACGTTTGTGTGCATTTTATTGTGTGATTTCACCGGAGTCTCCACAACGGCGATAGATTGAAGCGCGCATCCGAGAGAAGACTGCGCGAGCCACAGAGAACACTGTATCCATGACACTGATCGCAGCGGACACGAGCGCTCAGCTTGATTTCAAAAACAACAGGTCTCTTATTTAATAGCGAACTAAATGAATGCTCTGCTAGTTAAATGGAGATACCCGCAAATTACGCGCCTATGAACGACTTCACTGGATCTAAACAAATCAATCTAACCATAGATGTTACCAGTAGCGGTGGCTTTTTTAAATCTATTTAAAATATTTTCGCAAGGGTTCTATGAAATTGTATATTTTTAGGAAGTTCAATGTGCCCAGTCGAGTTCACATTTCAACAGTCAACCTGGTAGCTGAAGTAGGCCTACTCCTTAAACCACATTTAGCATAATTGTTTGTTTGATCTGACTACAGCACTTTAAAGCTAAATGTAAAAGCTTTTTATTTAAGTTTTATTTTAAGCTTGAATTAAATGTATTTAAAAGCTGGCCAAAGCTTGGCACTTCGCACTTTTTAGTTGCAAAAGTTTTTATTTTTGTATGAAGACATATAAAGTGATATCAAACTTTTCTTTTAAATTATGTCTACTGCAATCAATCACATAGGAAAAAGTCAACTCATAGACCTGCGAATCGTTTTTTGAATCGAAAATCGATTTTGAATCGAATCTCGAGACAAAAAAATCGGTATCGAATCGTGACATTTTTTGAATCGTGCACCCCTAATGTTTTGCGACATTAGCTGTCTTTTGTAAATTGCTATCTATGTTTGTCGTATATGTACTGTATGTTTGAAATCAAATTTGACTTGTAAGGTTCAGTTAGGATGCCGCCTTTTGAAGGCAGTTGTCTTAGCTTCAAAACTTGCCTTGCTGTCTATTTCCCACTGAGCCCATAAGTGAACTTTGGCAGTAAAAATAACTAAATGTAAAAACGAGCCCTGGAAGATGAGCTTTTTCCTTGTTTGTGCTTAGAGTTCTTGATGGAGTTGAGAGAGTACGGGCCTGTGTACTCGTCCTGGTCGTCGTTCGAGGAAGAGCTGCATGATCCTCTGGAGGGGGTGTCGGGGTGTGTGTCGAACTGCTCCAGTGCTCTGGACGAACTCACAGAGGACATGAGTGAGGAGTTTCTCCCAGTGCTTAGAGAATACGTCCTATACATCGAATCCATGAAGGTGAGCGGCTTTCAGCTGAGCTTTTCAGTCATTCTTCCCACCTTGTATGTGAATTAATTTATTTAAAGTGGCCAGTCGAAAAAATAATTTATACCATTTGGAAAAATACCATGTGTCTGTGACTTTTTGCAAAGGGAATGTAATGGTTTGGAATTATTCTCCCAAAACTGAGCCAATGTTTAGTTATTGTGTGTTAAACGCTGAACGCAGCATGATTTAAGTTTTTTCTTCACTCTGTTTTAAACATAAATCTAACTAATTTAGTCAGGTTTTCCAATATAATTTTTTTCTGTAAATCACTTTTAAAGGAGTAGTTCGCTTTTAAAAAAACTTTTGCTGATAATTTACTCAGCCCCATGTCATCCAAGATATCCATGTCATTCTTTCTTCAGTCAAAACGAAATTTAAGGTTTTTGATGAAAACATTCCAGGATTTTTCTCCATATAATTGACTTCAATGGGAACCAAACGGTTCAAGGTCCAAAAGACAGTTTCATAGCAAACTGTTCAAAGGGCTTTAAATGATTTCAGGCGATTATGAAGCGAAACGTTTGCTCTCCTTGCTCTGTTCTGTGATGTGTGACTCTCCTATTCGAACTTGTTCATCAAAATGAACAAATCTTTTCCAGAGTCAACTCGTTCATTTCGTTCGTTGAATGAACCAAATGACACGAAAAAAGATTCGTTCATTTTGATAAAGGAGTTCGAACAGGAGAGTCACGAACGCGCATCACAGAACAGAGCAAGCTTAGCCATTTGAGCTTATAAAACTTAAACTTTGTTGGGTTTTTTTTAAATGAGCGATCGTTTCGCTTGATAAGATCCGTATTCATCGTCTGGAATCGTTTAAAGCCCTTTGAACAGTTTGTACTGAAACTGTCTTTTGGACCTTGAACCGTTTGGTTCCCAATGAAGTCCATTATATGGAGAAAAATCATGGAATGTTTTCATCAAAAACCTTAATTTCTCTTCGACTGAAGAAAGAATGACATGGACATCTTGGATGACATGGGGGTGAGTAAATTATCAGCAAAAGTTTTTTCAAAAGTGATCTACTCCTTTAATGAATTGTCCAGGTTTACATTTTGAATATGTACAGTACAGTTCAAAAGTTTGAGGTCAGTAAGTATTAAGAAATTAATCCTTTTATACAAGGAGGCATTAAATTGATCAAAAGTGACAGTGAAGACATTTATACGTAATGTTGCAAAAGATTTAATTTTCAAATAGATGCTTTTCGTTCATCAAAGAATCCTGAAAACAAATTTACAGTAATATGAATCAGCACAACTGTTTTCAACATTGATAATAATCAGAAATTATTCTTGAGCATCAAATCTCATCATATTAGACTGATTTCTGAAAGATCACTGAATGCTGAAAACTTAGCTTTGACCACAGGAATAAATTACACTTTACTATATATTCACATAGAAGCAGCTATTTTAAATTGTAGTAATATTTCACGATAATGCTGATTTTACTGTATTTTTTTTTTATCAGTGTCAAGTAGGGGTTTCACAACTACTGATTTTTGCTAGTCGACTAGTTTTGCATAACAGTCGACGACTAGTCGACTAGTCGTTAAATGGTTTATTCTAGGGGTGTGCGACAACACGAATAGTAAATGTCTCCACGATCTGCTTTTGAAGAAATATGGTAGTAGTAGTATCGTGTTACAGTGCATTCTATCAGTTCTGGCGCCTCTCAACTGTACAACGCGACGTAGCCTACACATCACACGTTAAGGAATAGGTACGGGACACTGCAATTCACAAAAGTTCATTGTTTGCATAAGCCTTGCCGGTTAAACGTTTAATTCACGTGCTGTTCTAACGTGCGCTTTCCTGAGCGCGCGGCATACCCCCGACGCTCACAGGCATTAGAAGCCTGTCAAACAGCGCCTGAATACTGGACTAAGTTATCTTTCAAGTCTTATTATGCTAATACTGTTAAATACACACAATGTTTACATAAACAGAATTGGCTATGTCTAAAGTGCAGCCTCCCCATATAGAAAGTGAAAGCAAACATTTGAGAGAAAATCTGGTGTAGGCTTATGCGTCTATATTAAACACGTCGCGTGCTGGTCTAAAAGCGAGAGTAGTACTCGTATTTTCCGCACTATAAAGCGCACTTAAAAGCCTTTAATTTTCTCAATCCGGCCTTTTCTCAAGCTTTATAATCCGAAGCGCATTATATATGGATCAATTGCTCACGCTCGTGTCCATCTTATGCCCGCTTTGTCACACAGCCAGTTCAACCTCGTATATAATATATCTCCTGCTCACGAGCGCTCTCTCTAACACACACACGAACAGACACTGCTGTCAGCAGGCTGCGAATGTAAGTTACATGTCTGCCCCAGCGCGCTCACGCTTACTAAATAAACGCCTCACCTCCGACGCCGCGCACTCGCTGCATTCCCTTTAGCACATCTAATGGATGCATAATGCAAACCCAGTCAAACGTTTGAAAAATGTTCTAAAATAGGTCATTGAAGGTGCGCCTTATAGTGCTTATAGTATATAGTACTGCCGCTTGTATTTAAAGGGATAGTTAACAAAAAAAATATATCTATATATATGTCATCATTTTGTTTCCGACTAGTCGACTAAGGCCAACAGCGCCAACTAGTGGTTGTGACAGTCGACTAGTCAACTAGTTGATGAAACCCCTAGTGTCAAGCGCAAGTAACTTTGTGGGCAGATCTCGTCGCTGTTGCTATTTAACCGGCAAGATAAATGACTCTTGCGCCTGACGCAAATCTAAGGGGTTGGTCTGAAGTAGCTTCATTATTCATAGGTTTGGTTTGGGCCTAACGTGAAACAAACCAATAAGAGCGTCATATCACATTCCCTTTAAGAGCATGATGAAAGAGGTGCGCTTGTTCCATGGCGCAATGCTATTATAACAGCGCATTTACCAGGCGCGCTTCCGAATCGGTTCACAGCCGAGGAGATCGACGTTCTCGTCAGGGCCGTAAAAGAAAGAGAATGGACCTTGGGGATGGGACAAACCCACCCAAATTGGCTTCGGTTAAACATGAATTTAATCATTTGGGTAAATGTGTAAGCTTTAGTCCTATTTTTCCAATCGTCATGAACACAACAATGATTTCCCTTGCCTTTTAATATTTTTTCTTTATAGTAATGTGTCATTTGGCAAGTTCATTCCCTAGTTTGCCAGGAAAAGTCCGCTTTGCACAGGTGCAAAATACGAATTTTTACATGCGTTGGTGTACAAAATCAATTGCTGGGTGCAAGATAGGGCCCGGTGAGTGAAAGAGACTTTTTTTAAACCATTTAAAATCTATTTGACCCCAAACTTTTGAATTCTAGTGTATGCATTTTGTTTTAATTAGTGCTTAGATATATCCAGTTTTAGCAGTTTGGTGCATCATTTTGAGGAAATATTGTTATGCAACTCAACAAAGTCATTTCCTCTCTGTCTTAACTTGACACATCTACACAATCAGCAAATATTGCGAGACGAGTGGCCTCTGTGCTGAGATGGGGCTTTATATTATTTCCTTCTTGAAAACTGCTCTAAAATTATTGACAGGACTGCAGTTCATAAACACTGAAAATACAGCACTGTTAAGAACGTGTATAAACCAAACAAATTTCCAAGACTATATAATTGTATATTAAGGAAACTGAATGATAGTTTTGTAATTTACTGCTTTGCTAATGACTAGATGTTTTTTAGCATTTCGATTTAACATTTATTCTCTACTGACACTGCAGGACATTTGCAGAGAGACATCCAAGATTTCTAGAATAACACAAAGCATTTTATTAGCCTCCATGTTTGTGTCATGGCTCCAGCGTAGAGAATATAGTGAACGCATTTCAATAACCGGTCATATGCTGAAAGAGTGAAATTGGAGAATGTAAACTGTAATTGCTGCCAAATGTTTGTAATTTACAAACCTCTTATCGTTTGCTAGAATGTGCTTAAAAAGAGAGATCAAGTCCAGGCAGAATACGAAACAAAGTTGGAGGCAGTCGTGTTCAGGGAGGACAAAAAGACACCGGTGAGTTGCATTTATTTTACTAACTCTGATCTGAATTGATTTGCAAGACTCTCAGAGGCTGTGACGTACCATGCCGACGCCGTTGAATCGGCTTCAAGTCTGTCGGTGAGAGAGATTGGATTGTAATATCTGTCAATCGAAATATCTATAACATTTTTCGCACATTCTCGAAAAATGGTCGCAAATGGTCCAATTTGGTCACAGTGTGGAACCCTGTTTTTTCTAGGCCCTTAAATTTATGCCTAGCCCCCGTAAAAATTTGTGATTAATATGCTACACAAATTCGTGTTCGCTTCAGTCTTGTTTTAATCAGATTCAGCGCGTTCTACATCATAAATCAGTGGCGCCAAGCAGAGAGCACGTCAAAAAGAGAGGAAATTGTGCCTGCGTTCATCTGAGCCAGAGACTATTTAGTCTGAGCCCATTGGTCTGTCACTGCTCGTCAATGTCAGAATATTTGAGATGACCAATCAAATCAAAGTAGGCAGGCTTTACAGTACATTCACAGAAGCTGAGCAAACGTCTTGAAATGCACATATCAGAGATTAAAAAATGTAACCCCCAAACCTCCACCTCAAATGTAGGACCTCTTTGATTTATAAAGCCCTGTCCACAGCCCTGTATAGGCATCAGAATCAGAACCAGAAAGCGCTTTATCCCAAGTGTATTTTTTTTACAAAAATGAAAAGCCTAATTATGAGTCAAAGCTCAACTTTGACTCTCAGGCTCTCTCAGTTTTTTTTTATTATACCCTCATCGGGGGCTAAGCCCCCCTAAAAGGAAAATCCTAGAATCCGTATATGTACAGTACAGTACAGTAGAGTTGAATTAAATTGTTTATGCAGATTACAATCACTGAAGTCTTGACAATAATAGCTGTGGCTTTTATCCCACCGGAGATCCTGTGTTCCCCGTGAGCATAAAGCTCACCATTCCCCTTCTGAGATGATGCAGACAGTGGTGGCACAGTAAACAGGAGAGAGGTAAGAGAGCTAAGCTAAGCCCATAGAGTCAGGCAGATTTTTATTTTTAAAAGCCAGTTATTTCATGGATCCAGGATAATATGCATCCTGATAAAGTTCCCTTGGCCTTTGGAATTAAAATATCCCCACATCATCACACACCTTCCACCACACCTAGAGATTGGCATGGGGTACTTTCCATCATCTTTCAATGCAAATCAAACCAGCTATTAGGCTAACTGAAGTAAAACCATGCCAATCTCTAGGTGTGGTGGAAGGTGTGTGATGACGTGGGGATATTTTAATTCCAAAGGCCAAGGGAATTTAATCAGGATGCATATTATCCTGGATCCATGAAATAACTGGCTTTTAAAAATAAAAATCTGCCTGACTCTATGGGAATTCAACATAGGGGTGTCCTGACTTATGCACCCTGTATTTTAAGGAAAAACATTTATTTATTTATGATACATTATTCATTCACAAAGAAAATTGGTGTCCTTAAAGGTTGGAGTTTTCCTCATTTTTCTAATTAAGGCATTAAGATCAATATCCAAAAGATGATTTTTTATTCCTCTTTTGAGGCAACTTTAGCATGGGTGCCAAAACTTATTCACACCACTGTATATCCAACTTGATTCAGCTTGAGATTTTCAAGCGATCCTTTATTCTAATTAGCTGCGTCAGGTGTGTTTGACTTAGGGTTGGATGACAGCGGCCCTCCTGGAGCAGGATTGAAGACCTTTGGTGTAGACCAGGGGTGTCAAACTCAGTTCCTGGAGGGCCACAACCCTGCAGAGTGTAGCTTCAACCCTAATTAAACAGCTAATCAAGTCCTTCAGGCGTATTTGAAAACTGCATGTGCGTGTGTGTTGAAGCAGTGTTGGAACTAAACTCTGTAGGGCTGTGGCCTTCCAGGAACTGAGTTTGACGCCCCTGTAGACCTTTTCTGCTTGCCTAGGGAGTTCACTTCGGTTGCTATAACATCTGTCAATGTACCACCGCAAGCATTAGCCAGTATCTGTCGGCACAGAGCCAGCCCTCTACCACATCTGGGACTCTCAGATCATCAGTCTCTGTCCCTGATCCCAGTAGCACTGAGCTGCTGACAGACCAGCCATGAAGACAGTCAAGGTAAAGCCACCTCAGGACTGTTTTGAAGACAAAGACTTGGGAATTTATGCTGAGGAGACAGATCTGGATGGGCACACACCAGCTGTTCTGTCATATATCAACTTTAGCGCTGTGAATGTGCCTGGGACCAAAGCTGTAAAAGTATTCCCTAACCAAAAAGCATGGTTCAACAGCAAGGTGAGGACACTGCTCTGAGCACAAGATTCAGCGTTTGAGTCTGGGGACCTGCAGGCCTATACAGAAGCACAGAGAAGAGGAACTGTGCATAGAGGAACGGTATTTATGGTCTGAATTTCGTAAAAAAAAAAAAATGGACAGAACTTGAGAGCTGATTTTTTTTCATATCATAAGTAACCTGCTCTGTCTAGTCTGTGGGTGTGAGTGTCCTCTTTGCTCTGTGATTTTTCTCTGTGTGGTGTGAGAGCGTGTGAAAAGTGAGTCTCACGGTCAATGCGTGTTGGCAGCCCTGCTTTTAGATGAGGGATAAATTGACGGCAGCGTTCCTTCTTCCGCCATGCTTCTTTTGCATGTGAGGCTTGTTTACATTAGACTAGAGTGCACACTGCACCACATGCACACAGTGCTTATACATGTGGGGATTGTTTATATCAGAGTGTGCATGTGTTTTCCGCAGCATACACTGTGTATTTTAAACAGTAGATGGGAAATAAGCTAGTGTGCGTTCTAAAAATCGAATCTATCGAATACCGACATATGTCTAGCAGAGTCACCGTGAGGATCCTTAAAGGATAATTCCGGTATTTAACACCTTGAGTCTATTTTGTAGTTTGTTTTGAATGAAATAGAGTGGTGGACTTAGAAATTTTGACAATGGGTCCTGTCTCGACTTTTTTAGAGTCTCCTGTGACAGCTTTAGACTGGCTGTCAATGGGCATTCACAAACATGTCCATAAAACAACCCTTAACATTAATTTTCAAAACTGTGCAACTCACCGAGTGGTTGGTGGTGTTCGTTGATGTTCTGAAACAAGTAGCGTAGCGAAATACCGTTTCTGTCGTGTTTTGTCATTTTTTAAAATCGCATTGATGTCTGCTGGAGGACTTGGTGCTCGTTGATATTACTGTGCTAGCTACCGGAAAAGGAAAGGGGTCTGTTTACATTTGCTTGTAGTCTTTTCGCTCGGTTCTCCGTCTCTCAGAAGGCTAGCGTGAGCGTTTTTTTACGGTGTGCTAGTCACCGTGTTCCGTACAGCGTCCTGGTTGTCGCCATCAAGTGGTTGGGAGTGTGCTAACGCTTCAGACTCGAATATCGAGCGGAGGTTTATATGCGGTTGTGAGGTATCTGAATAAATAGTTCCACAATAGCAAACAACACGGATTGAAAGCATACATTGCGCCGATATATTTGTTTTTAATCATCAACGAACACCACCAACCACTCGGTGAGTTGCACAGTTTTGAAAATGAACATTAAGGGTTGTTTTAAGGACATGTTTGTGCATGCCCATTGACAGCCAGTCTAAAGCTGTCACAGGTGATTCTAAAATAGTCAAAAAGTCGAGACAGGACCCATTGTCAAAATTTCTAAGTCCACCACTCTATTTCATTCAAAACAAACTACAAAACAGACTCAAGGTGTTAAATACCGGAATTATCCTTTAATGACTGCGCAGACAGAGGATGTTGTCGTTATAGCTCTCCACACCTAAACCAGGAAAACACCTATCTAAGAATGCTGTTTGTCGATTTCAGTTCAGCTTTTAATACAGTTCACCACAAACTAGTTCAAAAATCGAGCAACCTGGGCTTAGGCTGTTCACTGTGACTTCCTGAGCAACAGACCCCAGAATGTAAGGATGGGAGATCAGACATCCTCTCTCGCCCTGAACACTGGCGTACCACAGGGGGGTGTTCTTGGTCCACTTCTCTTCTCCCTCTTTATTCATGACTACTCCCCTATTCATCCCATCAACACCATTGTCAAATTTACTGATTAGATCACCATAGTTGGACTGATTTCAGACAACAATGAGAGCCCAATGAGAGAATAATTTCTGATTGACTGCACACAGGTGGTGGTTGAGAGATCCCCTGATAAGATTGTAAAGTGCTTTGGGTGTACAATGGTACATATAAAAAGTGCTATATAAATGCCTCATTCATTCATTCATTCAAACATTACAAAAATCAAGGAAATAATAGTGTATTTAGAAAATCTAAGCGCAATGAACACTTTGCTTTCTCAGACTGATCTCATGAAGTAGCGTGTGTATGACACGCCAATTCGTATTTCCATTTTTGGCGTGCCATCAAGACGCATAATTGCCTTTCAGCGTGTTTATGAACGCCGTTGACTTAACGTTATATAAATATATGACTTACCTCAACCCCGTCCCTAAACCTGACCGTCACTGGGGTTAATGGCATTTATGACTGTTCCATTACCATCCTAGGAAAAAAAAAGATATGACTTACCTCAACCCCGTCCCTAAACTTAACCGTCACTGGGGTTAATGGCATTTATGACTGGAGATTTGACTGCGTGTACAGACACGCGGAATGACGCGGACGTTAATGGCGTACACGCGGATACACGCAGATAGTTCAAAATGCGTAGAGATAACACGCCACCTGACTCGAAAGTGGCGTGTATGTTTACGCAAAAGTCATGATGTCATGTTGGCTTTCTGCACACATGGGGAGGTCGTAGAGCGATTTAAGATCATTGGTGTGCACATCTCTGCTGACCTCACCTGGACTTCACACATCTCTCATCGGGGGAAATACCCAAAATAGGCTTAAAACATTCACCTCCATCATCATCTGCTGACCAAATTCTAGCGATCGGCTGTAGAGAGCCTCCTGACCTATTTCTGCACCGTGTGGTTCATGAGCTGCACAGAGGAGAATGGGAGGGACCTACGAGGGTGTTGAGGACAGCAGAGCTTGTCATTGGTACTGCACTACCCTCCCTAAAGACATCCACACTGGGCGACTCCAAAAGAAAGCCTGCTAGATTGTAATGGACTCCACTGACCCGAGATATCGCTCATTCTCTCACTTCCCTCAGGGAAGAGATGTAGACTAAAGAGAACCAAAACTAAAATATAAAAAAAAAAGTTTTTTCCCACAAGCAATCAAATGCATAAATCGTCCTCCTCCCTAAGGTTCATAAACCCATATCATAAGGAATTTTGCACTATATTGTGTATATCACATTACTGTGGTTTTCTTTATATACGTCCTGTTATTTTGTCTCGTTATATATATTTCCCATCCATGAGAACTGCAAAACTATTATCATTGCATAAACAATAAAAAACAAAATCAAATTTAGGTGTTTATAGGCGTATGTAATATCTTACAATTACGCTTCTTAAAGAACTTGAGCCCACTTAATTGCTGTTTGCAGCTAAATTTGACATTCAAAATGGCAAGCAAGCGCCGTTTTGTTTTTCGGTTTGTATATCTGCAGTCCTAGTTTCGGTTTCTCTTTTCGAATGACGAAAATAGACTTTTGACACCTGCTGATATAGACCGTTAACCCCCATAGGTGGGACGCTTGCCATTGAATTTTTAAAACAATAATATCTAAGAAAAGATCTTAAGTAATATTGACAAACTATATATCATTTGAAAGCGTGTTAACGTGTAGTTTCCATATTTGGTGACTGATTTTCAAAATAAATTACTGAGGAGCCATAATGTATCAATTTGCAACAAGAATATTTTCATACTCCTAAGGCGTGTTCAGACCTTTATTTTGAAATAGTGTTGAACATGAAAAATCATGAAAAAAAGGAAGGAACCTCAGTTTGTTTTCATGCCAAGAGTTCAAAAGATTGCATCCATTCAATTATGTTAGAAAAAAGGTCTGAATGTTTTAAATATAAAGAGATTAATAAATTCACCATGTGTGATGTGGCAGCGAGCTATAATGCACATACATGTTCTTTGTATGTGTTTCTTTCTACTTCATAAATTGTATGAAAATTGTGGAAATAATGGTTCAGATCACTCAAAACACATATTGGAAATGGAGACGCCCTTATATGGGCAGCAATGGAGTCTGGTTGTGCCCTAGTGAAAAAGTTTGGTACTGCGCCCAAACAAAATCTCACTGAAAGCTCATTTTTTGAGATGTCAACCTAAAATTTAAAACACAGCTTGTTCAGATTTTTGCCTTTGATTTTTCTGCAGTTTTGGAGTAGCCCAGGGTTTGAAAATATTTTATATAAAATATGAATAATAATTATTTTACATTTCTATAAACTCAAACTTCTATAACTTTTTTTTGTTTCACTTTCTTAAATTATTCTATTATTCTATTAAATTATTATTATTCTACAAAAATCTGCCAAATGTCTTCTTTAAAACGAGACCAATATTGCGTCTATATTCCAAAGCATTCTTGAATTACAACCATTTAAGTTTGAAATGTGCATGTGACAGTTTAGAAGTTAATCCCTTGTGCTAGTTAAAGGTGCTGTGTGTAACTTTTTCACTCAACTAAAGCATAAAAATACCGTAATATGTTTGCAGATTAGCAAACTTGCTGAGTTCACATACTCGTTTCTCTGAAAAGCACTTCTACAGCCAGTTATTTTACTTTGAAATGTTCGTTCGGTGTTGGAATGTCTGTTTTTGTCTTGGTCTGTGTGACCAAATGCCAGTTCAACCAATAGTATTTCGACACCCCGGGGTGCCAGTTGGCAGAAAACACAGCGTATTACAGCCAGCAAACAAACTGGGTCAGGGATTGCAGATTCTACGCAACCTAAAAAGTAGGGATGCACCGAATATTCGGCCGCCGGAAATTTTCGGCCGAAAATGGCCCAAAAGTGCATTTTCGGTTTTCGGCCGAAAGACTTTTATCACCGAAACAATACGGCCGAAATGTTGTGATGACGCAAACAGAAACCGCGACCTGCACGTGCTTGTCTGAAGCAACATGTCTGCGGTGTGGACGTATTTCAGTGTATCTGAACCCGCGATGAGACGAAAACCTTGTTTATCCACCTATAAACAATGCGTGCCGCCATGACGACGACTCCGGTTCCGAGCGGGTCAAGAGCGGTGCGCGCGCTGTCTGTGGAGACACGCGCTGCGGAGGCAGGCGAAAGTATAAACAAGGCAGCGCGAGTCTCCACAGACAGCGCGCGCACCGCTCTTGACCCGCTCGGAACCGGAGTCGTCGTCATGGCGGCACGCATTGTTTAGAGCAGGAAACAATTAAAAATTATAAATTAGACTCGCGCTGCGGAGGCAGGCGAAAGTAAACAAGGCAGCGCGAGTCTCCACAAACAGCGCGTGCACCGCTCCAAACGGTCGAGGCGTTTATACTTGACGCGCTCTCCGTTGTAACTGTTACTATTCCTTGAAACGACAGGGGACGACTCAAGTAACTGTCCTCTAACCATCAGGAATCGGTGAGAAGAAGACAGATAAATACATGAAAATGTTTATTTTTTAGTATTCCACCACCAATACAAAAATAATCATGTAAAACCCAGTAAACCCTGAGACATTACAAAAAAAATATGTATATGGGAACATGTATAGAACTAAATTAATGCTCTCTTAAATATTTTCTACATTCACTAAAAATGTTTCATTAAGTTTCATGTACATTTGTATTAAACATGGACCATTGTAAAGGCTTTTTATATTGTATGCTACATTTTTTAAAATGTAACTAATTTAGACATGCAAACTGGGTGCTAATGTGATGAGAAGTTTGCGCTCAGCTTTTTTTTTGAGAGAACGTTTCATTTTAAAACCTTTCTGCAGGCCAGTAGATTATTATTTAGTGTACACATAAGTGGGGTCAAGTTAAACATTTTAGTTTGAATTTTATTTTATACTGTGCATTGTGCTAAATATATATTTGCATAATTTGTAATTGATTTATTCTTTGAAAATGTTATATTAATTTATGCAATTGCAATGCCTTGATTTTAGTTAAGTTTGTACACAGTCATAGCCATAAATGCAATGATACTAATAATTGGCATAATTTCTTTCGGTGTTTCGGTTTTCGGTTTTCGGCCTTGGTTTCCTCTTTTTCGGTTTTCGGTTTCGGCCAAGAATTTTCATTTCGGTGCATCCCTACTAAAAAGCCTCGGTATACATCTAATAATCTCTATCGAGTCTGAGGAACAACGATCTCTGATATTTTGAATTTGGACTGCTGTACCTATTTCGACCACTAGCTGTCATTCTTACCGACTGCACCTTTAACAGTCGCCTGTTGTCCTTTTGGTGCGTTCAAGCGCCACTTTTCAGCCTAAACACTGACAGCTTTTGTTGCCCTTAGTTCTTTGACGTCGACTTTGTGTGTCACAGCCTTTTCGAGCTGCTTTTATTAAGGCTGGGAAATATGAAGGTGGAAGAAACCTCTCGACTGTTGAGAGTTAATGTGGCGTCCTGGATGTTCTCCGCATATCTCTGGCCTGCAGGTGCCCACTGATGTGGAGAAGTGCCAGGACCGCGTGGAGTGCTTCAACGCCGACCTGAAGGCAGACTGGGACCGCTGGCAGAACAACAAGCGGCAGGACTTCAGACAGCTGCTCACAGGCATGGCCGACAAAAACATCCAGTACTACGAGAAGGTGAGAAACTTCAATAGCCTCGGTTACACTTTATTTGTGTCTTTGTTACATGTAGTTACTGTTTTAATAACAATAAATTATGCATAATTACATGAAACTGACCTTAAATCAATCATTAATCCTAAACATAACCCTTTAGTAAGTATATGTAGTTAATTATTATTACTCTGTACTTAAATGTATAATTACAGTGTAAAAAAGACACTTTAAAATAAAGTAACGTGGTTACAGGTGAAAATTTGTATCTGTCACTTTAGAGTTATTATACTTTAATGAAAGAACAAAATATGACTAGCTAAAGCAAAAGTTTTTACTCTGGATTGATGTGCATTGATAATTTGGCTAGAAATGTGTTTGAAGGAAGTAAATGGGTTCAGTTTGATTTAATGTTGATTTTAAGTGTGTTCATTGTATATAGAGCAGAAATTGCCCAGCTAATGTTTAACTCTTCAGTCCTGCTGTTTGCCAAACACTGACAGGGGAACCATTAATACTGCAGAAACCAGAGGAGCTCACTTATATCCTTGTTTACTTAATGAATGTTTACTCGAGATGAACCGATATTTCGGCCAATGAAAATAATGCTACCCCCTCCTCATTCACTGCTCTTGTTCCCCAAATGCTCTGATGATGATAGCTTTGTAGGGCTATACATTATTTGGATAATTGATCAACAAAATAAATCTGTTAAATCTGATTTTGTTATGTAGAACTAAATAAAGAATAAAATATTGATATTTAATATTTTTAGATTTTCTGTCCGATTTTAGTGTTACCTTCAATAAATTATATATATTTTTTGGCTTTTATTTTTCAAATTCAGTATCATTATTGAATTTTCATGATAAAATCCAGTATTAGTACATTTATACAAAAAAAAAGCTAATTTAAAATAAGCTATAAATACATTTTTTAAAAGCATTTTCTTTTTCTGGGCAAATTTATCCTGAAACTTCGGTTTCGGCCCAGAATGTTTATTATATCTACATGTTGATATATCTTGGAGTTTTTCAGTATTGATCATGTTTTATAAACCGTCAAGGCTTAAAAAATCTTAAGAAAAGAGAATTTTTTTTGCGTTAAGAAATTTAAACCTATTTAACCCTCTGGGGTTGGCTATTGCGCCGTTGTGACAAGCTCACTTTTTTCCTTATCAGTATGGATGAATGAATGAATGAATGAATGGATGAATCAATCAATCAATCAAGACTACAGATGTACATTGCATCTGTGCGATAAACATTGTTTTTACATGAATACACCCAAACTATATTGCTATAGCCTACTGAGATTTGTTCTAACCGCGATATAGAATAGTGTCTAATGACAACATTTCGTTGACTAGTTTGGATAGATTATAAAGTTTTTGCTATAAAATAGACATCAAATAAGCTTTTGTTTGACAGTTTCTGCTCATATGTTAAATATATAGTCAGTTTTGTCAAAAATAAACTAATCAACTGTTATAGTGTTTGTTCCAAGCTATATCAAAACAATGAATCCTTAATTTTAAAAATATGTATGATGAAATGTATTGGCCTACTTTGAAAAAAATGCTTATAAGAGATTTATGGTAAAAGACCATTTTCTTTTCAAGATGTTTCCAACTCTAACTTTGAACCAGTTCTATAGAATGACCCATATAACCTATTTGACCAGGGGCCTCATTTATAAAACTTTGCGTAGGATTTGCGTCAGAAGTGGCGTACGGATGAAACATAGGACGTGCGTACGCACAGAAATATTCGGATTTATAAAACCGTGCGCACGCACATCCTACGCATTTTTCCTTTAATAAATCACAATCAATTCTAAATGTAGCGCAACTTTTGCGGCTTCATGTCACACCCATAGTTGCCCAAAAATAGTCCGTGAAACGCCCACAAGTTAATATTCATCGATTGCGAAATCGTGTTAAACACAGAGAGGAAATAAAAAAAAAACGTAACTTCACTCAATGTAAAGTAGAAGTTATCGTTGGCGAGGTGAAAAAGAGGAGAAAATGTTGTTTGGAGGGCACAGTGTGGGCATTACTAATGCCAAAAAGGCACTTGAGTGGCAAAAGGCACTTTGAGTCATTTTAAGTAATAAAATGACTCAAATTAAAAATAAAATACTAAATGTATATGTAAGTCACATATTTGACGTCTAAGTAGCAACAATCTCACCTAAAAAACTCCTAAAACTCCATGACATGACATGTAATGATCTACATACATCTACGTTATGATGTTCACGGCTACTCCGCCATGACAGTGAGAGAAATGCTGCAAACGCTGAAACGGTTCCAGTGCTGATGCTGGTAGAATATAGCATGGCTAAAAGAGGCTTTCAGCCAATTAGAATCGAGAACCAGAAGAAACTGTTCATAAATAAAATTAAACATTATAAAACCCCATAGGAAAATCTCAAGGGAACCAGCAGTAATATATTTGGATGAAAGTTTTATATTCATGTATATGTATGTCAAGATTATAGCAGTAAAGTGTGCTAAATTGAGATATATATATATATATGTGTGTGTGTCTAATCAAAAGTGTGACGTTTGAGAAGAAACTGTTTGGCCTTGACGTCCTGCTGTTGTTTCTGCCCCACAGTGCCTTGCAGCATGGGAGTCCCTTATTCCCTCGTTACAAGTCAAGCAGGAGGCGAGAGGCGAAACGAACTGAGCATGTATTTCGGGCCCTGGTGAGGGTCAGAGGTTACGACCCGCTCAAAGGGTTTCACAGGACACTACTGGACTGGACCAGCTACCAGAATCACATTTTTTTGTAAAGTGTCTCTGTTTGTGAAAGTCCACCCATCTCTCTCTCTCTCTCTCGTGTTCACCCTCTCTCTCTCTTTTTCTCTCTCGTTCACCCTCTCTCTCTAATTTTCTCTCTCGTTCACTCTCTCTCTCTCCCTCTATCATTCCCCCCCCCCTCTCTTCTCTGGCGCTCGCCCTCTCTTTGTGGGTGGAAGGAGAATTTGTCGTTTCTCTTGTCGAGCTCAGGCTATGACTGCAGACGCACGGCTCTGGGAAACGTTACACAACAGGAGGATGACTGAGGGAAGGACGCTTTTGGTGACACCAACAGATTTGTAGTTTTTAGTGAAATGTTTGCCAGTGATGATTTTGTAAACGCTTTGTCTTTTGATGCCGTCCGTTCAAGGGGACCGAGACGTCAGTGTTTTTGTTGTTTCGTTCAGGAAGAGTCCGCGGAAGGTTTGCCAACATTCCTCTTGCCAAAGATGTGGATCTGTAGTTTGATATCTCTTTTGAATCTTCATCTTTCTTTCAGAAGAATATTTGGACCACAAAACACTCGCCTGAATCGCCAATTCCCTCGTTACACTATATAATAAATCCAGCCGTTGCGTTGAAATGAAGGATGTTTTCCCAGCCATACTTGACCTCATTAAATATTTATGATAACGTGTGTGTCATAATGATTTGTGCTTGTCTTAATGGGACAGTGTAGGCGGTTGGGTTAGTCTGATGTGAGACGTTTCTTATGTAATGTAGGACATTTCTTCTGAATCTATGGGATAATAATGGAGAGTGGTTGATCTTCAATAATATACACGCACTCGGAAATACAGCGCTTTTAGTAAATGCTTTATGGCGTATGTTTTTTGCTGCGGTTACTTCAAATAGAATGGTTAAATGCAAAACATCGATTGACTTTTTTTTTTTATATGGTTATGAAGTGCAGATTAGTATTTCACTATTGCTCAAGTTTGTGGGCAGTAAAACATTTTTTGAAGTCTGAAAAGCTGCATTTGATCAAATTTATTGAAAGCAGTAATATTGTGAAGTATTGGAATTCTTACTTGTGTGTGTATCTATCTATATATATATATATATATATATTACTTATGTGTATGTGTGTATATATATATATATATATATACACAGTATATATGTCACACACAGAGATAATTTATTTCAGTAAAAGTCACAGGAAATTAATTGCTTTATACAAGCTTAATTTTCTTTTTGCATTTTCTCCCTTTGTCTTTAATGACCAGGACATTTGTGGGATTCACCTCTATCAGAATTAATCACAAAAATTATAAAATTATTAGGGCTGTCAAACGATTAATCGCATCCAAAATAAAAGTTTGTGTTAACTTAATATATGTGGGTGCACTGTGTATAATTATTTGGTATGTATATATATATATATATATATATATAAATAAATAAATAAATACACACACTTATGTATATTTAGGAAAAAAATATTATTTATATATAAAATATTTATATATAATATAAATTATAAATAAATCTATATACATGAAAATATTTCTTAAATAAATACAAGCATGTGTGTGTATTTATATATATAAAATAATTATACACAGTGCACCCACATTTATTATGTAAACACAAACTTTTATTTTGGATGTGATTAATCGCGATTAATCGTTTGAGAGCCCTAAAAATTATATATAATTTTTAAAGAAATTATAAACCAAATCAGTTCACTCTTACTGTATATTAAAGTTCTCCTGTCCTGTGGTTGTGTCCTGTTTGTGAGGTAGATTAATTTAAAGGGTTTATTCACCCAAAAATCAAAATAAAAGCCTAAATTAAATCTGTTCAAATTGATCGAATCTCTTTACCACTTTGACGCTTGAAAAAGTTCATAGTTGCGTAGACTGTCAATGGAGGGACCGAAATCTCTCAGGTTTCATTTAAAATAGGGCTTTGGAACGACATGGCTGAGTAAATGATGACTACATTTTGGGTGAACTGAGTCAGGGCCGCTCTGAACTTTGTCACTTCTCACAGTTTGTAATTTTTTGGGGAAATGTGTAATAGAGTTGCAATAGTTACATTTGAAGCACGTTCTCCATGAATGTTGAAGTCAGTAATGTAGCATTGAGCCGTCTGAATCACACCTGTCTCTGGTGTGCGTCTGCAGGTTCAGCACAGTTTGGAAACCTGCTGGTAGATGCAGGTCTTTCTCATTGCCTTGTTTTTCACCGTCATGCTTTCAAGAAGAAAAGCCTCCAGATAGAATACAGACGCTCTGTCTGGTTCTACATGTCTATGTTTTTTTTGTGGTCTATATAATGATAGTTCAGACACGGCCTGAAGCTTCACCCATCATCCAGTCAGCCTTATACTTTTGGCTCTATTCATTTTTAAGTTGAGTTGAATTGATTTTAAATTTCATACATTTTGTTAAAGGCAGCTATATGACTTTTTGTTGCTTTAATGCATGTTGTACATTTTTGATGTAAAATACTGTTAATACTGGAAATGATTAAATGCAGTTTACACAAGAACAGGTTAAACGTAGAGCGATTATATGACGTTCAACTGAGTGTCTGCTGAATCTGCAATAATTGTGGTCCATTAATCTGTCATGTTACATGCTTAATGGTCTTTTTTTTGTCAAATATAAATCATGTGTAGCATGAAGTGTCTTATGTTTACTTACGGATCAGTCCTGTTACCCTTTACCTCAAAAGATTTTTAATATTGGACATTTGTGATAAAAAGAATTAAACGGATATACTAATAAGATATATATTTTCTTTTAATGTGTTTTTGTGCCTTTGCACAAGCAGAACTATGTGAACTGCCATTAAAGAATGATGATTCATAATATACTCATCAGATACTTTGTGTAAAACAGTGCATATATTTAATAGGATCCATACATCATACACAGAAACGCATAAAATGATTTACTGCAAAAACTGTTCAATACAAATCTGATAAAATGTCATCCCTTTTAAATAGACGATACAATACAGAAATATTGGTAAGCATTTATAATAAGGTCCCATTAGTAGTTCATTAACTAACATTGAGTATGTGCATATGTTACAGTATTTATTAATCTTTGTAATACAGCTGTTCATTGTTAGTTCATGTTAGTCCATTAAATGTTTACAGATAGAACTCTTGATTTTAATAATGTAGTAAATGTTGAAATTAACATTAAATTAGGATGAATAAACTTTAGAATTTTTCATGTAAACATGTTCATGTTAACTAATGGAGGTAACTAATGAAACCAAGTATTGTCAGCATTATTAGTCATGTGTTCTACATGACTACACAGATTGCATTACCACAAATAAAACATTATAACCACAGTGCAACAGGAAGTAACATTATCTATTCCAGCAGATAATATTGTCTATTAAATGATTTTTTCAAACTGACCTCTATAGTCAACTGAATAACAAAGCAGATATTTTCTGTTGCAACATAAATGTAAACCTACACATTTTTTACTGTGCAAATATACATATCTTGATAACTTGTCCTTTGACGGGGCTGAATGCCGTCAGTTCCCTTGAATGATCTCATATCCATGTGTTGCAGAGCGACATCCTACAACACTTGGCATAAAAAGACAATAGAAATGTTTACTAATCTCCGAACTATAATCTGAATTTAATGATGAATTAAAGGAGTAGTTCACTTTAAAAAAAAAAAAAACTTTTGCTGATAATTTACTCATCCCATGTCATCCAAGATATCCATGTCATTCTTTCTTCAGTCGAAAAGAAATTAAGTTTTTGGATGAAAACATTCCAGGATTTTTCTCCATATAATGGACCTCAATGGGAACCAAATGGTTCAAGGTCCAAAAGACCCTTTCAGTGCAAACTGCAAACTGTTCAAAGAGCTTTAAATGATTTGAGACGATGAATCAAGCGAAACGATCGTTCATTTAAAAAAAAAAAATAACAAAGTTTAACTTTTAGAAGCTCAAATTGTCGCCTTGCTCTGTTCTGTGATGCGCGTCCGTGACTCTCCTCATCAAAATGAACAAATCTTTTCCCGAGTCAATTCATTCATTTCGTTTGTTGAATGAATCAAAAAAAATGTGTTAATTTTGATAAATGAGTTCGATCAGGAGAGTCACACAGAACAGAGCTAGGCAACCATTTGAGCTTATAAAACTTAAACTTTGTTATTTATTGTTTTGCTTGATAAGACCCTTATTCATCGTCTGAAATCGTTTAAATCCCTTTGAACAGTTTGCACTGAAACTGTCTTTTGGACCTTGAACCGTTTGGTTCCCATTGAAGTCTATTATATGGAGAAAAATCCTGGAATGTTTTCATCAAAAACCTTAATTTTTTTCCGACTGAAGAAAGAAAGACATGGACATCTTGGATGACATGGGGGTGAGTAAATTATCAGCAAAAGTTTTTTTTAAAAGTGAACTACTCCTTTAAATGTTATATTAAAGGGTGACAAAAAAAGTCAGCTTACCTAATAGGTATCATAGAAAGAACAGTGAAGATGCTGGACAGAATGAAGACAAACCCTGGGAAGGTGTCAAGTGTGGCCTGATAGATCTTAGTGTAGATGGGTGTGGTGACCAAGCTTGCTAGTTTGAAGGACAACTGGAGCATGACAAAGGTTATGCCTGTGGGACGAAACGCAACTATTGGTGAAAATTACCATTTACCAATTTCACTAAGCAGTGGATTTCCAAACCAAAGTTTGAGAGGAGCTTGTTCAGCTTAGCATTCCATCGCCACCATAACTATGGCTTTATTTTAATCTCTTCTACATATCAGTTACACAGGTTCGCTGCCAACAGGGCTGGTGAGGTCTATGGGTGTCCGATATCAGAAAAGCAGGGGGCCAAGCACTGAGCCCTGAGGCACTCCAATATACAGTGGTTAGCTGATGGGATTTGAATGGTATGATGAGAACAATTGAACAGTTAATCTATAATAACTAACTGTAGTTAGACATTGAGATAAACATTTACAATGTTTTTTTTTTTTTATTCCAATCAGTGGTTTGACAATCAAAACTCGTCAAGTAACATGATTTCAGCAAACAAGGCTATTTTACGTCACATTCATAAAATATTCATGTACGCTAAAAGTTATTTGAAAACTGAAGAAATTCTTGCCACTTGGGATTCTCAAGTTTGTTTTGAATGTTGACTGGTTCTCTTTTTATACGGTATGCCTGTGTTTATAAAGCTGAGATGAGGCGTGCACACATTTTTTTGTTCGTACATTTATTCTCTGAATCACATGTATGCACATTTGAGAAATTATCGTAAGATTAAATGATTTCGACTCAATATTTTATAAACGGGGGCGAGGGCCAACTGTTTTGAACATTGGTTACATAACATTTGCCTTTGGTTAGTAAAAGGTGTCATACATGTTTGGGCAGAGTTTTCATTACATTTAGGAGAGAGCGGGGCACAACCTAGCGCATTTTGGTTTTGGTTTTCAATTAATTAAAAAATAATTAGGTTAGATTAATATTTTTTACACAAGCAACATACACATCTCTGCTACAAATGAACACTTAAAGTTTTTTTTCTAGGATCTACCATTTTCGTACAGTTGGACTGAAAGTGACAGAAGTGCAAATGTTAATTGTAACAGACAGAGGGGTTAGTTGTAACACTTGTGTGTAACACACATAATTCAGTACTGTTTTATTTGTATAGTTTGATATTGTTTGTGCAGCTGTATAGACAGATATCCATACATCCATCCCTCATCCAATCATCCTTGTGGATCAATATCATGGATAGAGATGTAGAAAAGGGCTGCACAGTTCCCTTTCGTAGTCACTTCGAGTTACGTCAGAAGTGACGGAGATTGGGGGATTTCGCATAGAAAGCCAATCCTCTTCGAGTATTTAAACACGAGCCAATGGCATGCAATGCCTTGGGGCTGCGGAAATTTGCATAGCGTACTCCGCCCTACTCCGTGAGTATAAAAGGAGGAAGCGAACGCAACCGCAGTATGTTTTCGCTTCGGAGCCAAGAGAACCTCTTCACTCCTCAAAGCTGATTCAAGACTCTTCGAGACGAGCGTCCTCTTCAGTGTTGGTGTGACGGCGGTACCCAGCGAGATTCTGCATTGCCTGCGATCTGTGCAGTGGTTTGCCAGACTTTGCGCTTCTTCCTGGTAGCCTCAGCGCTGAAAGAGTGAATTTCTCTCCTCTCTGTAAAAGAGCTGCACGCGGCACGTCTTTTTAAAGATGGCTCGCCCGTGCCCTTCTGGATGTGGTAGATTTCTATCGTCATCTGATGGTCACGAACGCTGCTTTGTTTGCTTGGGCATTCAGCATGCAGCAGCAGCGTTCGTGGATGACTCATGTTCCTTCTGTGGGACCATGACCATCTCCACACTGAGGTCGCGGCTCAATGATCTCACTAGAGTGAGAGCCCCGGTCCCCCCTACTCGATCGGCTTCCTTCACGAAAGGGGGCCCGTCGACCCGGGGACCGGGCGATCTAACGGTGACGGTGTGGGATAAAGCCCTGACGATTCCTCGGGCCACACCTCCCGCCTCAGTGCGTGAGCCAGCGGGCGCTAGTTCGACTCGGTCGGTTGTCTCTTCGGCGGCACCGGCTGCTTCGAGCAGCGCCCCAGATGATGATGCGATGTCTATCACAGCATCACTAGGCGGGCTTGATTCCTCGGGAGAGGAAGATCCGGCTGCGTTGCCTCCTTCGGGAGTCCCAGCGTTGTCCGCGTCAGATCCCGAGATGACGGCCATGCTGTCTCGAGCCGCTGGGAGTATCGGGCTAGAATGGAAACCTCCATCCTGCCCCGACCTCTCACGGATGGATAATTGGTTTTTGGACAAGGCTGCCGCTGCAAAGCCACGGCCGACTCCAATTCCTTTTTTCCCCGAGCTGCATGCGGAGTTGTCGCGCTCTTGGGGGGCTCCTTTGTCCACTCGAGAGCGCGATCTCTCCCCCGCCTTTCCCCCCCTCGACGGCGGGGCCGCCCGTGGGTACACTGGGATGCCCCCGGTGGAGCGCTCTGTTGCGATGCAGCTGTGTCCACAGAGCGCTTCCACCCGTGGTCCTCCTAAGCACCCATCCAAAGCCTGTGGGTTCTCGTCTGCTATGGCGGCGCGATCCTACAGAGCGGCGGGACAGGCGGCCTCCGCTCTGCATGCTATGACCACTTTGCAGGTCTTCCAAGCGAAGTTGCTCAGAGACATGCACGAGGGCGGGACTGATCCGACGGCATTCAAAGAACTGCGGTCCGCCACTGACCTTGCTCTCCGGGCAACGAAAGTGGCTGCTCGCGCCGTTGGTCAGGTGATGGCCACTAGCGTGGTTCAGGAGCGTCATCTGTGGCTCAACCTGTCGGATACGCGGAGCGCTGAGCGGACTCGTCTGCTCGACGCTCCGCTGTCCCAGGTTGGCCTTTTCGGCGGTGCGGTCGAGGACTTCGCCCAACAGTTCTCCACCGCCCAGAAGCAGACGGAGGCCATCAAACACATCCTGCCCCGACGACCAGCTGCTGCCTCCACCCAGTCGTCGGCACAGGTGCCTCCCCCTGCTCGCCGCCGAGGACGCCCCCCTGCGGCTCCCCTCCCTCCCGCCCGGCCCCAGCAGCAGCCTTCACCCGGGCCCCGGCGTCGAGGAGGCCGCAGGCCGGCGTCACAGCCCCCTCAGGCCGCTCGCCCCGCTAAACGCCAGGCCAAGCGAAGATCCTGACACGGGCGGCTCAGTGTCGATCTCGAGTCTTTCTCAGGAGGCGGTAGCAGGCCCCCTCCTTCCCCCGGTGGAGGGCCGGGGGAGAATCTTTTGTTCTCAGCTCCCCGCTGCTCACCCACGGGTGGGCAGCACCCTGAACTGGTTAAAGAAAGACTTGACATCCTCACTGAGCTCACAGACTGGAGTGAGTGCCCCCGATGCCCCAGTGTGTCGGCCCACTCACTCCTCTCTGTCTCGGAGGGCGCGGAAGGGTGCGTGTGTCGTCCCCGGGCTACACCAATCCCTTCCCCCTCTCTCGCCAGACCCCCGGCAGAACGGACCCCCCTCTCTCGCCAGACCCCCGGCAGAACGGACCCCCGTGGAACGCTCCGCTTTCCCTGGTCCCTTCTGTCGGGGAGCGGGCTTCGACGCATCCGAGCGGGGTAACTCCTGCACGCGTGCCAGTCGACCCGCCACGCTGCCCCTCCGGGGGGACGTCTGTGGTTCACATGACCCCGTTGGCTCACTTCCTGGAAGCCTGGCTAGCGCTTCCCGGGGTATCCCGCTGGGTCATCAGAACGATCAGATTCGGCTACGCGATTCAGTTCGCACGGTCTCCTCCCCGCTTCAGGGGAGTTCGCTCCACGATAGTCGGTGGCAATGCCCCGGTCCTGAGAGCGGAGATTGCGACCCTGCTGGCGAAGGGTGCAATCGAGACGGTCCCTCCAGCCGAGGTGAGGTCCGGGTTTTACAGCCCCTACTTCATTGTCCCCAAGAAGACCGGTGGGTTACGACCGATCCTGGACCTGCGCATTTTGAACCGTTCTCTCCATCGACTACCGTTCAAAATGCTCACGGCCAAACGCATTTTCGAATGTGTTCGGTATCAGGATTGGTTTGCAGCGATCGACCTGAAGGACGCGTACTTCCATGTGTCCATCTTACCTCGACACAGACCGTTTCTTCGGTTTGCCTTCGAGGGCCAGGCATATCAGTACGCCGTTCTCCCATTCGGGTTAGCTCTGTCCCCTCGCGTCTTCACGAAGATCGTCGAGGCAGCCCTTGTTCCCCTTCGCGAACACGGGGTTCGCATCCTGAATTATCTCGACGACTGGCTGATACTAGCACACTCTCGAGCTCAGCTTTGCGAACACAGAGACTTGGTGCTCCGGCACCTAGCCCGTCTGGGCCTTCGGGTCAACCGAGAGAAGAGCAAACTTTGCCCCGTGCAGAGGATCTCTTTTCTCGGCGTGGAGATAGACTCGGTCGCCATGTCCGCGCAGCTCACGAACGAGCGCGCGCACTCACTGCTGACTTGTCTTCGTCAGTTCGAGGGCAAGAGTGCGGTTCCACTGAAACTTTTTCAGAGGCTCCTGGGGCATATGGCATCCGCGGCCGCGGCAACGCCGCTCGGTTTGCTTCATATGAGACCGCTTCAGCTGTGGCTTCGCGATCGAGTCCCGAGGTGGGCATGGCATCGCGGCTCGCTCCGAGTCCCAGTGACTCCGACATGCCGGCGAACCTTCTTCCCGTGGTCGAACCTCAGCTTTTTACGGACGGGCGTCCCTATTCAGCGAGTTTCCAGGCATCTCATCGTCTCCACGGATGCATCTACCACGGGTTGGGGTGCCATGTGCAATGGGCATGCAGCCGCCGGCTCCTGGACGGGGGCCCAGCGCCTCATGCACATCAATTGCCTCGAGCTGCTGGCAGTACGGCTCGCCCTACACCGCTTCCGAGCGTTGCTCAAGGGCCGGCATGTGCTTGTCCGCTCAGACAACACTACGGCTGTAGCGTACATCAACCACCAGGGGGGTCTACGCTCGCGCCGGTTGTCGCAGCTCGCCCGCCACCTCTTGATATGGAGTCAGAAGCACCTGAGGTCCCTTCGTGCAGTTCACATTCCTGGAGACCGGAACTGGGCAGCCGACGAGCTGTCTCGGGTCCGCCCTATCTCCGGCGAGTGGCGACTCCATCCCCAGTCGGTCCAGCTGATCTGGAAAGAGTTCGGGGAGGCACAGATAGATCTGTTCGCCTCCCGGGACTCGGCCCACTGCGCCCAGTTTTATTCTCTGACCTGGGGCACTCTCGGTTCGGATGCGCTGGCGCACAGCTGGCCACGGGGCCCACGCAAGTATGCGTTTCCCCCAGTGAGCCTCCTTGCACGGGTGTTGTGCAAGATCAAGGAGGACGAGGAGCAGGTCTTGCTGGTAGCCCCCTACTGGCCCACCAAGACGTGGTTCTCCGATCTCATGCTCCTCGCGACAGCACCTCCTTGGCCTATTCCTCTGAGACAAGACCTACTCTCTCAGAGACGGGGCACTCTGTGGCACCCTCGTCCCGATCTTTGGAGGCTGCACGTGTGGCTCCTGGACGGGACGAGGCAGGTTTGAGTTCGCTGCCACCTGCGGTGGCGGCAACCATCACTTCCGCAAGAGCGTCGTCCACGAGACACCTTTATGCGTTGAAGTGGAACCTCTTCGTCAATTGGTGCTCTTCTCGCGGAGAAGACCCCCGGAGATGTTCGATCAGTGTCGTGCTTTCCTTCCTGCAAGAAGGGTTGGAGCGCAGGCTGTCGCCCTCCACCCTTAAGGTTTATGTCGCGGCCATTGCCGCTTCTCATGAAGCAGTGGAAGGTAAGTCCTTAGGGAAGCACGACCTGGTCATCAGGTTCCTGAGGGGAGCGAGGAGGCTGCATCCGCCTCGTCCTCCCCTCGTACCCTCTTGGGACCTCTCGGTAGTTTTAAGTGCTCTGCAGAGGCATCCCTTTGAGCCTTTGCAATCGGTAGAGTTAAAGTTTCTGTCCATGAAGACAGCACTCCTGGTTGCATTGGCCTCCATCAAGAGGGTGGGGGACCTGCACGCATTCTCCGTTGACGAAGCGTGCCTGGAGTTCGGGCCGGCTTACTCTCACGTGATCCTGAGACCCCGGCCTGGATATGTGCCCAAGGTTCCCACCACTCCCTTCCGGGACCAGGTGGTGAACCTGCAAGCGCTGCCCCCGGAGGAGGCAGACCCAGCCTTGGCACTGCTCTGTCCGGTACGTGCTCTCCGCACCTATGTCGACAGAACGCAGTGTTTCAGGACCTCAGACCAGCTCTTTGTCTGTCATGGAGGGAGCCAGAAGGGAAGGGCTCTCTCAAAGCAACGGCTGTCCCACTGGATAGTGGATGCCATTGCTTTGTCTTACCAGCAGCAAGGCCTTCCGTGCCCCCTTGGTGTGACGGCCCATTCCACTCGGAGTGTAGCCTCCTCTTGGGCTTTAGCGCACGGCGCCTCGCTAACAGACATCTGCAGAGCTGCAGGCTGGGCGACACCCAACACCTTCGCCAGATTCTATAATCTGCGAATTGAGCCGGTATCCTCTCACGTACTCGTTTCGGCCAGTTCTGGATCCGCTCAGGTGTCTTCGCTTGCTCGCCACTCCACTCCCCGGACTGGATAAGTGCGATATTTCCTCAGTTCTTCCATTGAAGTCTTGAGTCCTCCAGCACCGACGATGCGGGCACCACTGCGTTGCTCTGGGTGCTAGCTAGGTGCCTCCATGCGCACGGTTCCCCATGGTAACCGTCTCATGTGTATTATCCACTGTAAGCCTCTCTGAGCATGTGTCTTCCCTTGGCAAGCCATCTGCCACCCCTGGAGTTTAAATCAGTAGCCACCTGCGGTTGGTACTCCAGTGTTCCATATGCGTCCCTAGGTGGCCATATGTGTATTCATAAGTCCTCCCTTCGGTAGGCAGCTGGTAGCATGTCCCCTTCGGGATATGTTTCCCAGTGTACCTTGGTAATCCTGTGTCAAAGTCGGGTCCCCAAAAAAAAAAAAAAAAAAAAGAGGTAAGGCTCGGGGTTCAGTCTTTCGCAGGGCACTGGAAGACAGCTTGAAGATGGCGTGATGGCACAGACCCCCAATCTCCGTCACTTCTGACGTAACTCGAAGTGACTACGAAAGGGAACGTCTCGGTTACGTATGTAACCCTCGTTCCCTGAGTAGGGAACGGAGACGTTACGTCTCCCTGCCACTTCTGCTGTATCGCTGGGTAGATGCCGAGTTCAGTCTTGGCTCCTCAGCGAAGACATACTGCGGTTGCGTTCGCTTCCTCCTTTTATACTCACGGAGTAGGGCGGAGTACGCTATGCAAATTTCCGCAGCCCCAAGGCATTGCATGCCATTGGCTCGTGTTTAAATACTCGAAGAGGATTGGCTTTCTATGCGAAATCCCCCAATCTCCGTCACTTCTGACGTAACGTCTCCGTTCCCTACTCAGGGAACGAGGGTTACATACGTAACCGAGACGTTTTGCGATAAATAATAATAAATAAAATGATAAAATATTATAATTGCAATTAAATTAGATTTTTGTGTGGCAGCTGCATGTACAATTATTATTATTAATAATAATAACAGTATATTATTAATAATAATAACAGTCATAATAATACAAATGAGCTTAAAATAAAAATTTAAAGGGTTTATTGCATTAAAAAACAGGCCATATTTTTAATAAATAAACAAGTTATCATTCATATTACACTAAAATTTAAACATTTTAAATTCCAACATTGTTTGTGAACGTCCAACAAAGTTAAATGTATACTCAAACCTGAAAAGTTGTGTGGCTCCGTTTTCATTTAGTTGTAACACTGTGTTAGAACTAACCCCGCTGTGTATGACATATTTTAAGCCTAGCTAACAGTCGCTAGGAATTGCTGACATGTTTCAAAACGGTGCTATGTTTGAGCCAACAAGACAGTGATTATGGCAATATAAAGTTAGATTTGGAAACGTATACACCCAACTCAGAAACCGCAAAAAAAACCTATGATGAAAAAATTACTTTAATGGTGTCAAAACACTCATTGTCCACTCCAGTATCTTCACAAAATATTATCGAAACTTTCCGCGAATTCGCGTGAGACTGTCTTCTGGCAGCGAGAGAAAAAGAGTAGAAAGACAGTCTGCTTGATCCTGACGAACTATGTAAAACGTCTGTGTTACATTTAACCCCGCGTTAGGTTGTGCCCCGCGCTCCCCTATACATACCTTTAACCAGTAGCCTGTGGTGTTTCAAGTGCTTTGAGTAAATCATCATTATCCCATTAGCTTACCACTGGAGTGCCTCAGGGTTCGGTGCTTGGCCCCCTACTGTACTGATCTATCAAAGTCTAGCTCAACCTGCCAAAGACAGGACTCATTGTCACCTCAGCCAGCCTATTCATTTACCTCAAACTATCAATTGTGTGTGCAACTGTAACACCAGCTGGGTCAGTCAGAACACTGACAACATCTCAAGGAGTCCTGATATAAACATTTTAGACTTGCCTGTAAAGTTACTTATTGTTACCACAAGAAAGAATTACAAATATTCGTGTGGCCTTCACCTGTGACACAGTTTCACTTCTGTTTTTTTTTTTTTACTTAATTTTCAGAACACATTAGATCAGAAAGGCTTCATGGCACAGCAACATGAACAAACATTTGAAATGTGACGAGGGTACATTGAGGTTTGAGTTTACATTTACTGTGTGTCTTTGGCAGCACCTTATGCAGAAACACAACTCTTACTGAGAGAATGAAGAATGGAGACCTACCGTATGAGCTTCCCTTGACCTGTTTGGAGAGCAGTGAGCGAATGGTGGGCATTGGGATCAGAGCGAACAGAGTTACAGAGCGAGCTGAAGAAGACAAGAACAAAACCTCAGATCAGAGGACAATACTAAGTCAATGTAATAAAACAATTTAAAGAGACTCCTATGAGCAATTTTACACTTAATGGCAGCCTTCATGTAAATTCTTCCTTTGAGGAATTATTATTGGATTCCAGTTTAAATGTGATAATGTTGTGTATTCTGACTATGTTAATGTGCTTTAATAATAGTCTAGCTGTGTTGTAAGTAAACTTAAATTTACTCTGTATTAAGAGACTCAACAATTAGTATACGGTTCATCAACCTAACATTGGACCCAATTTATATTAGATGTCTCAAACTAAAATTGATAGACTTTGTTACTAAGGTATTGTTAGGTAACTGATACATTTGTATTTACATTTAAAGTAATTACATGTGTTTATTAAACTAGACTAGAAGTACCCCAACACTAAACAGACCCTCTAACCATACCCGTATACCAACCTAATATAAAGTGGGACAGCTACATTTATAATATTATTATTAACAATATTATTACATCATGCTCAAAAGATCTTTAGTCAATAAAGTTAGAGATGTCATGAAACTTTGATTCATGTAGGTAGCACATTATTCCAGATTATCTATTTTATATAAAACCTTAATACTTTGTTTTCAGGAAAATTACACGCTTTGGTGGCTTTTTATGTAAAAATGTAACACACCTCTAAAATGATTGCTTTTGCTTTTATCGAAGTAACCAAAATGCTGATATTTAGACTCTTATAAAACAGTGGTAACACTTTAGTTAAGGGTTTAATTCTCATTATTAACAAGTTGCTCATTAGGATGCATATTACAAGGATTTTGGCTATTTATTCATTCTTATTAAGCATAAAACCTAAACTTAACAACTATCATAATAACTATTAATAATAAGCAATAAAAAGTTTATTGGGGCAAAAGTCATAGCTAATAATGAATTTATAGTGAGAATGTGACCCCTAATCTAAAGTGTGACCAAACAGTTTTACATTTAATGGTATTTGATTAAGTCTATTACACCTTAAAAAGTGGACAGTTGACTTAACGTAATGATTTTGTATATAAAATGATGTGGAATTTTATATACAATATAAAATGTGAATTGCAAGTTCGCATTATTTATTTTTTTTGTTTATACTTTTTTTTTTTATAGGTAAACCCATTGCCTTAAAATGATTAATTAAGTGAACTGAACACTTTTTTACAGTGTACGGAAGCTCAAGTAGACCAAGCATTAAAGGAGTAGCAAAACTTTTGCTGATAATTTACCCCCATGTAAAAAACAAGGTGTCCACATCTTTCTTTCTTCAGTTGAAAAGAAATTAAGGTTTTTGATGAAAACATTCCAGGATTTTCTCCATATAATGGATTTCATTGGGAACCAAACAGTTCAAGGTCCAAATGAGAGTTTCAGTGCAGCTTCAAAGGGCTTTAAACGACACCAGACGATGAATAAGGATCTTATCTAGGACCCTTCAAGTCATGACTCGAAAAAGATTTGTTCATTTTGATGAACGAGTTTGAACAGGAGAGTCACAAACGCTCATCACAGAACAGAGCAAGGCGAGCATTTGTGCCTATAAAACTTAAACTTTGTTATTTATTTTTGAAATGGCCGATCGTTTCGCTAGATAAGACGCTTATTCATCGTCTGGTGTCATTTAAAGCCCTTTGAAGCTGCACTGAAACGCTGATTTGGACCTTGGACCATTTGGTTCCCAATGAAGTCCATTATATGGAGAAAATCCTGGAATGTTTTCATCAAAAAACTTTCTTTTCGAAAGAAAGACATGGACATCTTGGATGACATGGGGGTGAGTAAATTATCAGCAAAAGTTTTTTAAAGTGAACTACTCCTTTAAGATGAATGAGATGAATGAATGAGGCTGTACAACTTACCCAAAAAGTACATTGGAGTTGTGGTCACAAATGCCATGAAATAAATCCCAACTGCGAAAGACACCATCCCGACCATGATCATGCTTTCATCTTTAACAGAACATCTTGTGAACATCTTCACACCCACAAAGCTGGTGATGAAGAGCAGGGACCCTGCCGCGTTCCCATAGCCCACCTCAGTCGCGCCCCAGTTGAGCGGCTCCTTCAGCACATACGCGGCCAGCATCTCCATCCCCCCGGCCACTGCGATATCATACAAGATTCCACTGGCGAACAGCAAGGCGATGTTTATTTTATCACGGGCTTCCTGGTTTAAGATCCCAAAACTTTCCCGTCGCTCCAGCCTCTCTGAGGCATGCTCGACCCGCAGGACGAATATCGCATAAAGCATGCAGATTAAATACAGCAGCACACTCAAACCAGATAGGATAACTCCTTGTTTGAGATCTACACTATAGAGGTTAAATAGGTGACCAGAAGCCAGACTGCCAATGAACCCGGCTATCCCGTACACCAGCTCGGTCCTCATGATGCGCACGGACCGGTCCTCCTCCCCCGAGCTCACCGACACCAGCGCCATCACTCCGGCCCAGTAGGACGCGAACCCGCCGCACAGCCCGTAGATCACCGGCACCGCGTACAACACCTGGAGAGGCCATCCCAGCGCGACGTCCAGCAGGAGCAAAGCCCTGGACACGAGGTAACCCACCAGAGGAACAGCTATTGGCACTTTCCTGTAACCTTTGTCTCCAATCTTTGCCAGAATGATCGCTGGCACGATCGGCATGAATTTGAGCAGCATATTAAAGGTCATGTTGAAGTTGGTAATCGCTTTCTGCTCGCTGTCACGGTCCGTGGCGTTTGCGCATCGCTCTTTAACGACCATTTGGAGAGCGGTGTCAAAAAACGAGCTGGCCACTTGGGCACAGAATACTAGAGGCACGATGTATTTACGAAAGGACATCCTAAAGTTGATGAAAATAACAAAAACGATCAATAACGTGTTGATCACTACAAGAGCTCAAACTCTCTGGGTGAAGCTCATCGCGTCATTTTGCAATGGGGAAGTTGCTAACTAAAATACTTTCAGTGGTTAGTCATGTTTCAACCACACAAGTAACACACTTACTGACCAATTATTGAGGATTTAAATGTTTGTTTTTATAAAAACGTTAGCCTGCTTATGTTTGCTTCTTTAAAAGTCAAAAAAGGAGAAGAACGAGAACATTTGTGAAAAGATAAATCACCAAATGAATTATGAAATACCTGTTCGGTTTGTGTGAACCAGTCAAACAAGATCTCAAGTAGGATTAGTCATTTGAGCTCATTTCATGTCATGAGGAACTTTTTTCTTAAAGAAATAGCCCTCCTAGTAATGACAAATAATAATAGTCAGTCATAATCTAGGACAACATGAAGAGACGATTATGGCTATTATTCTGAAGAATGTTGATACAGTTGGACAAAATGCAACATAAAATCTCCATAATTGTCCATGAAGTTCATTCTGAAGTCAAACACTATTGTGTGAGGAACCAATTGAAATGATTTTTTTTTACTTTTAAAACCTGGAGAATATTGTTTTTTATACCATATGCTCAACTTCTCACAGATTTTGATTGTGTATGGACATACTCTTTATGAATCTCAAAATATAATTTAAATGGTTACAGCTTCTTCTTATGCTATTCACATATTTTGATATTTAGGAGTCAAGAAAAAGAATAGAGACGTTTTACACATTTTCTTTTTAATGAGAAAATAATTATATATGTGTGTCAGAGTGAGACTTACAATTACTATAAAACAATATAAGCAGAATATTAACATACAATAAGTGGTTAACATGTCAAAAGAGGGGTGAAAGCATGATTGCATTATCACACCGTATCAATATTCTCCCGAAGGGAACTAGAACACTCATTAAACCTTTTAAGAAAGCAATTACAAATGTATTTGTAATAACAACTAACTATTTAAACAACAAGAGCAAACATATTTTTGGTGTTACTTCAAAAGTAAAAAATAAAATAAAAACACTGTTTACTTGGTTCAAACTGTGGAAAAAGCAATACTTGTGATTTCATTGAAGGCAAGTTTTTTTTTTAAAGATCAGACTGTATTTTGTGAAACTGAGACAATGAAACTAAAAATCTGTTGCAACAGACGCAGTAATTGTCATGCACACAAAGGAACACTGGCAAAGGCTTGACTAGAAATCTAAAGAAGGCATATATTTGTAGTTGAACACATTTGTGGTCACATTAGCGATACAAAAAAAAAAAAAAAAAAGAAAGAAATTTTATGAGCTAAAAGGTAATGCACATAGCACCCGCTCACACAGAAGTTACTATTGCTCAATACGCCGAATTTGCATAACTCAAAAGCGAATAAATCTGAATGTGGAAATTTTTTGTCTTTTTTTTGCCAAACAATAAAAAAAAACAAAGTAGTCTAATTGCGGTAATAACATTTTATCTCACAATTCCATTTTTTTTTTACTTCACAAATCAGATTTTTTTCTTTTCTCAGAATTTCGAGTTTATAGGCGATCTAGTATTTCTATCTGGATTTTATAACTCGCAATTCTGGTGTTTTTTCCTTACACTTGCAAATTTTTATCTTGCAATGATGTTTTTCCTCAGAATCGTAATATAAACTCACAATTACAAGTTATAAAGTTTGAACTGCGAGATATAAATTCGCAATTCTGAGAAAAAAACCCTCACAATTCTGACAATTTTTTCAGGCAATAGCGAGTCATTCTCACAATTCTGTGAATAAAAAGTCACGACTTTATTATTCGGTAACTGAAACAATCTTCCATATGATCTATTCCTATTCAAATCACTGTAGGCTATATATCAAACACACTGTAAAAAAAATATTGTTGGTTTAACTTAAAAAAATGAAGTAACTTGGTTACCTTAAAATTTTAAGTTCATTGAAATGGAAAAATTGAGTTAATACAATGAAGGAGATTGATTTAACCATCAGAAACTCAAAATATTATGTTATCTGAAGTACATACATTTTTAAGTTGATTTGATCACAAATCATGAAAATATTATTATTTTTACAGCGCATGACACAATTTCACAAATTCATAACTATTTTCCGTGATTGGTAGCTAATTCGTACGATATTTAAACCCCAATGACGGTTAAGTTTAGGGGCGGGGTTAAGGTTCTTCATAATGAGTTTCCTTTAAAAATCCTTCATTTTTTTGTACGATCCCAAACATACAAATCCACCCCGTAAAATAGTCACGTTTTCCCGTAAGAGCGGGTTGGAAATTTCGCTGAAAAGGTGTGGAACAAATTTCAATAAGAATTTGCGACGGGTTAAAACTGGTCGCGAATTCACCGCATTTCCCAACAGAAATGTGCTTAGTTTGAAGGTGACTTCTGTGTGAGCTGTGCTTTATATATCACTACACCATTGACCATAAACAATCGACAATTTCTGTCAAAATGTGCAGTATGATCGCAATGCTTTCCCCAAAGGCTGTCGCTTTACACATCAACAACTGCAACATTGCTCAATTTCTAATGGTTTCTTTTTCCTCTGGTATTGTACATTGAAAGCAATTTTGGCCACCATCCTATGCCGTAGGAATCCTGTTATATTACAGATTTGAACATTGGCTTGTTTCTTATAACTTAACTTCATGAGGTAAAACAACCATTTGTGTGTCCATTTCTCAAACATTATACAAAAGCATGTCATCTTTAATGAACTAAAGCTGGCTTTACATTTCATTTGAATGCTGCACATTTCGTGACGCAAAACCTGCCAGCATCACGGTCAATACTTGAACTACTCTGTTATAGAAATGTCCCCTAAAGCACCTAAAGAAACCTATGAAAATGCGTATAATATCATATGGCATACTTGGCCCTCAAATACACACAACACGGTATATATGAATAAATGTGCAGTAATAGTACTAAACATCAGGTCATATTTTTTTCCAAAACTATTTTCCATTTATAGGAACACTGCATATATCTCACTGCTCAAATAAAAATATTTCCCCCTTATAAAATTCAAATTATTTGTTCACCAACAATAATCATCTCATATCAAAGAATCCAAGTAAAAATCCAACATCCGGCTCTAAGTAAAACCGATGGCCGTCACACAGTCTCACATTAAGCATAGAAACAAATGGACACCTTAGAAAGTCAGTATCCAGGGATCAACAGACATGTGTTTTCATCCATTAAATAAAGTCAATGCACCTTCCGCAGAAACATTTATAATTCTGAATAGGTGTAACTTTATATGACACCCACAATGCATAACTGTTATAGAGTTTCTAGTTTGTCTTATTTTGCCTGCAATTTGAGAAACTATGTAATATATACCACTCTTAACCAGAGACTACAAATACTTCCTGTCCTCATTTAAGAACAGCAGTACATTAAATACTTTTTTCTTTGTGATACAATATATTATATGTGGAGTATACAAAACATCAAAGCCACGTTGTCGAATGATGCTTGAGGGATTGTCTTCATTTATGGCTTGATAAATGCATCAAAAATTAGAAGTCAACGATTATTTCTAGAAGAGCAATTGTCCATGTTTGAGTCCTCGTTGTTTCCTTCACGCTGCATGTCCATCTCTGATGTCAGTGACCTGTAGGCCTATAGATGCTTGTTCTGGCACCTAACATCCTTTATATTGCCAAATGTTTTAAAAACAATGGGGAAAAAAGACATTTCAGACATTAATTTGTACATTTGTATCAATATTTGTTTTTAACTGTGTTAAATAATGGTATTGTCTTTACAATTTCTGCTGATATTGGCTTTAAAAATGCCAAAAAGAGAAATTATGATTCATTTAAGAATCAACTAAGCAATTAAGCACAGTGAAGTCTTGCATTTTTAAGATATCTTTATCATTCATTGTTCTTTTCTTCATTTTTGCATTACAGTGCCCCTATTATGCTTTTTTAATGCTTTTTCAGATATTATCTTTAATGCAGTGTGTAGTATAGCTGCTTGTGAAATAAAGAGAAATAAGTGATTCTGAACGGCCTGAAACGAGTCGTCATTAATTCTAGACTTCCTGCTTGAACCTATGTAAGTTTGTAACATATTTCGGGAACACTTTACTTGAAGGGGTGTGCATAGATATGTCTTGAATATGAAGTAGGGTTTATGCATGTTTATGACAACTGTCATTAAGTGTCTTTCGCTCAATAATGACATTTTGAATGCAAATATGACATTGTTTGAGATGTCTTTGTTATGACATCTTGACAAAAAACATAACATCATGTAACCTGTCAGTGTCTTTGTCATGACAATTTGACATAAAATTAAGGTAAACTGTCATAACTGTGTCATGGACATTTTACGTGACACAACTACACAACTATTTCCTCAACTAATTTGTCTTTAAAAAGTTATAATGGTTTCATGACAGCCAATGTCAAAACCAACCACCTGACAGTTTAATGTAATGTTAACCAATAAAGCTAGGTGCTTTCTTAAGTTTGATAATTAATCTGCTATGTCATGTTTATGACAGGTTGTGTCAAAGTTCATGACAAAGACACTGACAGATTATAATGCATTGGTTTATGTCAAGGTGTCATAACAAAGACATCTCAAACAATGTCATATTTGCATTCAAAATGTCATAACTGACAGTTGTCACAACAAATATGCATAAAACTTCCTTCATATTCATAACATATCTCATGCCATGATTATGAAGGTGTCATGTTAGTCTTATGCACACCCCTTCAAGTAAAGTGTTACCCATATTTCAATAATGCCAGGCTATGCTCTTCATTGGCAGAACCTGAACAATATCTACCTTGACCCTTAAACACTGTAGTTCAAATATGATAATGAGAGTTGACCAATCACAACAGACTGGGCCATCTGACCAATCAGAGCAGAGTAGACCAATCAGAAGACACTGGGTCATCTGACCAATCAGAGCAGAGTAGACTCTTAGAAAGGAGGGTTTAAAGAAACTGAATCATTTATCGAACCATTGGAGGCATTGTGAGAAAAGCGCTGGTACTGAAATGTATATAATGAGAAAATGAAAGAATAAAGTGTTTTTTGACCTTTGATGCATGTACACCTGTTGTAGGAGACCTTAAAAGGAACACAACAGGGGCACTTTAAAGGCACTGCTTTTGCTGTTCTGTCCTACACATAACACAACACAACATAAACATTCCCCAACAAAAAATCTACATCATCCATTAAATATTCTGTACCACACCATGTCTGATGCTATAACTTGAAGCCAAACACAGGTGGCTTCAACTGCAAACAGCAATAACGTCCTAAAGAAAACATCTCCTGTCTTTTGTCAATGGAGAATTCATTGACCTCCTCTGCAAGTTATTACCACTTCGCTGTATTGTTATGTTGGTCTGGGTGAAGAGTTTGCTCTCACAGACCTCAAGTCTTTCAAGGTTACATGTCTGAGCCCTACTTTCATTTGTCCACCTCATTAAAGTTTCTCTCTGAACAATATGGCAATATTAGGAGAATGATTTGAGTTCCTATCTCTGCAATCGAGATCATTTGAAAATGTAATCAACAAGAAAACCAAATAGCAGTATTTTGCCCTTTCAGACACTGCAAGACACATTGTGTAGAGTTGAAATGTCAATAATCAAACAAGAAATCAGATTCATCCAATCTCTCCTTCAACCAATAACAAAATATTATCCGATTTTTTTCATTCTTTTCCCATGTCCTTAGTAACATCTTGGGTCGGGAAGTATAAATGCAACGTGGTCTTCACACTAATCATTAATGCCAAAACCCCCAAAGTCTCAAAAGAATGTGATACTTGAACCATTCCACTTTCTTAAAACGGATCAGCACAAAAGAAAAAGCTCTATCTTGGTAGTGGAAATATAAAGTGTTGTAGTATCTCTGGTCTTCACTGTCAACAGAAAGTTATGTCCCGTTTGTTCTCCAGAAACAGAAAGAACAAATCTTCAGAGAGGGGTGAATTCCCAATAAATACTTGTGTTTGTCCCGTTGCACATTTTCCCTCTGTTTTCTCTCTTTCAGAAAGAAGGTTTAGTTTACTCTTCCTCCTCCTCCTCCTCCTCATCTTCCTCAGCCTCATCTTGGTTGGCGTAGATTCCTGCTTCCCACCGGAGGGCCATGTTACTTTTTCTGCGAGTGACACGCGTTGCCTCCAGAACCTGAAGATAAACATAAAAATGGCTGTTATTCAAAGTTCTTTCAAATGTTATAATGATATATTCACCACAGTGAAGTTTCCTGGTAACATGCTCCACTTTAGACACATTCTTCTAAGTGGCTTTGCAACTACTTGTCAACTAGACCCTGTTTACAACTGGTGTTAAGATGCGTTTTGGTCCACTTTCAACCACTTCTGTCCTGGGGTGTGTTTCCCGTACAACTATGTAGTTCGCTGCTTCACTACCATAGTACGATGCATCGTAGGAGAAATCAACCAGCTACTCACGACTGTTTCCCGAAACCCACTGTCGCAAAGTATCGTTCAACCACGTTGGTTTCGCACGTGGTGGAGTAATAACTATTTTTAACGAAACTGTTTGAGATCCAATTAATGCTAGATTTTTTATATATAAATTACAGACATGTCATCTGAAGACTATTTCTAATTGTTCTCAGTTAATTTGCTTTATTAGCAGACTCAATATTTGGCTCGTTCTTACATAGTAGAGCACGTTCGCACATGCGCACTCTTCAAGCACGTTACTTCAAATCTTTTGACAAACTAAAATACGTAAATTACATTTGTATGTATTCTACATAAACGCCGGTTGTATGAATGTCAGCTTGCTTATTTTGCTCAAGATAAGGATTTATTACGTCCAAATGTGATGCAATATAGAAACGATGCCTCTAACCATAGGTCGAGAGCTGTCATTCAAACCACACAACTTTGCGATGCTGTTTGCGAATGTTCATTGGAACGATTGTTTCGGGAAACACCGACTCGTTGAACTATGCTGATAACGACGGAACTTGCGACCATAGTTGGCTAGTGATGCTTTCGGAAAACACACCACTGATTTCTTCGATGGGTAGGGTCTATGGATGGGTAAATGTATGGGCTTTTCCAGATCTTTCGATCTAATGGACAAAATAAGATTGCGGAAATTTACATATGAGAGCAACCGAAGACGAGTGAGAAACACACGGAGAGCATCAGCTTTAGTTCTGCTCTGACAGCCGTAACATTACGCCGAATGCTGTGAGTGTGTGTTAGAAATCAGGAATGATGAGAGAACATTGTGCTTGGTACGTCTTCATCTTCAAACCAAACTTTGGTCTTCAGCCGACAAAGTCTCATCTGGCTAGTGCTCTTCCTAGCCAGAATATGATCATATAATACCAATTTGATCATCTCTACACTGGTTATCTAAGTTCCGTATCAATTACTAAGTACTACTACTGACCTATAAAGCCCTAAATGGTTTAGCTCCTGTGTTTTTAATGGACTTTCTATCACCCTACAATCCATCGCGTTCTTTAAGACCACTAAATTCGAGGCTTCTGGTTATTCCCAGGATATCTAAGTGCACTAAAGGAGGGAGGGCGTTCTCACATTTAGCTCCTAAACTCTGGAATAGCCTTCCTGATATTGTTCGAGGCTCTGACTAAAGACGCATCTCTTTAGCCATGCATTCACATAATGCTTAACTTTTATTCCTCTGTTGAATCAGATCGAATGCATTTAATTTTATAACACTTGAAGAGTCTGTAGGTTATTTATATAGGTTGCATAGTATTTAGAGTCATTACGTTCCTGTGTGTATTGCGTGAATGACGGGTGGTTGGGCAGATATTGTGTTTTGCGGTAGGTGGTATGCCATACTAGAATGATCTGATGAAGTAGCGTGTGTATGACACGCTAATTCGTATTTCCATTTTTGGCGTGCTATCAACATGCATAATCGCTTTTCAGCGTGTTTATGAACACCGTTGACTTAACGTTATCACTGTATATATAAATATATGACCTACCTTAACCCCGTCCCTAAACCTACCCGTCACTGGGGTTATTGGCATTTATGAGTCTTCCCCTACCATCCTAGGAAAAAAAAGATCGCTCCCCAGATGTAGATCTACATTTTGCTTCGTTTTGCGCAGACATTTGACGGCGTGTACAGACAAGCGAAATCACTCGGACGTTAATGGCGTAGACATACACGCAGATAGCTCAAAATGCGTAGAGATAACACGCCACTTGACTTGAAAGTGGCGTGTATGTTTGCGCAAAAGTCATGATGTCATGTTGGCCATACGGAACCGTTGCACCAGTGGGGCTCGACAGCCTTAGTCAAATGGGTTGGTGTGTATGGTTGGGCTGTGGAGAGATTGTGAGATTGTGGTTAGGTCTCAGCAGCAGGAGGGATGTAGAGGTCAGTAAGCTGGGCTGAGTGGAGTGGGGGATGGAAGGGGGTGACTCTGGGACGCCAGAGTCACTGTCTTCAAGTTTTTAACATCTACTCTCGTGTAATGTAAATCATTATGAACAGCGGCTATGCTAATTATTTCCCATTTGCTTTCCTGCTGAGACGACTCAACACCTGTGAAGAGAAGACTCGATGCCTGTGAAGAGACGACTCAATACCGGCGATATGTTATGCCCTGAATTATTACATGATTAACTAAATGTATTTTTCCATGTACATTTCTGAAATGCACTTTCTGTAAAGCTGCTTTGAAACAATATGTATTGTGAAAATCGCTATACAAATACATTTGAATTGAACTGAATTCCCATAATGTTTAGGCATTAGGCCAGTAGCTGGAGAGAGGACAGTGGCTGTTTGAACACATTCGATCACATGAGTGTCTACACATTGAAAGAAATCCGGTAAAATGTGGTTTCGACTACCTCTGGGAGTGGTCAAAAGTGGACCCTCTTTAGACCTGTATTAGTGTGCCCACTTGACAAGGGATCCGATCGACCAAAACGCATCTCAATACCGGCTGTAAAGAGGGCCTGACTCTCATTAGAGCATTAGTAGACTGTCTGCTTAATATCTGATAACTCTTTATTGTGATGCTCCTCCAACAGATATTCTACTGACTATAGACCATTTCACAAGATGTAAACAACACTGGTCCAGAAGCACTTCCTGTTTCATAAAAGCTGCGATAAAATACAACCAACAGAACATTTAAAACTGAATTAAAAAGTTAAACAAACATCTTTAAGATGGTTTCTTTACATGTGAAATAAAGAAAACAGTTACAAACTGAAACAGGAAGTGCTTCTGGACCAGTGTTGTTTACATCTTGTGAAATGGTCTATAAGTAACTGTGCAACCATGTCAACTTATTCTACTAACCCTAACCAAACAGTCTACTCTGAGAGTCAGTTGACATTTAGTTGCAAAGTTACTTATAGTCAGTAGAATGTCTAACATGGACCATCTAAATAAAGTGTAACCGATTTCCCTTGCAAAACAAGGGAACATAACATCAACATAAACTGTTCTTTATCAGTCCCACTTTATATTGAGTGTCTTTAACTAATATGTACCTACATTTAAATGAATCATTTGATACAATGCTCTTGTATACTATGATTTTACACTGTATTATTAGGTATGGTTAAACATACCTTCATGCACTTATATAATTACCCCGTTGACCTTCCCTTACACCTTAACCCACACCACCAAACCTATCTTTAATCTTACACGTACCCCAACTCAATAGCAGCAAAAGTGTTTTTCAATACATCAACACAAGTACATTACACCAAAAACAGAGATTTTTTCCCCCCAAAGAAAGTACATTGTAGTTAATGACACCTAATATAAAGTGTGAGTGTTATCTTATAACTTGAATAATGATTTTTCTTAGAAAATATGTGATCTGAGCTCTAAAGTTTAAAGTATGTTGTAGAATGGCTGGATATGAGTTTTATTTTACCGTACCATACCGTGTTAGATAAGCAGTCTACGTTATTTACACTGACTGAGAACAAAAAAAGGAGTAAGCCAATATCAATGATTTAGTTAAGAGCTTTAACAAAAAAATATCAATACGCATGTGCAAACATACACATCAGATAGACCCCACCTGTTCAGTTTCATGCTAGGTTTGGGTCTGACAGTCCAAAACAGCTTTAGATATAAACACCACAACACACAATACAAGTCCAAACACAGCATGAAAGCAGAAACAATAAAGCAGAAAAGAGAACAGTCATGCTGTTTCAAAAGTAAAAACTGGTGCCAAGTGTTACACACATTGTGTCTTATTCCAACGAACCTAAATGTCCAATCCGAACTTCTCAAATAACTTAAATATTATGTAAAATACATACAATACAAAGAGCTGAAATATGGTGGTGAAATGCTCAAATGAACTGGACTGGACATTGTAAGTTCGTAGTTCTTTGACACGAAATTCATGTGAATTGATAGTGGCACTGCACTGATCGTGTAGGTGCAAATACTTTGACTAGTTCAAACTGTGGATCCATATATGTAATGAATGACGCAATGATTCGACACAAAAGACAATTATTTCTTGGAAACAAGTTATATGCGTCAAAGTATTCGGCACTGCTACAACTCCCCCACATTAAAACATGCATCAACACAAATGAAGGCACAATGAACTTTGAAGCAAGCATACAAGTACCTCAGTTGTAACTGAGCGGACATACTGACAAGAGGGAAAGAGGAAGAATTAGTTAATGTGCAAACACTTGCTATTGTGTAGAGAACAGCTTGTGAAAGTAGATCAACTTACTGGTCATGGTCATATATTTGACTTTTTATGCAGATCATATTGGCTCAATACTGCTAATTACAGAGCTAATAACGGTTATTTTTCAAAGAGCTTGAACTATATACATATGTAGCCCTCAAACCGTATTCACTTTATAGCCCTTAATCCTGTAGTTGTGGACAAATGTGGGCACAGAGGACTGTTACTAATTTTTATTTATTATAAATGTTATACCACTGTCTTCGATAAAGTTTTATCTTTCCATTTATGGTGTTTTTTTTATTTTGGGGGTATTTTTGATTTTATTTACTTCAAAAAGTACAATATTTTCTATGTAATTTATGCTTATTTTTATGTTTTATTTAATTTTTTTTTTAACTACATTAAAATATCATTCCAGTAAGTTCTTAGAGCTAAAACCTAAAGATGAAAACTGTCACCTGGTGTTTTGTTT